AATATCTAAACAACTTATTCGCTGAAACAAACGGACGTGGTTTGCATGCAAAAATTTGGAGGTTCGAAGGGAAACCGGTATCGTTGAGGGAAAGGGGAGGGACAGAGGCTTTTGTATAAGATCAACTCTACGGTAAACTTGTGACTTATAAAAGGTGCTACCGTAGGCTGTGTTTCCATTGGTGAGCAAAACAGAATGCCATTCCAGACGGCCCATTGTGAGGCCATTAGAACCGGGAATGGTAATAGGAGGGATGGAAAGGCTATGGAGTCCAGGGCAGATGACCCGAGGCTATGTGCCCCAAGAGGCGTAATGGAAATGGGCGGATGGCTGTGGGCAAAAGATGGGAGAGGAGGATTGTCGGCTCAAGGACACATTAGGCCATCGATACCGGGGGCATGGGAGTAGTAGTCGGATTTGCGAGGAAACAACGATTCCACAGAGCGGGACAGCAGTAGCAGCAAAAGAGGGGAAGCCCTGTTTGACGCCTAGCGGGATAATCTGTCCTTGGATTTGGGCATGGACCGGGCTCACTACACGCCATTCGGTTGATTGTCCCTTCCATGGTTCGTACGGAAATGATCATGATCAAAGTTTGGATTTTAGGAAAATTCAAGGGGCTGAAATTCGGGCGGGTGGATCTTCTTTATATTAAAAACTTAAATTCTATATCGAAAATCGAAACCTGCAAACACTCTGATAGGTTGGCAGGCAGCGCAAGGACATTTCGCACCCGATATCGCCTCGCCTATAGCTTGAAAGCCTGCCTGAACGGGACGACAATGGAATACGTTGACAGAAGTGGCGTGCAAAGTGACACACACAACACACACAAAAAAACCGTTTTCTAGTAAGAATGTTGCAATTTCTAGGAATTCTGCTTTTTCAGTTTTTTTCAAAGGGGAAATCATTCCGTCGAAAGGTCAAATCGGCTCAGCAATAACGGAGACTTGCATCTCTTCCGAGATTTTGAGGAACTGCCACTCTCCAGAATCAAAAAAGCTCAAAGCGGACGTGCCCAACGGGCCGTGAATCTACTCCTGGGTGGTTCCGACGGGCCGAAAGCCGGCAAGCTTCATGTGCTGTCAACCTGAAAATGGCCGGAGAATGGCGGAGAATGTCGATCTGCGCCCCCGAGTTCAGGTCAAGCGGCGATGGGAATAAAAATGGCCAATATAAAATGCGCGGCTCGCTTTAGCAATATTCCAGAATTTGTTATCTGGGGAAGGGGTACGGTAATTCCCCCGTGAGTCTGGGTTCCCTGATGAATAGTAATGATGGTACAGCTGTCTGGTGAAATATTGTAAGCAAAAATGATGTGCTGGGTAGTGAAGGGAATCCGGGCATTAATTTACCGGTTTAATGGCTGTTAAATTTAGAAAAATAAGCTTCAAATAATGGCTGGAAGTTTTTAAGTTGAAAATGCGAACCACAGCATAAAAAAATGAAGAACATGAACTTGTGGCATCGGGTCAGTCCTTGGGGCGAGCCAGTCCGGAAATGGTTTTGACGGGTGGCTGGAAGTAGAAGGGCGGGAAAGCAGAAGAAGGAGGCAGAAGTCCCTTCTACCCACCCCATCCCCCAAAAGGCAGCCTCCCGTATTCCCCGAAGATGCCGTAGAAACTGAGAGGCCGATTACTCTCCGAAAAGACTTGGAGCAAAACGGACTGCCAGAGAGAATCTAGAGACCCAGCATTTCGGAGACGACGTCGACGCACAAACGACGCAAAATGCTTGTGAGTGTGGAGGGGCTAGAGGGTCTGTTGGTCCGTCTTTTCCTCTTTTTCTTCTTTCTTTCGTTGCTGAGATGGAGGTGAGCTCTGCCGGTGTGTGTGCTGCTTCTCTTTCTCCTTCTATTTCCCCTTTCACAGCCTCAATCTCCTCTCCAACCTTCTTCTCCTTCCATTCCATGGCCACACCGAACCAGCGAACAACAGCAGCAGCAGCCCCCCGTGCTCCACCTCAAATACACACTGGTGTCCCCCGAAAAACTACCCCCTTTCATCATTTCAATGCCCATCGTGTGGCAAACTGGGAAAAATAAGCCAATTTTGTTTTGTCTCCGGAAAAGTTTTTTTGGGTGTCGTAATTCGTGAAAATTGGGTCACAGGGCCGAATCGTATATGTGCTCCTGGAAATTTTTCTAGGTTAGGTCTGGCTTTACGATATTTGTAAAGCTTGTAAAAAATGTAACCTCGTTTCCAAAATTCTAGTTACTGCTCAAAAACTTGGATTTCGTGCGGCGAATGATTAATCACCCTTGGATCACAAATTCAGGCTCGCGATTTACAAAAAATTCCTGTCTCTTCTTTTTCACGAAATAGCTTTCCGAATGAAAGCTTCTATAGCCCGAAACTGCTCAATTACGCCATCAACCTACAAAATTAATTAACAGGACCCCCTCTCTTGCGCATTTTCCAATTAGTCGCTTCAGTCGTTCCAGTATTTGATTATAAACGGTCAAAGTCCAGGTGCCCTTTCGCACATAATTACGGCTTCTAACCCTATCCCGTAAAGGGCACCTCAGGGCTATTACCATCTATTTCGGCCGGCCTCTCCCTTTCTGCTCGACCGCGTAATAACCTGTATTTTCGATAATGGGTTTTGGAAATAGCTTTGCATCGCCCACATCTCGTGCTACTATACTTTTTTGGTGGGGTTTTGCTGCAAGTCATGGTGTCTAAAAGAGGCGTTCAGCCTGTTATCAGATGACGCATCTGTGGGCGGACTAGTGGGGGCAGGCAAGATGTCGTTCAGGAGTCGTTGTGATCTTTTAGCAGTTTCTTGGCTTTAGTTATGTAAGTAAAAGATTTATTTCAAACTCGGGAAATTTTTGCCCTAAAATTAATATTTATTTAAGTATTTGGGTGAACTTTGAGGTTTTAGATAGCTTATATTTGCTGAAGGTCATGAGTTTACTTACGCAAATCGAGCCTCAAATTTTTTTTTTTAAAAAAATTTTTTTTTTATTTTTTTTTAATATTTTTTTTTAAAATTTTTTTTTTTTTTTTTTAATTTTATTTTTTATTAATTAAATAAAATTTTTTTTTTTTTTTTTTTTTTTTAAATATAATAAAAAAAAAAAGCTAATATTTGCTTGAAAGTTTCTCCTAATAACGTAAAGAAAGGTTTTGATTCTAAGTTTTACATTGTTTGCTTTATTATATGTTAATTTCACAGTTTTTAAATTTTCGAATTTTAAATAGAGTCTCCCCTCGAAAATGCAAGCCCATACATAGCTTTCCAAATATTTCCTTCATAATCTCCTCGTTTTTTTTATTCGTTACACTTATAACCCGATCCCCTAATCCACTGACCCGAATCCATTCTCACTTTTCTAAGGATTCTTATTTCAAATGCTTCTTCTGGTCGACTCAGCCCGTATTTCCCCAGCCATCTCTCCGCGTCCTTACATCCATTCGATCCTAATTGCGCCCTCAGATCGTGGAAAATGAACCCAATCTTTCAGGAGGGCGTCGCCCCCCCTTCAGCCCTCCTTCCTATTCCAAATCACAAATAGGGCCCACACAAAATTGGCCGTAATCCCATCCAAACAACAGATAGACATCTATCTTCTTCTTCTCTTTCTCCTTCTGCTCCCCTTATATTTCGTCGAGGAAAACCTGAAAAACGGGAGCATGCGGGAGATGTGGGCAGTGAGTGATGGTGGTTGTTGGAATCTGAAGCGGGAGAAATGTTGGGGGATCAGGGATTTATGTCACATTTTTTGGGGCCTTTCCCACCGGAAAGGGCCCATTGAGGGGCCAAAAAGTTTTGTTTGCAGTTTGCGGGAAGGAGGATCTATTGGTGAGTCAGTGTGTTAGATGGTGGTCATGACGGAGTACAATCTGGAATGACGCATTTTTTCAATTTTGATAACTTTTTGTTACAATCATGTTTTTAGAAATTTTGTATGACTAGCTAATTTTGCGGCTTTAAGGTTTAAATGAATATTTTACATATAAAGCAAAAATTGCCGAAAAAATTATTAACCTAACTACATCTATAACTTTCTATTATTATTAACTTTCCAATTCTTCAATTGAAATTAGCGTCTAAATAAATAATTACATAGAAGGCGAAAATGTTTAAATTAAAACTAGAACCTTTATGAACTCAATGAAAAGGATTTTACGCAAGTATAAGCTATATTAATTTCAAAGATTTATCAAAGCTAATCCAACCTCTTAGATAAGTTTGTCCCTTTTCAAAAGGTTGTGAAATGTGTTTCAGCAATTGTTTGACCAGGTAGCGGACAGATGAGGGTGTAAATAGAGCAACCAGTTCCCGGCGCACCCCAACGGAATCGATAGCGCATGCCCACAATCCAACCCCCGAATTCACCTCTATTAGCATTCGAGGCGCGTGCCTTCGATTTTATTTGCATAAAACAATGCGTAAATTTTTAATAAACCTAATTTTTTAATTTTTGCTGATTTTTCTTAACGTTGCATAAATCTGGAAGGATGAAAGCGCGCATTTGACTATTAGTGGTGTCCATAATGCAGTCCTTTTGTCATTTTTTGATCTTTGGAATCTTACTTCCAACTATTCTTCTGCATATATTCAACAATGGTCTAGTTTTCCTTGTTTGCCTTGTATTTGGATCCGATCTCTCGAATATTCAATAGGCCTGCTTTTTATTCAGTACATTTTCTCTGCGCTCCAATACGCGACGGTCATTTTATATTTTGTGCCACCGGAAACAAACAGTAGACTTGAAATTGATTTGTTAATTTTCGCTTACTACTAATAATAATACGAACTTAATACGACCTTCTATATACGTAGACTACCCAGAGCGAGCCCGCTTGACCAACGGCGCCAATACTCCCGTTTTACTGCCATGCACTGCTTTATTTACTCGACTTTTATCTGTCCATCCAGTACTCGCCAACCCGGCAGCCCGGCTTATCGCTAGGCCCTACGGTTCAGGCTTCAATTCGTGCTATAGAATCTTGCTAGGTGCTGAATAGCCACTGGATTTTAGGCTCTCAAAGATGGCGCACACCAGTGATGGTGGGCTGTTGGAGTTTGAGACGGCAATGCTGGATTTTGAGGTTTGTATTAGAGCTGTTACTCTGCAAAAGCTTCCAGTCGCAATTCTTAAATTCAAATCCGATTTCCAGGCAATGTTCCCAAATCTACCCCGAGAACGTATCGAAAGCGCTCTCAGAAATAATGACGGTGATGTGGCTAATACTATAGATCAACTCTTGGCTGAAATGCATACCGAGGTAGTAACTAAAATTTTATTAAGACTGATATCTTTTTAAGACAACCATCCATACACCTCCGATGAAGCCCAAACAAATCACCCCAGAACGACGAACCCAATCGCACGACCTAGCTGAAACCTACGCGCAAGCACATCATCTAAACGACTCGATCTTGCGGGCTTCCGCTGCAGCAAACCGACCTGGAACATCTGGAAGGTCACGGTCAAATCGTGGACGACTGGTAGATGCTCAATTTAACCTAATTTTTCCATATTTTTAGAGTGTTGATGAAATTTGTCGCGAAACCGCCATCATTCGACATTGGATGAATGAAAATGAAGAAAAACTAGATCGGGTCAGTGATGAAAAGGAAGCCAGGTACAGTACCTTAATGTTGTAGTTTTTCTTTTCTTAGGGTGCTTGAAGACGAACAAATCGCTCTAATGCTTCAAAATCAAGAGTTTATTGGCTATTTGAAGCGAGACCCAGAATTTGTGAAAGGAGTATTGGGGAACAGTCGAGGTGATTGAGGGCTTGTATGCTTTGAAAACCTTATCTTTATTCTAGCACCTGGTGGCTACCATTCACATATCAGAAAAACCAGTCGAAATAATTACCATGAGGAACCGCCAGCTCCGATTGTACCGAATGGACCGTTTGTTGGTTCGTGAAAAATACTTATTAGTCAAGTTAGGATTTTCCTAACTCCATCATATTTTCAGATGGCCCCCTAACCTGCCAAAAATCCGGTTTTGCACAAAAATTGAAGAATAAAATCCAAACCGTCGCCAAAGGGACACCACCACCAATGTACACGGCGAGCCCTGCAACAAGTAAAATCGAAATTTGCAGAAAATACCCAAATTTAGGCTCGGAGACCTACGAACAATCTGTAGGGTACGATCCATTCCCATATACGGTAACACTTGGCTACAATACCCAAAATGACAACGAATTCAAGTCACGGCTGAAGAATATGAGCAAAAGTAAGCAACGCGAATCGGCTTAATGGATTTTTTATTTCAGCTTCAAAAGCTCGACTGACTCAACTTGCTTCAATCTTCAAAAAAGAAAGAAATCCCTCAATGGATGGACCTCAATTGGGACATACAATTGGACACGATCCAAGGTATTTGAGATTTTAATTCGTACCTGTAATTTTCAATGTTCTAGATCTCGCTCTTCTTTGGATTCTCCACCACTCGCTCCCCCACCCTACGATCAAAGAGACTATTACTACTGATCAAAACAACTTTGCGGTTATTTATCGATTTTTCCATCACTTGCCAACCCCGGTCCTGCAACGATCTAGTCTTTCCTTCGCGTGTGTTTACTTCGAAATTAATAAACGGTTTAATCGTGTTACAATATAATATTATCCTGCCATTCTTCGTCTGGGGAGGCACGAGACGCTTCAATTTCTTGGCGAAGACGAACAATCTAAGAGATGGAACGCATGGAATAATGGAGAATACAAACCAACCTCTTCCAGCAAAAGTGCAATAGCAGCATCTCTTTGTTCATTTCTTCTTTCTTTAGCTCGAATCTTCTCCCGTTCGTCTTCAATCTTTTTCTTCACCAACGCCTTCAGTTTTCCCATTCCGAAAAAGTCAGCCTCACGCTAAAAAGCTAGTTTTATCCAAGGTTGATCGAACTTACATAAATATGGTCAAGTAGAGTTAATTCCGTTGGCAGGGCCATTACTTCGCCGTACCGTAAGAAACCGTAGAATATATGCAAAAATTTCTCGATCACGGTCAAGGAGGACCTGAAAACGTCCGGAATTGCAAAGCCCGCATAATATTAAAAAGAACAAAACAAAAACAAAACTTACCTTGTAACGATAATTCCCATGCGTGTCATGCTCTTTTTCACAATTTACCTAAAGTTAAATTTTTATATTTCAATCCAAAATAAATACCCGATAAACTGTCTTCTTATCCCATCCGATGCATTTTTTAATAATTCCACCCAATAGGCGTCCATTCCGCTGCTCATTTGCCAAGGTTTTTAGGGTCGAAGAATAAAGCTTCCCGCCAACCTGAATTTAAGTGTATACATATCTGTTTTCTTATTTATTTGCTTCTACCACACAAATCAAAATATAAAATAAATATCAATAAACCTAAAAATCATTAAATAAAAACGGCGTAAGTTTTTATAATAGCGTGTGTATAAACCAACCTCCAGATATATCATAACATTACTGTCGTAGAATTCGTGTGGCATCTGGAAAAATATAATTTTTTTTGAGAAAAAATCGAACTAGTCACGGGTATCCAGAAAGCCGAAACCGGAGAAGAGGATTGTGTTGGGGAGGATACCCTAATTGTCTCTATGAGGTTAGGAGGGGCCCAGCTCGGGTTGGGCCCATTTTGGCAAAAGCCCAAATATCGTTTCAATTTTCGTATTGTTGAAATCTTGGTAGGTAATAACTATTAGTTGACCAATTACCAAACGCTTCGACTGTAAGCAGCTACACAAAAAATAGTTGAACCCATTAGCCACAAAAAATCCGATTCGGACCGAAAATCCAATCCCAACTAGGCTTTCACGGATAAAAACAGAAATTAGAACGCGGGAACAAGAGGCTTCCTGGTAAAAAGAGCTCCGTGTGACAGGGAAAAATTAAAAGCCTCCTCCCCGAGGGAATTGGAACGGACGGGGACTAGCCCCGGGCGCAAAAGGTCAAAAAGGGGAAGTAAAATTTAGGGCGTGGATAAAGCAACGGCTTGAAATGGCACCTCTGTTTTGCGGCTGAGCAAAGCATTGAAAATGCGCAAACTAGTTTTAAGGAAGAAAATCTGACCCGACGAGGTGGTTGTAAAAATTCGGGAAAATATCCCAAAAGTTCCGAAAAATCTATTTACAACGGTGACCTGCGGTTTAAGACGGTTAAATTCCTACTTCATACCCTATCTGTGTAATCCGGTGTAGGATGCTTCATTGTCGCTTCACAACTTCTTGCCCTCATCTTTGAAGGTTCCGGTTTAGCCGTGAATAAAACAGAAGACCGTGGAGGCCGCTTGAAATATTTCGTTTCGACTTCCGTAGTTGTTTGATTGTTTTGCAATGTCTCTTCTTCTTGAGTCTCCACTACACTCGCCTCGTACTTCTGATTTCCCTCCGATACATTCCGCGTCTGTCCTCGATACTTTCCAATGTTATTCTGACAAGGGATTCGCCTCGTTTGCCAATTCTCAATCCTTACCTGATTATGGTGATTGACACTGTTCCAACGCTGAAGGCCAGAAATATTCGTGGGTTCCGGGCTGCGTGTTCGTGACGTTCTTCTCCAATCGACCGAATATGTAGATGCGGTGTTATCTTCTGCATAGGATTCGCATGACGCTTTCGACAATTTGGACGTCGACTGTGTGGGTCCCATTTGGCAACGTCTTCTCGGTCAGAAAGAAGGGTGGAGATTCTCCAAGAAAGGAGGGGCGTCCATCGTTGTGTGTGCGTAAATTTGATTCGAGGAGGGCTTTCTGTTGGTCTCACGGGAGGGCACAGCTTTTCGCAGGTGTTGTTGATTTTATGCAGAATTTTAAGGAGCGGTGACGAACGTTGGAAATGAACAGGTGGGGTAAGCTAATTAAATATTATGCATAATCCTTTATTACAACTCTGGTTTACCTCTACAACTTGTTAATAAAAACACTATGATCATTATTATAACCACAACCAGTTAGAAACTAAAAAAATTGCAATAAACCCCGTAAGCGCACATTCACGTGGCTATAACCTTAAGCTGACCGCTACAGTTTTTCCTTTATCAATATTAAAAATATAATTAGCATAACATCTAGTTAAATACGACAAAAATTGCAACAAACACGTAGAGCTTGTGGCCATTAAAAGATGTGCCAGGCGTGAATCGAAACAAAGGAATGCGCATCACAGCCCCCCGCGGCCCCCATTCACAATTCATTGGGCGCCATGCATGCGGTTGCCCTTAGATTTTTGAGGCATCCCATCCCTATTTCCGCTTACCATTATATTAATAACCTTCCTATATAAAGCATATATGTCATATAATGTGCTGCAATTTGCTGGTTTCAAAATTTATTGTGACTAGTACTTTGAGATCAGAAAGACAATGGCTCAGATCAAGTGGAATAACTTTTTTGGTCACAAAATAATTAAACATGGTAATAAATAATTAGGCAATGTGATTCCTAAAGGCAAAAGATTTGTTTAAAACAATCGTTCCTCTTCGTCATCATCGATTAGATGATCGTCGAAAATCACCTAGAAATTCCAAGATTTTTAGATTTTATTTTTCCAAACCTGTCGCTTCCATTCTTCTTCTTCTTCCAGATGGTCGTCTAATAAGTTTTCGACACCGTTAGTTTCGACCTAGGTTTTGTTATTTATCAAAATCACCAAAATATACCGTTTCTAGCCATTGAGCATTATGCCAGCGGAAGCGTTGAGTAGCGATGCGGCGTGCCCATTCGATACTATGTTCCTAAACCAACAATGATTTGTTTTTGTCGAATAGCCTCTTTGAAAATAATTGAATGCAAAACCCACCCCAATGATAACAAGCGCCGTCTCGCACATTTCCCGGATAGCCTCATTTTTATCGTGCATCAAATCGATGACATAATCACCAAGTACCGATTGTCGACCCATCAACCGTTCGGAAAGCTCCTAAAAACATGCGTTATAATATGTAAATAAATATTTACTTTATGCCTGATTAATTGCAAAAATAAATACAGCAGCTGCACAACGAGCTCATCGTCTTCTTGCATTACTAAAAAAGAACTATTTTTATAAATCGATCCCCTACAATGTAACAATTTCAGAAACGTTTCCAGCAACGGCACTAATAATCGAGCAGCTGCTATTTGGGTCGCCATTGAGCCGCAAAGTATTACCAACTGAAAAATCTGTTTAAAGAAAGTTTTTTAAAGATTACCTGAAGTTGTAGAGGTTCTCGCTCCTTTTTCTGCTCCAATAATACCTTGCTCATCCAGGGAACGAGTTGGTGGGTTTGGCATAGACTAAATAGGTTTGAATTTGTTACAAAGATAAACAGTTATCTCAGAGAATTACAAACTATTTAATTACCTTGCCCAATCTGCAGACACATTTGTAGCAATGACCCCGACAGCTTCTAATGCATATGCCGATTTTTCTTCAGCTGGGGAAAGAGCATCCTCTTTCATGACTTCGATTAATTGTGGCAGCCATTTCTAGAAAATTTCGAATGTTAAAAAATATATTTTGAATACGAGTTGCTCTCAAGGCTCACCAAAAAGTGTTCTTGTGTTGGACCGGAGTGAGAGGAGATGTTGCGAACGATTTTTAGAACGAGAAGATCTCGACTTTCCTGTGCCTGCTCCAGCAATAAATCCAACCTAGAATTTCATTAGCAAGATCAGAAGTTTTCTAACCCTTCGCCTCGAGGCCCGCATACCAGTTGGGCATTACGTTTTTCGATGCACGCATTAATTAATACAGCTTTCGCCACGTCCGATGCTTGACCGGAAAGGAGATCCGACATCAGCTGAAACATGGATATTTTTTGTGGCTTATTAAATTTATTTAATAAATGCCCTAAGATAAAAGCAACCCACGAGTTGTATAGCATCTGTATACGTCACCATAGCCTTTGCGTCGTCATTAATTGTCAACTGATAGAGTAGGTTCAATGCGTAGCTTTCTAAACGGCATTATCTAAAAAGAAAACAACCATCATACTTTGTATCAGTGGTGATATATGTGTCACCAGACCAGCTTGAACCATCCTCAACCGATTTTTCTCGTCGAAGGAAAGGTTGAATAAGATACGAATAGCCTAAAAATCAGTTATTTACACCCTGCTTTATTCCGAACCTGTTTCCTGACTTCTTCATCACTTAGTGTCACCAAACCAATCAATTTGTCCATAACCGCATCTTGCTCCTAAAACAAAATAATAATCCTACTGTTTTTTGTGACTTACCAATGCTGTTTTATTTTCCGAGAAAATACTTAATTTCAGCAAAAATTGGGTTGTCGCTAATTGTAATTGTGGGGTCTCTTTCAAATCCAGGCTTCTAAAGACACGGTTCCAAACAATAAACATTTCCTGACTTGATAAGAAGCGGCAAAATGTCCCTTTTGATCATTTTTTGTTGTACGGCAATATCATTCGAAAGGTTATTCAGTAAGGCAACACAAGCTGGAAACTATCATATAACAAATACAAGACTAAAATAAACCTGCGATCAAAATCTGTTGCTTCTTCAGGGCAAGCCTATATTTCTTGGCTGTTTGCTCGTCCCGATTGATCTCCACTGCCCAAAGCTCCCCTCGCTTTAGCTCATGCTCGATAGCCGTCATACAAAGAGCGCCCATCTAGCATGTGTATCAGTATGTCTTCATCCTCATCGCATACCTTGTGTTGTGTAATCTGCTCATGAAAATTCTCATAATAGGAAATGTGGACGAAGATGCGAACAATATTCGTGGCTAACTCAAAGCTTTTCTTCCAATCTTCACGGAATATTCGAACAAGTGCCCCGATAAGGGATTCTGAAAATGGAAAAATCAAATGACGTTGTTTTTTCAATAAAAATACTTTAATTTAAATATTATAGCTTGAATTACCATACCATTTGCAACCAAATCTTGCAAATTAGCAGGACAAGCTGCCAGCTCCAAAATGCTTGCCGCGCCACGAGTTTTATCATTTATTTCTTCATAAAAAAGTTCCATATATTCCTAAATGAATATTTTGCATAGTTTTTCACTTCCGTGGTGAATTGCATGTTTTCTATATACCCACCTCAACCTTATCCATGCTTGCTGTGCTAGCCGTCATCGGTCGAGAGTCTTGAGATACAGAATTGTCTCCTGATCAGTTTTTTGTTTTTACTTTAAAAACTATTACTCGTTCTCAAAGCATTCTTTCGTTTTTGCAGATATCGCAATGAATGTTCCAATTCCGGTCGCATCCCATCCGGGATTTCTGGACATTGTGCCTGTACTTCGTTGGCTAGTTCTTTTAGATCCACGGCATCCGTCAGCTCGCGAAAAGTGACCCTGGGAATTGATGATTTTTCTTTGTTATAAAGCCTACAATTTTTGGCGTACATTCCCGTTACTCTGGCTGGGTTGCTAAATGTCGAAAGTTATATTAAGTAGTCAGAACTTTACCAAAAATTTTAAGATGAGGGCTTGCTCGATGGGATGTGGGTCGATGGAAAGGTAGTTTTCGTGGCTGAAACAGTTTTGAGGTTGTATTGTATTATGATATATATTTATTTATCCCCTTCATGTTAATTATAACTATTTATGTGGTTTTTTAACGTCGCGCGCTACGTTTTAGATAGTTTTGTAAATTAACATTAATCGCGTTGCCACAAGGCCCAACGCATTTCTTACCCGTTAAAATGCATCATTTTGCACGTCATTGCGCAATTGATAAGCGCGCGCCCCCCGCTGGAAATCTTATCAGAGCCATTGATCGGTGGCGCGCATCCAGAACTCATCTTTGATGCTCCACAATTCCTATACCCCAAATAATACCTGTGAGCACATTAATAGACTATAAACTAACAACCCAGCCACTATCCACACACCACATTTTGAACGCCTAAAAATGCCAGCTGCTTACCTGGTCATGATGTCGAAATGTGGGTCATAAGTGCCAAGATCCCTGGGGCAACCAGACCTGGATACCCCCAGCAATGCTTTACGATGTGTAGTAGCACGTCTACGTTCTCTCAACCCTCAGCACTCCCTTGAAGAGAGCGATCGTGGTCCCACAGCGTGCCATTGCTTGTTGTACCCAAGTCGTACATATCCTAGGGAAAAACTCCCCTGTGATACAAGGCTCGGGCAATCGGCCAGCACTTCTTCACCGATTCCACTTAAATCTTGACCTTTTGAACCCTAGCGGGCTTTTGGTACTTGAAAGATAGTTGGTTTTACTTCATTACCAATACTTTTCTATGTATGTGCATTATTTCGTCCCAATAAATTATGGCTACACGCATTTTATGTGCTTGCACTTCTCGATTTTTTATGCTTTTTGAGCTAGGGACAAGTTTTAGATTGTTCTTAAGCAAATTAATATTCATCAAAAGTCTGTTTTTTATCTAATGGTCGTCAAGGACGTCGCCAAACCACCCCTTAAGGATTCTAAAATTTCGTTTTTCACCTTCAGCTCCCCGATCTTAATTAGCGATCCCGGATCCCCCACTTGCCATTCATTCCGGAATCTTATGGCTTTATTTTACGATCCGTACAAGGCGTATTAGATGGTCATGTGACTGCTTTATCTTTCTACTGACCTTCCTGTCAATCACACAGTTCTGACCTCTACTTCTTCGTTTAGACGGAATTCTCAATCATAGAATGGGCGAAAAAGACGACGCAGAAGAGGTTAAAAGTAAGCTATCATCATCTAACCAAATCCTTCGGAAATTCAATCGAATATGTTCATTTTACAGATCCTGACGTGAATGACTTAATTGGTGAATTGGAGGATGGCCGCTCATGGGCCGCCATAATTGAGGATGATGCTCAGATGGTTAGTTTTTGCCCCGCGAGCATTTACGGTTTTCAGAATGGAGACAACCCAGAATCTACGGATGGGGGCAGACAAGAGCCAGAGCCCGAAAAAGAGGAAGAAGGAGGAGATGAGGAGCATGTGAGAAACGAGGAGCCTATCGTCTGCCTGGTAATGGAAAATGTTAAATTTTTGATAATCGGCTTTAGCCTGATGGCCGACGGATGCATGTGAGGCCTCCTTTTCGCATCCGGGTTCAGAGAGGCCCGAAAGGTGCCACACATCGCGACGCATACTTTCACTTCGGTGCTGATGAAGCCGTATGTTTATGCTAGATTTACATAATATATTTCCCAGGGGATCGATTTTTCAGTCAGTATTATTATACGGGAATAGAGGGAGACTTATATGATTAAGTAACTAATTAGGAGAGGATTTTCGGCCGATCAAAATATCAATTCGAAGGCATTTTATGCTAAATGGGTCGATTTTTAGAATTTCAGAAAGCTTAAGTTTTTAATGGTTTGATACCACTTAGGAACTCGTCGGAAGGCCGAAAATTACTAGTATTTTAAATTCGGCATCGTTATAACCCTCAGCTCGGAACCTATTTTTAGATCTGGAAGATTGATGCAGTACCAGGCGGATGGGATATCTGCCTCAACAGCCCCAAGCATCTGGAACGCGCGCTAACCCAAGCACATTATATGTTCGCCACTTTGCTCGAGGTAAGTATCCTTAAATCTGGGCATGGTCGAATGGTGCATAGTATTATGATAAGAATAATGACCCATTTTATAGGTCTTTCCACTCCCTCCGAACGAACGCCTTTCCAACAATCGCGATCAGCCAACAGCAAAGTTTGTCATTAATCACAGAATCACGAAGTTCCCGGTTTAGTGGTGCCTATGCCAGAAAAACCTCCTACAACCGGCAAGGCTCGTCGGGTCCACAACCACTTTTCTCGGTGGCCAACCCGATGTACAATATGCCACCGCCGGTAAGTATCCCTACATTCGCTAAGATCTTTCGTAGCAAATGACCGGCTTCAACTTCAATATACCTCCCCCAATGGTCGCTCGCATGAACAGCTACACAAATTCTTCAATGTCGAATCGAGCTGCACCGAGGAGGCGTGTCGAAATTGAAGGTGGACCTGGCCATCGTGGGGATCATCCGCCAGTTCCAGCGCCAATTTCTCGATCAAAGGTTGGCTTTAGTTTCGTTTTTTTTTGTGCCGGGTGTGTTGTGGTCGCTTTTGCGAAACAGTTCATTTGAAAGAACATTTTTTACACCTTAATTTGCTTTGGCATTCCCCAGAAAGTTGTTCACGATATAGGCTAGGTCCCAATGCAATTTCCAGCCTCTATGACAACCTAAGCGAAAAAAACACCTTTTTTCAGACCGGAAGTCAATCGGACGAGACCTCATCCGTAACCTCTTCCGCTCCATCCCTCGTTCGGGTCAGACCAGCTTACCCTCATACCATACCCAAATTTTTTATAGAAGCCGACCAACAAAGACATTTTCGGTCAAGCCAAACCGGTTGACACGCAAACGAAATTGCTGGAAATGGAGAAGCGTGAGCTCGAAGAGAAGAAGAAACAGCAGGAACTTCAAAAATCGGTAATCACTGAGCGGTTTACTGTATCCTCGATTTCAGGTCTCGAACGCAAGCACACTGCAAGAGGCTGGAAAGCTTATGCGGCAGGATTCACAGGTATGCCATTGATGGGATTTGTACTATGTAATCTCTTAAGGCATCTAACAAGTCCTTCTACTCCCATCCGCCGGATCCCAGGACATCGACCAGTGCGACAAATCCGCTGATGGGTCGCACTATGGAATACGTTCATTCCAGTCAACATGAACCAATGACAACCGGTTCAACAGATCCCGTCCCGGAATACGGCACCGTCAATATATTGAAACCGCCACCAAAGGTCCGTGATTTTTCGATTTCCTAAAAAAATTTCTTGTTTTGTTAGGAGCCGACAACAATTCCACCAGCGCCACAAACATCCTCACAACAAATACCACCCCTTATGGAGAACTTGAAATACCGCACTTTCAACAACCAAAAGAATCCACCAAGAGGCGGCTACCCAAATGTCGCTCCAGTTCCTGGACGCGGCGCTCCACAGGGTATGTTGCGACATTGCCACGATCATACGAAATTTTTACAGCTTACCGAGGAGCAAAAACCAGGGGATCTTCCTATGTTCCACGTGGTGCCTATAGCCGGGGTGGTGGGCCAGCAAAAGTTGGTGACCGAGCGGACGGAAGACAGTCGGAGCCCGATTTTCCTACCACCTCTCAAGAGGTTTGCCATACCGCTTGCGGAGACGTCTATCCTTATAGTTTCCCCAACGACGCAGCAGCTTCAATCAGGATAAGCAACCGGCTGAACCGGAGAAGCCTGAAAAGGAGCAGCACGTCCACCGCGAGAAATATGAGGTCAAACTCTTTTTATTTCTGAACGCTAGCTTCCCATTTCAGAAGGCTCCATTGGTCAAAAAACTGTCGAACCAGTCGCGGAGCGATGCAAAACCAACGGCCCATGATGACGGATCATTGTCTAGGAAGAGTCACTCACGTGGAGGGGGACCTGCCAAATTCAAATATGTGCCGAAGAACCCGCAACAACCGCTGAAGGATAAGCCTCAATCGAAGCCAACTGATGACCAAGGGGCGGAGCCAGCCAAGCCTACGGTATGCTTTCTTTTGGGTGTACTGTACTTGGATTCAAGCTCTAATAAATTTCCGGTCACGGTGTACGTAGCAACAAAACAATTATGAAGGGCGGATTGAGCATAGGTTAATGGCGCGAGTAAATTGCTCGCACTAATCCGTCTCTAGTCTCTACCCCCCCTAGCCCCATCGTCCATTTGACGTTCTGTATAGACGTTGTCATGAATACATAATGTTATAATTTTCAGACAGAGAAGCCAGCCGCTAATGAGACCGTATCTACGAAGACTGTGGAGAAACCCACACCGGTCGCTGACGCCAATCCTTCTACTCCCACTGATAATACTCTTCCAAATAATGAAGCTGCCCCCAATGCTGAAACGCCAACTAAAGAGAAGCGCAAGAAAAAGCCAAACAAGGAAAAGCAAAGGGTCAGTTTACTTTCAACTGCCGGCAATTATCTGTCTATTTGAAACGTACAAAATATCTTTATCATTTCAGCTTGAGGCCATGCCGAAACTGGACCAGAAGGCTTTATCGAAACCCGTGAACACAAAGAACCGTTTCGATATGCTCCTCAACGTCGTCGATTAAAGATCACTTTCTTTGAAGAAGTGTCATTTACCTCATTTAATAAGGATTCCTCAGTCCATGCCTTTTACTCGTTGCATGCCTTATTGCCCCCTTTCAGCTTTAATAAGTACCCTTGCACAACCTGTTACCCTTATTTGTTGCCTTCAGATTTTATAGATAATAAAGTTCTTTCTACTAGAGACGTTACTTCTTTAATAAGATCACACGCAAATTAAGATGGAAGGCGGAAACCTGAGCGCCAAAATTTTAACTTCATTCCCGCTCGTGTACACACTCCCTGCGCAACAAGCGAAGCGCCTGTGTTGAATTTGTCAGGGCTGGATGAAATGTGGAGCTGGTGCTCGGGGCTCGGGTTATGATCTTCACTGGCAGCAGATATGATGGAAGAGAACGGCTGTCGATGTGCTGGGTGATATGGGTGGAGAGGAGCCTCGATTGGTGCCCGGGGTCAGCCTCTCAATTACACACCAATCCGCGCACCTCATTACACGCCCGCCACACCTAGGGCCAACACTCACCTTTTGACCTGTCCTTCTTCTGGCTTCACCGACTCTCTAATGGCTCAATCCTTCAATATGGGTAGTGGATTAAACACTATCCTTCAAGGAGATTTATTTGGCTCAGAATCGGGAGTTTTTGGGTTACTGTAACTGTATCTATTCGATATAACTTGTGTTTGGATTCGCATATGAGCTTAAGATACATACTATCGTACGGGAATTATGGATGCCATTCAATATTCAATATTCCGAATTCTATTTTGCTAAGCGGTGAACACCTACCGTAACCTTGCCTGCTAAACCATTCCCGGTCCTGAAATTTTCATCATCCTGTACCGTCCTTTTGAAAGCGCCGAAGACATTTTCCTAACATACGTCGAAACTATTGAAAGTAAAATTTTTGAAAAAAAAAATTAGAGGAGGATTTAAATTTTTTTATTTTTATGATTTTGGTGGGGGGGGGGATTTTTTTCCAAAATATAAAAAAAATATTTTTTTTTTTTTTTTTTATTAAAGGGGGGAAAGGGGGTGGGGGGGGAAGTGGGTGGGTATGGTTATAATTTAATATTTTTGGGGGGGGGGGGGGGGGTTGTTTGGAAAAAAAAAGGGGGGGGGGGGGGTGAAAAAAAAAATGAAAAAAAAAAAAAAAAGAGGGGGGGTTTATTTTTTTTTTTTGAAAGGGTTTAAAAGTGGGGATTTGGGGGTGGGGGGGAAAAAAAAAAATTTTTTGGTTTTTTTTTGGGGGGGGGGGTTTTTTTTTTGGGTTGTTTTTTTTATTTGTTTTTTGGGTTTTTTTAAGTTTGGGGGGGGGAAAAAAAATTTGGGGGGGGGGGAAGTAAAATATTTTTATTTTAAAAAAATTTTTTTTTTTGTATATTATAAAATAAATAAATTTTGGGGGAGGAAAAAAAAAAAATATTAATTTTTTTTTTTTTTTTGTTTTTTTTTTTTTTGTGGAAAAAGGATATTAAAAGGGAAAAAAAAAAAAAAAAAAGGGAGGGAAAAGATTTTTTTTTTTGTTTGGTTTTTTGTAATTTGGGTTTAAAAAATTTTTTGGAAGAAAGGGGGGGGGAGTGGGAAGGGGGGTGGGGGTGGGGGTTAAAAAAAATAATAAATATGGGAGGGGGGGGGTGTTTTTGTTTTGGGGGGGGATTGGAAGGGAAGTTTTTTTTTAATGATTGGGAGGGGGGGGGGGTTTTTTTTAACTAGAGGAAAAAAAGGCCGGCTTTTAATTTTTTTTGAGTGTTGGGGAAAAAAAAAGAAAAAAAGAAATGGGGGGGGATAAAAAACAAAAAAAGTGGGGGGGATTTTTTTTTTAAAAAATTTATATTTTTGGGTAGGAGGGGGGGGGGGGGGGGGGGGGGGGGGGGGGGGGGGGAAGTGGGGGGGGGGGGGGGGGGGAAAAAAAAAAAAAAAAAAGGGGGGGGGAAAAAATTTTTTTTTGGTTAAAGGGGTTTTTTGTGGGGGAAAAGTGTGAAAAAACCCGGGGGGCGGGGGGGGAAATAAAAAAAAAAAACGGGAGGGAGGATGATAAGAAAGTTTGGTGTCCTGCTTAGCATGAACCTTTTTAGGTATGGCCTGATCAAACTTCGGATATTTAAGGAGATCCTTATATGGAACTCTTACCTTACCAGCCCTTTAGTCGAGCCTTATACTCCCCTTCTAACCCACATATTACGGAACCACTTGTCAGATGCGCAAAGTATGTTGTACCTTCAAGTCTAATCTATACTAGATTTCCAGCAACAACGAAAGGTTGTAACGGAGTGGTGCGTGTTGTTTCAACAGATAGCCCCATCCGTGCCCATAAATTGGGCCATTCGATTGAGCGGAGGGCCCTTGTCTGTCTGTCTGTCTGTCGATTCATCGGTTTGTCTGTCTGTCCATTTTCCCCATAAAGACGGACCAACGGGGAGCAGGACCCATAGCAAAGGAGGGCCAGGCCCACCCAGGTGCAAGTTAATGGCAGATCCGCCGCTTTGCTTTGAAGAAGCCGACAATTTTTGGGGGAGCAGCTTTTTGTACGACTAGCGTTTATGGCCTAAAGCGTAGGTCGTAGTGGAGATGGTCAGTTTATCTGGCGGTTTAAAAGGGGGTTGCGTTGGGTTATGGTCTCAAACTGTAAGCTAGAAACGATGTTTCTAGACTAATCTGGGTAGCACTTGACTGTTAGCAGGAGACGGACGTACCTGATTAGCAAAAAACAACATTTTATATTGCTTTGATTATTAAAATTATCCGAAAACCTTATATGGTAATAAAATACGAAATTTTTTACTATACAACCATATATTTTTGGTCAAAAATAAAACTTTATAAAAATTTATTTTAATAATTGCATTTTAATAATTTTTAAGACATAGGTTAGGGCTATAGGGAAAAATTTGAATTTCCTTCCCCCGCGAACAGTCCAGTACCCATTCCCCTTTCAAAAATCGGTTGCTTCCGCACAACTACCTATTTTCTATTTTCTTCCACCAAGTCACCCTCGGTTGTTCGGCTTTTTTACAACAGGAGCCGCGGTGGGACGGCCATTTGACAGAAAAGACGATGATTAGCATAAGGGATGGGCGGAGGTGATGGTTGTGTCATCGGGGTGGAGGAAATGTGGACAGGTGAGGGCCCTTGTCCCTCTCCTTCTATCTCTTCGAGGACCGGACTTGTAATTCCCACCACTAGGGGCCCACCACTTCGTGGCCACTCCAGCTATGATATCCATCCCTGTGTTTCAGTGATTTTTCGCACTTGGCAGATATTCCGTTTTTATTTTTTATTTTAACTACGGTATTTTGTATTGAGGATCCTGTATTTTTAGTCGAGTGTAGTAGTATTCCTGTACCAAAATATCGAAAATGGTAGATAAAACTGACTGATTTTTGACGATTTATGTAGGTCGTTAACCCCCTTGAACCATCTGAAAGTTCAAATAATAACGGTTAACGCATAAACCATATTTTTAATTAAATATTTTGAAATTTAAATAGAATTTAGGACGTTTTTATTTGAGCTGGGTGTATATTGGCATGCGGCTAATATTTGACTATCCCCGGAAGTGGGGTTTTTATAGATAGGGGTTATGTTAGAGTAAATTCGGTATTTTTTATAACGATACCTCCCCCCTATGTCGCCCAGTTCATTAATCTCAATTCCAGCCGCTGCCGCCCAAAATGCAACCTAGGGCGACCCGCCTGAAAATTGGCGAACCCGGGGACAAGCTGTTGAATAATGGATTGTACAGACGATCGAAAGGGAAGGGAGGGACAGAGGTGGAAAACTGTCAAGCGGGGGCCAGATTGCGGCTGATCCACGGAATGGGTCCTCCCACTGACAGTACTAGACATCGGCCGGGTTGCCCTCTTTCTTTCCCTCTTTGCGATTCTCATTTGCCATTCTAAAAAACGCCGCCCATTAATCTTACTCCAAATGTGGGGTGGCCGGTGTGTTTTGGAAATTTTTTGGGGTCAATGTGGTTGGCGGTGGTACTACGGTAGTTGATGGGAATCTATGTTAGTGTTATATGTATCGGTTTTGTGCTCAGGCCTTGTCCAAGAAATTTTATGTCGTTAAATAAACCGTTTTTCCTATTTCTTATGTTCAAAATTGCCTAGAATTTTTAAGAGTAAGATTATTAGTTTTTCTAAGGAGTTTTTAGGCGCTTAAAATGTAGAACCTGACGAAAATTGCCAAATCGAACGATTTTATCAGCGGTTTTTGGTTTTAAGACGCATCGAAAAATTTAAGCCGTCATACAGTAATTGTCTGTTGATTTACCTTAAACTAACGATTTAAAGGGCTTTGGAAGATCTCTGACACTGAGCTATACTACAGCACCCCTCCAGCCGGCTGTCAATTTGAATCGTGTAAACCACGAGGGTCAACTGTTCCCTTAAACTTTCACCCAACCATCGATCATCGCTATCATAACTTGCTCTAGACAATGTCACATTACGCCATCACCCCCAATGTGCAATGAGTCAAATTGTGTACACACACATGAGTTCTCATACAATCGTATAGGGACACTCCATCACTAAAGGGGCCAAAAGGGCAACAGGGCCACCCGGTCCGGGTCCTAACCCCCCCTTCAGGGCATTTGGGTTGGCAGTTGGCCCTTCCCTCAGAATTGGAACCGACTGGGCGGTCAGTTCAGCGGTTGTCAAAGACAAACATTTACCCAAATTTACACCAGCTGTCGCGCCCGCCGCCACCACAGCTACGCCACCCCTGTTGCCATTGGGTGGTTGCGGATTGAGAGATATTGGCTGAATTCCAGGCTTACACACCGGTTGCCCGGGTTTTATCACTCAAATATTGGAGGGGAGGGCAGGAAAACTTTCGCGAAAGCTGCGGTCGGTCAAAATGGGGGGCGGCTACTTATGAAATGTCATCTGGAACCAATCGGGGGCTCGTTCAGCGTTTTCGCGAAATGGGCCTTGAACTTGTGTTGGTCGGCTGAACTTATTTTGAGAGGAAGCTGGCGGCTTTTTGGATCTTTGCTTACTGGAATCCGGAACATACCGTATGTAGTCGTACTCCATAATTGATCAGAATCGATTTATACGAAAAAAAGGCTGCAAAGTAGATCAAGCGGTACATCTTGAAGACCTCTTTCATTGACCGGTTTATTTTCAAAATCCCGAGCATCATAATTTGGAAATTAAGAAACTAGAATTTTTATAGTTTAATAATGTGTTCATGTCGAAATTCCATAAAGCTTTTTATGCATGGAATATTCATAGTTTCAGTAAATTTTCCGCGAAACTGATTTATTTTAGGCTTCAGCATACTAAAATTGCTTAATTCTTTCTCTTTCTGTTTTCGGCCTATTGTAGACTTTTTGACATCATCAAATTTCGACATTATCAATTTTGCCATAATGTTAGCGAATCCCAAGAACCTAGATACCTTCCAATCCCTTTTAATACCTGTTGATTTTGGCAACTTTGACCTCCAGCCATCACTTCCATTTGTTCCAATTGTAATCGGCAAAAACTAGTGCCACAATTAATTGAGGGGATTTCCCCGTGAACCTTCTTGTGACAACACAGACACTCGCCGTGTTCGCAACAAGAATGATGGGCCACCCAGTGTAGCTAAAGGAGGGATCGCGGATCCAAATGTTTGTGGGACGGGTTGTGGGGTTCATTGGTTAGTTCATGCGATAGGACCCACCAACTAACCACCCACCCTTCTTCACCCATTCATCAGTTTGGTTCGAGCCAAGGGGTCACCGTAGCTTTTCGCTAAGCCTTCGAACCCTTTTACAGCCATATTTCAGGGGGCTGGACTTTAGGGCTTTCATGGGTGGTCAGTTTAGGGTTGGGGGATTGTAGGCATTCATGGTTTTTATGAATACCCCGACGACTTTGGAAGTCTTACTTTCAAATAAGATTTTTCTGAATTCTGTATTGAATACAGTGTATTCTTACTTTATTCTGGTTTGTTAGCGGGGGGGACAGGATTACACATTTTGAATACAAAAATTCTTGCTATTTTCGACCAATTTTTACATTGGGAGGATGGAATATGTAGGACAGGCGTTAGAATCACACTAAAAAATTTTCATTTTTCAAAACTACTTGTGGACTTTTTAGCGATAAGCACCACTAAAAACACTATGAAATAATTTATAAAATACATTTTACGTTTAATACGGAAAGTTATATTGCTCCAAATACTCCGACACCCTGTCGCTAACGAACCAGAACCCCTTATTCAAAGTGTATCTTTTCAGGTTTTTTTGTGAGCAATCCTGGGTTGATATATTTTTATTGTTGTTGTTTTTAAAAGATTCAACCAACTTTTGCCTCGCTATATTCTGAGTTTTTTAAAACTGTTACTTCTATTTTTGCACGACAAAATCTCCCGCTTTTGATACGTTTTACACGTCCGAAAAACACCGCCCCTTTCATGTCAAACAAACGTGAAAATTGGTGTCCCCGCAGGGGGTTGTTTGAAATGTTTGAAGCGAACCCCCTGGACCACTAGCACCCTATTTTTTCGCCAGACGTTCGTTTTCAATTGGCCAGACCCCCATATCTTGTTCCAATTATCCGGTGAGGCGACCCTTGCACACAAAAAAGAACAAAGAAAAGCCGTAGCTCTGAGGGGGAAACATACGATCATCGGTCTGGGCCGGGATTTTGGTAGTGAAGCATGTTCGTAGAAAGAAGTTGGAAGTCGATGGTTGCTACTAGAAAAACATTTCCTTTTATTTGTTTTGGTATCAACGGTTGATATTTGTTCGTGATGCTGAATCACGGAAACGCCGCTTTAGCGCTTTTTTGTTCGGTTCCAAACTTCCTGTTTTGTGGAAAGCACGAAGCAAGTTTTGAGCTATAGTTTATTGTTTTATTATTTGCATAGTAACTAAAAATCGAGGTAAAAGACTGTTAAAAGACTGTTGGATGTGGAAACCTAACTTTAGTCTTCTCCCAACAACCAACAAAGTTGGCCACTAATAATAACATATAGATATCATTTATCTCAATTTTCATACCGTTTAAGGCATGAAAAAAAATCATCAAAAGCTCCAATATTTTGAAAATTATTTTTTTTTGTTCGAAAGTGTATGATAATCATCATTTTTAAATTTTTATCGTACATTTTCTAAAAATTTTTATGACCAGTTAGTAAATAAAAACTACTATAACCCATATCAAACTCAACTATAACCCCCCCCGTTAAAAGTCCAGTACCAAAAATTGCTAACCAGTCTCCAGGGTTTTTTGTTGTGGTCATTCACCCACTTTCTTCCTACTGGCACCTCCCAGCGCCGTGATCCCCCAAAAAACCGCAACATTTCACAGCCCCCAAAATTGCTCCATCTTTTATCCCAATTAGCCCCCACACCCAAGTTGATGGGCCGAAAAAGCGGGCCTAGAAAGAGAGTGCCCTACGGGTTCAAAAACGTGCCGCCACCAGGCGAAGATCGTACCCCAAGGGTATGATCTCGAGCGATCTCGAGCCGATTGAACGGTTGTGGGGTGGCAAATTGGAAGTGACGGACCACCGGCTGATTAGACACCTGATTGCTGGCCCAGCTCGCCATTATGTCGATCCTATGGGACCGCCTTCAATCGTTCCGCTTATTATGGTCAATCATGGAATGTCAATCTCTGTCAATCAGACTGTTATGACATGGCTGTGACCGGTTAATCCGTATTTTTGGATGGCCGTGGCCTAATTTGGATTGTATGGGTTCTTCGGGGTAATGACAGCTACCAAATTTTGTGTGGATTACTCGGCATTTGCGGCCCGAAATCCTCATTTTGACAACTTCATTAAAGCTATTTAAATATGTTTTGAACGTCCTTTGTGCTTTGTAAGACGAATATAGCCAATTGGCATCAAAAGATTCACTCAAAAATTATAAATGGAGCTGTTCGTTCACAAATTTCATTGCTTAAATGCCGTGAAACTTTTGCATGTTATATCATTATTATGCTGAAGATATTTTACAAAATTGTTGCTGCACATTCTTTTAGAACAATTTTGCCAATCAACCGTCGGTGATTCGGAAAACGTGGGAGCGGTTGGTAGGAGCCTCGCGGTAATTAGCCACTTCAGCCGCGCGCTTTTTGTTATTTCTCGGATATACACCACCCATTCCACTCGTTTGCGGATTCCCTGTATATTTATTTTACTCAATTTTTAGAGGAGACTGTGTATTTCCGGAACAACTTTTCAAATTTCCCTTAACCTCGGCGCGACTACTAATAATCCCGATTCACCACCATTCTCAATTCATTGGAGCTCGACGCACAAAAAAAACCCTCTTGTGGCGCCCCGTATGCGGAAAACAATTGAGCATTGGAAAAGGAGGCCTCTCGGAAGAGGGACCCGTCACAATGCTTCGAATATTACAAGTGGTGAAGGGGGAGAAGGAGGTCCACATTTGAGACAAAGCCGCCGCCTCGCTGGGACCAAACTCGCCTCATTGGGCCCGCCCCGATTCATCTAACGAAAAATTGGCACACCGGGCACCCAAGGAGATTAGCTCAAAAGTTCTTTCCGGTTCTATTGTTTGAAGTTGCTAGAGTTTTTTTTTTGGAGAAGGTGCCAAATATAGTGGGCCAAAGTAGCAACTTAGCTATAGAAAACATTAGCTACCGTAACCCAGGTTATTATATTTTATAAAGTTCTTCTGATTGTGTTTGTTTTCTAACAAATTTGTTTGTAGCTGTTTAAATCGTCAGAAATAGAAACCAATTTTATAGATGCGCTTGTCAATGATGCGGCTTCTGCTTTTACTATTCGGAATAACTGCCATAGCGTATGGCTTGCGGATATGCAGGGGTGGAGAGGTAGAACAATTCACTTAAAGGTTAATATACGATGTTTCAGACGAAAAACTGCTTGTTAGACGTCCCAAGAAAAGAAATCCGGCATCTCGATCTTCAACAGAGGATAACGCTTTGAATAGTTTCTTTGTGCCTTACAAGTAATTTCTTAAAAATCTACAACCTTGTTTTTCAGGAAAACGCTGCTAAAAGCCTTTTGGCGGTTGAAGAAGGGTTACGGTAGGCAAGAATGGAGCGATATTCTCTCTGGTGATCGGGCTCACGAACTTGTCAGCAGGTAGGACCTATAATCTATCGTAGGATTAACTCATCCTATCGCATGAGCAAGAGCTTTGCACAAAGTTGTTGCTCGGTTTTTAGTAGTGCAATTTCATTCTTGGGCAGATCGGAGGGGGGGCATCATTCATTTGATCTCAATGGCCCAATTTGCCCCCTCTACCCCTCGAAAGTGGCAGACTTTTGGCAACACTTGGGTTAATTGGGCCGTTTGTGTAATTGGGAAGGAACAGAATTGGGGGTGTGGGCTAAAGTTGAGTAGAAGAAAGTATAAAGTATTACCGAAATAATTCTTTACTGATCTTATCGGTACTTTATTATGTTAATTAGAACTTTGCATAGAAAAATGACTTTCCAAATGTCTAAAAAACGCCTTAGAGATTAGTTTTTGACCGAACAACCAAAAAAAATTGCGCACAATTTCGTACATCGTACACCCTTTTTGCAGCATGGACGACGTGATGGCTGCAGAGGGTGTGTTTACACCCTTCTGGTCTTGGCAGCTGGAAATGAGGCTGCCCAAGCCCGAAGAGTCTTCCCTCTATTCCGATGATTTTCTACCTAAACATACATCCCGGGGTGAACGCGCGGCTAGGCAGCCGGTAAAGCCCGAAAATTTAAAGCAATTCCTTAAATTTAGCACAAATTCCCCTATCTCTTCGAAATCAAGAAGACAAAAAATAGCCAGCTGTTCTTTTTGCTGCGCAGAATTTCTGAGGCTCAAACGGAACGGAACGGTATTTTCAAATTAATTTCAAGCAAAAATCTTGTAGAAACGTGCGCAGCTCTTTGTCCGAACAATACTGAATGGCTGGTTTGTGACAAACGGCTGGACCGATGTGTTGCTACGGTTAGTGTATAATTAACTTTTAGTCGCGCTAAATACGTAAAGATGAGTTCCAAGTACGTAAAGATAGTAAATACGTAAAGAAGAGGTGTCATTGATTTTCATAGTAACCAGGGTTGAAAAACCGCTCCGCGGCTTTTCAACCCTGGCCCCGTCTAGGATCGATGAAGTTATTGACTTTGCATAATTCTTGCCGAAAACCGCTCACCAAAAATGAAAAGGGCGCCCTATCTTCCTTTTTATAAACCATTTCCGCTTCCGGCGTATGCTAATTGCTTCCTAACAAAGAGGTTGGCCGAAAACTTTACAAAAACCTAATTTTAATATCGAAAATAGCAATTTTTGAAAACTTTTATGTGTGTGCAGTCGATTCCGGGCCCTTCTTTACGCTATGACGTTTCCTCCTTACCGAAAAAATGCTTCCCTGAGGCTGTAAGTGCGGAACATCCAAACGGAAGTGCATGCAAATATACACACACACACACACACACAGACACTATTTTTTATATATAGTAGGATTTTTTAGGTAAATGAGGGAGGTAGCTGCCTGCATTTGAAGAAAGGAGCCTGCCGGAATTCGGAGTGCTCACGTGGCATTTGCAAAGCGAGAGATAGCTCAAAGGATATTCATAAAAACCTGCATGCCAAGAAGATTCAATATGAAGAGCCGACAACCACCGTTTCGATTCCTGAAACAACTGAGGAAATTTTTGAGGCTTCAGGTATCTTATCTTTTCCGAAGCATATGATACGTTATTTTTCAGGAGAAGAACCAGCCACTGAAATTACATTGAGCGCGGAGCCTGAAGAGAACGCAGAAAGGCGCCGCAAATTCCGAACTCTGGATGGTGCACCGGTATGTCACTTCAAAATTTGAAACATGGTTTTACTGACAGGACCCGGAGTTCAAGCCGTTGTTAATGAAAACGATCAGAAAAACGGCTGAGAAACCCCAGCTTGTTGCCTTGCCGCCTGTGCCCTCTATGAAGGATCTCCCAGATCCATATGTGAAGCCGAAAAACCAGCCATTTTATGGAGAAGAGTTGACGAAGGTAATCGAGTTTAGTTGTGTATGCATCAAAAAGTTTAAAGATTCCGGCTGAGCATGAAGGACCGTTGCTAACCAGTGAATTACTGCCAAAAGGGACACTTCGATTCGCTGACTCTGCTCCGTTTCCAACCGTATATTTCACCGTGACGGTCATTGAGGGCGAATACCGTAAGCGGAAGAGGAGACAGCGATTCGCTTCCGGATATACCGTTTATACAACCGGAGCTAATATGCCTAACGGATATACCCATAAATTTGAGGTAAGTATGAAAATTTCAAAAAAAAAGAATATTGACCTTTCAGGGTCATGTTGTTAATGGAACTACAGTATTACGAGTTCTCGACCCCCAAGGAGGTCTTCTCACCGAATTTAATGTGACCGTATTGGACAAACAAGGAAGAACATGCCAACAAGTCTGTAAATATGGAATCCGAACGGTGAGTTGTGGAAAATTCTAAAATTGAATCGAGTAACTAACAAACGATTATTAAAAAATAATACCAAATTCCAGTCCTACCGCCAATGCCTCACCGATATCGTCCGCCTTAGTTCGTATCCCCAGTATTCTGACCCAATCACCGTATATCCGGTAAAAAAGCCACCTCAAACGTGTTGAAAAACATAATTTAGACTCCAAACGAAGCGTTGCAGTCAGCTTGGCGCGGGCAGGGATACTTCCGGGAGCGAAAACCTGATTATCTAGTCTTTAAATGTCCTAATGAACGGAGACATCGGAAACGTCATTCTAAAACGGGACGTTTCCATGTGTCGGTTTAGTCTCTGAAAATGGTCTCATCATTTGACTCTCTTTGTGTGTGTTGCGATGTATAAATATTAATCGAGGTATACGCATGAAAAATAACGAAAAAGGTACTCGGAACAGCCCGGGGTAACTACAGACTACGATTTATATATAGGTTTCCTAGACATTCGTTTCTATTGCACTTGCAGCCAGCCGCTGCTTTTCAAATGCGGCATCTTCGCGCTAGTTCCCCTGAGCAGATGTCTGCGCCGGAACTGTCGAAGCGCCCATGCCCCGAGGGCCGCTATCTATCTTCCACTTCAGATTCTGTAAAATCCACTAATTCCGATCTATATTATATCATCTAAAACTAAAAACCAACCCCTACAGTCTTCACTCTAGACATAAAGCTGCACTGGGCGCCGATTCGTGAGCTACTTCTGAAAGGTAAACCCCAAATATTAACGCGATTTTCGAAACTCTCGCCTCCAAGCGAACGCAGCTTGTTTAATTTGAAATTAATTTATGGCAGCCTTGATTAAATTGGTGCAAAAAAATAAGTTGTTTGCCATAGGTTATATGCGTTTCATACCACGTATTAGAAGTTATCATTTTTACAGGATGCCCCTTTTCTAACTAAGGGTTGAACTAATAAAATCATCAGCATTTTTGTGATTGATTCTTGTTCGTGTTTCCCCTAAAACCTTCTAAACCTTCTAAAACTTGCGAACGCTATCGATATATGCTAGCGACATCGCTATGAATAGTTGCAAATTGTTCCTTTGAAACATATTAACCCAAACTTACGCTAATTCCTTGAAATCACCTATCTTATTTCATTTTATCGTGTTTGTTTTTTGTGTTGCCCCAATTGCTGACAGCAGGGACATTAGTGCGTAGAGATCCGATTGATAAGGATGTTGCTGTAATTTGGAGCGGTCTGTCCAATAATGCCATCCTTTCGCCGACGGCTTTTTTCTGCCTTTCCTCTTTTCCATGTCAATTTCTAAAACAATATCATTTTATTGTTCTAGTCTTTTGTCAGCACATATCGAACCTCTGTCTCCCCTTTTCTGACATTGTCTCCAGGCGCATCCTGGTTTTTTTATTTTGTCAATAGTCTGGTTTAGCCCCCGTTCTGTGTATACATTTTGTGGCAACCTGCTCCATTTGCGTGGCTATGTCTGAAGAAGCTCTTCTGTTAGATGCTAACATCGAAGGGATTAATGACATCGCTGATGTAAGCGTTTTGATTTACCGTTTCCATTGTAGATTATCGGTCGAGACAAATGTTCTTTTTAGCTCAACGAAGATGACTTGTTGGCCGACTTCACTGACCCCAATTCCTCCTTTAATGCTGCAGGAGGATCAAGCCTGAACCTCACAGCGGTATCTTTTTTCTTGAAGTAGTATATGGTTTTTAGGAACTGGAGCTCGACTACTCAGACGATCCGCCCAATATCGAGCCGACGCCTGAAGTGCCGACTGCAGATGATGATGATGAGCGTGATTCTAGGTTTTCGTCCGAACGGAATAAGGTGTGTTTATTTCTATTATTCTAACAATGGTTCGGCTTTCCTCGACATCCCTGTACCTCTCCAACGACTCCATTTTCAGAACACGAAAGCGAAAGTACCGGATATGAAGAATGAGAAGCTCGAAAAAGAGAAGCCTCCTTCATTTGTTGTCAAAATCGAGCCCCAGAGCGCCACCACGAAGAACGTTCAACACGGATATGCTGGTTTCGGCGGAAAGAAGGCCCCAGCTTCCTCGTTTCAGGTTTGTTTTTCTTGTTTTCGAGTTTTGATAACATAACTCGGCTTACTGATTTTCCGTTCAGGCAAGCGACATGAAACGGCGCCCGCCACCTCAACATGGCCAAGGGCCTGCTCCGTCTTTGATGGGTCTGAATTTGAACCGGACCGCTACAAGACCTGCTGAGATCCACATCAACCCAAAGTTCGCACGGAGTAAGTTTATTTCTCAGTTATACGTTGGTTTGTTAGCCCGTATTATCAGTGCAATCCTTTTTTGCAGGTGGTCTGCTCCCCAGCTACACTCATCCGCCAGCGCCTTTTGGGGCAATCCCCGCATCGGCGTGGGACCAGCAAGTAGCCCAATTCCTGGCACACGCATCTACAGCAAGCCGCCGCTCTCCTTCATCCGATTCGAGCCGAAGGTTGAATTATGGAATTGACTTATTCTTTTGTTTTCAGTCGTGCTCGATCGCGTTCGAGGTCCCCGCGCGAGCGCAGGCGACACCCCAGCCCGGGCCGCGATCGTGAGCGCAGAAGGAGCCCCAGGAATAGTCAACGTTCAAGAAAGCCCTCTACTAGCCCTCGTAAACAACCATCCGCTCAACAGGTGCGTTTTCCACTACTTACTTTTATTGTAAGCGTGTGATATCGCCTTTTTACTTCAAATCAATAACTTTTTTAGTCAGCGTTGGAGAGTGCGAAGGCGCTTGGACTTGATGAGAGCTATCTCGAGAAATTGGAAGAACAGAAGCGTCGTCGTGAAGAGCTTTTGAGCCGTAAGGGCAAGAGTGCCGTGTCTACCAATGTACCAGAGCCCAAACCGGCACCCGCTTCTCCGAGATTCATCCGCAAGGTTTGTATATCATTTAATTTATCTTATTTTGATAGATTTCGCCGGAAACGGAGACAATGTTCGCAAAAACGACGGCCGCCAAGGATAACAAAAACAAGGTGCGCATCTGGTTGAGGGTCACGCTTATTTTTCCAGGCCTGCCTCGTGGTGAGCGTATCCGACGTTTCCTCATTTCGACAAAATGCCCTCCACAAAATCCGCCGCTTAGCTGTGCGCTATGGACCTCTCAAAGTAAGTCGTCAATTTTGTTCAATATATTTTTTGCAGAGGATATGGTGCGAAGACGAAAAGACTGTCAAGCTGATATTTGATGGGCTGAAGACCGCCAATACTTTCTTCAGTACCCAGAACGGGTACGTTTTCGCCGTTCGATTTTTATGGGAACTTTTTAGGAAGATATTTGATGGTGTGATGCTCAACGTCATGCTGGCAAAGGAGTACCATCCGATCGACTAGGATTCGCCACATTCCTCAAAGTTTTTTCTGTGCAATACTTATGTTTGTCTTGTATCCTTGACATAAGGGATCTTTTTTCGCTGTTAGATTTCTACTAGTTTTGTTATACGGGTTTACCTAATTACTGTGAATTTCGCATCCTCGATTAATGATAAATCTTTTTGTGGCTGATTTCTTAGTCAAGGGGAATGACACAATCGAGGGGACCTTGAGTTTTAACTTAGAGGAGAATACTCAAGAAACAAATTCCAGTTATGTAAAACAGCGGGTATTGTGTGTGCGCTGTATCTAGGCTCGTTTTTAGCCAATATTTAGCAAATATATCGGAGTGTTCTTGAGAGCCGAATTTCGATCCAGCGATGGCATCCGTGTGAAGGAATTGTTCGTGAGGATGCGGGACCCGATGAGAATGAAGGGGGCAGATCTGAGTGAGCAAACAGGTCCCCGCCTCGAGCCCGACAACCCGTTTCACGCCCATCCTCCTGACCATGGCTCGCCCTCGCCAAGCTGCATTGTCTTCCGTGGCATTCCATTCTTCATTTTTGGCACTTCCTCACCAGCGGAACGTCTTCGGGTCATCATAGTTCATTGCAAATGTTGCGTATGTCCTAAATTTAGCCCTCGATCCCTTCGCAGGTCCTGATTCACTGCAAATTTATGCCATGGCTACTATAACTTATCTCATTTTATTGTGGGCAGCTTCATTACATTATCTTGTAGGCTTAATTCGGTGGCTTCTGACAGAACCTTACTCTGGTTGTCTTGTTCCGTGGGGTTTTTTTGGAGCGACCTGGTCATTGCTAGATTTCAGTTCTGGCGAAGCTCCTCCAGCTTTTAGCTTGACGCTTTTCCTTCATTTTTCAAAGTAGTATAGTTTTTTGCGAAAAAGAATACGAGTGACGACCTAGCGATAGTTGTTTTCCGGATAGGCCCCCCATATTCCCACCTGATATTTAGGAACATTTTACACGCCAAACTCCATGCACGCTTCAAGGTTGACTCGCCGTCTTCTTCGTTTGGCAATAGATTTAAGCAGTAACTGCATCCACTGAAAAGTCAAAATGTCCTTTCATAACCGTTTCAACCCCGAGCCTGTGCTGGCTAGCCCCCGGAGGGCAGGCAGGAGCGGGCGGATTTGCCGGTTGATTACGCAGCTGATTCACTCTTTCCCCCTGCTATTCTCCAACATGTTGCCGGTGTCAAGCAGACAATCCCGTTGTCCATGTGTCCGGTCGGGGGCGGCATCAAATCGTAGGGCTCAAATCATAGGGATCGCCGTTATGGGCTTGCATCGGATTTTCTTCAGTGGAATTTGCGCCGTTGATGCGGGACCGGTATGACCCTTTTAGCCGGCTGTGTCGTGCTTGTCCGTCTATCCGGTGTGCCGTGTCTAATTGGCCGGGAATGGCATATCAAGGAGCCGTGGGGTGGAGAGGCTATCTCGTGGATGGATCTCACAATCCCCGGGGCAGCTTCTTTCCGGCTACGATCTTGGTGCGCGTTATTTTACGCCCCCGATTCCTCGGCTTCTCGGTCCCGTGCGGATTTTGGTTCTCCGGATCGTTATCTAACTACTAAGACTTTAGCTGGGCAAAAAAAACGAAATTTATTTTGAAAAATGGAGATGCAGGTTTTGTAAACAGTAATAAAAGTGTAAATAGTTTACTTTTTATTACGGTTTTGCCTGTTTCAGGTTATAAAATCACTGTATAACGCCAAAAATTCCATTATTGTTGATAGTTCTTGCCCTATTTACAAGTTTTATTTTTTTTATAAATTCCTAGTGACGTTTTTATGCGTTTATAGTTTCTATTTAATTCATAAGCCACGACGGTATAAAACCAGTTTCTTAATACCGGATTCCAGAACCCGCCTTTTCTGCCATCCATTATAGTCTTTGCTAAAACACGCAATCTCCTCAAAGTCATTTCTCAAGAATGCAGTTTCTGAAAACGAATCTAGCTAACGGATTCATTTGTCAAGCTCTTTCTCCCGACAAATAGAACAAGAACACCATGTCTAACCCTGCGGACAAGAAAGGGAATCTTCGAATAGCAAACATAACCAGTTTCACACCGTTTTCGGGGGCAGCGATGGCGTGCACACTCGAGTTATTTTTCTGCCTAGATGGCTGAGCGTTCTCGCTGTCGCCCTCCCCCAGGGGGAGCAGGGAGGGCTTTCTCCTTTGATCGGCTCTACTTGACACCTCCATTGGCACCTCAACGCCCTCAATACAGACAGATTGTTCGGAACACAGCACAGCTTCATACGCACCGGGAATATGCCCTTGGCACTAGTGTTCAATAAACATGTAGGTGCAGCGGTATCTTTTCTTTTAATTTTTAAAACAGGTCTTGTAAAGCTTTAATATCAAAAATACTGATTCCCAGAATCCCGAATTCCAAAACCAGACGTCTGCTAAATGTAAAAAAGCAAAACGTAGTTTGTAGTTGCATATACCAATCCAAGCGAGACCAACTAGTGACTCCTTAATTTTGTAAAGTTCACCCAGTTCGTTTTTCTAAAGAATAGATCCACAATTTCGTCCAACTCTCCCAGTAAAGTAAGGGTCACTCGGATAAGCCTTCTGTATTGCTACTGGAGAAGCCATAAACTTTGTGGGTGTTCTGCCCTGATCGTCCCATGTCCATTCCGGTCACTCACGCGCCTACTGTGGCGCTCCTTGACCTTTTCAAAATTCCAAGGATTCTGGCTCAAGTTTCACTGTTCTTTGGAAGCTAGCGAGCTCTGGTGATTTGTTCCTGTCTTTGTATTATCTGTTTCTCAAATCCAAACAAATGCAGGATGTGAAGAAAGTTGACTTCGGCTTTTTGTGATGAAATTATGCAAAATATGCCGGTTTAAAGGGGGTGGAACCAATTATTCGCGATTTTGGACCGGATTCGCGGAAAAAACGGAAACAAAAATTTATCATTTATTGGGATCCCGCTTTTGCAAATTCGAGTAGACTTATTTTCGGATTTGTATAAATTCTGAATAATCTTTACATCTAGTAAAGCGAAGGAGGATAATGAATGACCTTTTCTTATACGAATTATAGTACGGCTTGAACGGATCATTGACTAAGAATATACCCTGCTTTAGGCAAAAACCTGTCTTTTTTTTGTTATGATGGGTTTTTGATGACAATGCCCTCTCCTCAACTGTCCACTGGCATTTGCCATAGCGGACTAGTGGGGGGTGGGGATGACCGTGGTGGGGGTCGAGGAGTCGTTGTTAGGGATGGGTGTGGAATAGACGGACGGTGAGCCGGTTGTGTGAAGAGCTTCTTCCACCCGGGGCGATGCTTTCCCTTCGCTTGCCATGGCTGCTTCGGAACGCCCGCTGTTCGGTTTCTTATATTGCATTCTGGCATTCCCTGCTGTACGCAATTGCACTTTCAAATGTATCAAGGGTTGAAATGGGTAAACTTAAGGGCGTTTTAGTTTTGAATGCGTATCACTTACGGCACCATGGTTTTGAATGTTCACTACCGTACTTGCTATTATGCATATACTGTTATTACCACAGTACGTTCACTTTCTAATTAGCTTCGACTTTTGAATCTAGTAAGATTGAATTTCCGCTCATTTTGTGGAAAGCAGTCGAGGCAACTTGTGTTGTATTCAACCCGAAAAGTTGCATTACATTACAAAATTCGCCATAAACAGATAAAATGAAGATGGTTCAAAAAATCGGTTGCAAATTTTGCAGGATGCAAATTTTACTTTTAAGAAAAATGGCCTGGGGACAGGCTAAATTGACCCTTGCATTTTGCAGCCTAATTAGCCTGTTATTCCGATGACCGGCCTATATGCGTAAAATCTCCACTTCCCCCATGCAACTTTGAAGCTCAACTCATCCACCATCCTCCCACATCCCCCTCCCAAACCCAGCTGCTTCCCTTTAGACGCCCCATCAAGCTGCCATCCGATCCCAGGACAGCTGTATCTTACTGTTTCTTTAATGTGTTCGCACAAAGAGTAGCCACGGGGGTGGATGGGCAAAAGAAATGAGAAGGTGTAGTGAGCAAGAGGAAGGGTGGGAACTGGTTGCAATTGACTCGATGGCGCGCCATTGGGCAACCACAATCGGCGTCCCAAGCGTCACCCCATCTCCCCTTCCTACCCCCCGTGGGGTACAGATCGGACCATAGACCAGTCCTACGGTGGGCGGACATATCTACGATATGAACGGATGAACGAAGAGAGGAGACGTGGCTTCTTGTCTTCACTTTGTTCTGCCATCCACGCACTCCCTTGCTCTTCATTCCATCGGTCAAGCTAGAACGAACGACCAGGGCATAGATTATTATCTCAATCTTTGTACGCAGCGTGCTTCGTGACGTTCGTGCGTAGCATTTTAGTTTTGCTGGTTTAATGCTATTTTTAAGAATCATTTCATGCATTTTATATTTCAAGAATTTATACTTTTTATTTCGCATGTTAGTGTTCAAAACTTGCTTTTCGACTTTAACCCTGGTCGTCACATACGAACCTATTTTGGTAGCCACTTTACATACCATTCTCAATGAAAGTATTAAAAAGCAGATTTTAGATCTAGCGATTTTCACATCAGTAGATCTAGCGTTTCCGATCCCGGCCAATTGTAGATCATCCTGGTTTACGCAGGGCTTCCTTGTCCCTTTAAAATTTTGCCAATTGCGTGATCAAGTTATAGTTTTTTTCCATCTCATTCCTACCAGGAAAACATCAAAAAGCACCTCCTTTTTGCCTCCTCCCCACCCCACCCTCACGACGGCATGATTTCCAAAAAAAACCAGATCACCGAATGGCGGTTCCGGAAGGCAAAGGGCATCCAGGTGACCGAGGGATTGGCGGGTGGATGGCCGATCAGAAAAGCTGAAACCGGCCCAGATGGAGAATGGGTGACAGAAGGATGTCCCCTTCTCCACCTCCTTTTCCTCCTCTTCCCCCCTCTTCCGCCTCCCCTCCGGCGGCAATGCTGTAGATAATCCTAGGCACGAATCCACCTCGTTGACCCGTACTGTGTCGTGCTGCATCTGTCGTTCTGTGCTAGGTTCTGTTTGGAGCGGGTGAACGTGTTTGATCCTCGCCCCGGCCCCCGGTCAGCTCCACCCCGAAAAAAATACTTCTTCTTCTTCTTCGACACAGTTTTTTTGGGGCTTCAATCCCTCCCGCGGTCAGTGCCCTGAATTTCTCGGCCACACAAAAAAATGGGGCTGTATGTTTTTTTTTGAGGGGGAATGGCGCCCGGATGGGCATGACAGAATCACTTCCGAGAACGCTGCGATTCAGTTTACCCTATTGTGTGCCCTGAAGGGGCTCTCCAAACCAGCCGGCAAAATTTTTTCTCTGCCCGTCGAGCGATTGTACGTACCATCGCATAGCAACTAATATTTTGCTATAGAGGATGAATCGCAAGATATTTTTATAACTTCAAGCAAATAATTACCAGAAATTTTTTCTAATTATTTCAAGCGGCGAAGAATTTAACGATTTTTTCAAATGGATTATATTATTTTTTTTTCTACTATTTCACAGCCACTTTTTCTAAATTATGGTTTTTAAACATTTACCATTTTTTCAGAATGCTAATATATCTCCTGTTGTTAGCAGGGCTACAATTGGCTGTGAATGCGCAACAGGTTGACCACCATACCCCTCGAGAACAACCCGTTTTAGGTGAATGTCACAATATTCACGGAATCCCAGTGTCCCTACTGTACAAAACTGTTGCGGGAACAAATATGGCCATTTTATGTGACGAAACCGGGCATCATGAATTTGCAGGTAATAGAAAAACTTTGATTTTAAGCTTTTGATTGTCGTAAGAAATTGGGTTATCATTTTTAAGCGATTCGAGCGGAAGTTAGACATAAACACCTATCGTTCCTTCAGTATCTCTGCGTAAATAGACGTATACGTAATAATCCCTGAATTTGATTGAGTTTGAATTTACCTGAATCCGCCACTTTTCGATGCTATCACTTAGACAGCTGATTGCCCGCGGCGTGGAGATGTTTTTCAGTTTTTCGCGTTCCGCCTGTTGACTGATTACGGCCTCATCAGCTCAAAAATCCCCTCCAGCCCTGTATTCCAGATTGTCGCTTTCGGCAAAGGAGATTGTGTCTATGATGCCAACCGTAATTTCCATTGCTCGTGCATGCATGGTCAGACCGAATGCGATCTGAACCGGTTGCAGAACTGCGCCATGTCGGCAAGTTTTTAACGGGGAATTGGCATCCGAGTTTCGAGCGGCTGTTCGATTTATCTGGAACTTTTAAGTACTTCCCGCGACGACATCTTGGATTAGTGACATGCATTCAAGGGCTGAAGACGCTTCGTGAGGCTTTCTCTCGATGCCTTAGCCGATTGTCTGCCAGGACTCAAAGGTTTTTAGGCTAATAACGGAATTCAAAATTTGAAATGAATTTAGGAAACTGATCGAATGTGCGACGACACAAACGGGAGAACTTCTTAACTATTATTCGATGGTTAATACGCATCGAGCTGGAGTTAAGGTGGGTTTACTGGGATAGTGTCAGCCGATTTTCGTGTTTGTCTTCTAATATTTTTCTAATATATTATCTAAAATTCTAATATTAAATAGTAGCAAATCTTCCGATTCTTATTTGCCAGTTCCTATTTATGAATGCTAATGAGACTTCGTAGTTACTAAAAAATCTCAAATAGGATTACAGGCACCGAATTTAGCAATTAAAGGGCACGTTCAGGGACGTTTTTTGGAAAAAAGCAAAGATTGCCGCGGCCGGGGGTCGAACCCGGACCCCCGCTCGGGAGGCGGATGGATACCAGCAGCCACAGCACAACCTGGTGAGGAGGCGAGGGGCCCCCACGCCGCAAAGGGGGGAATGGCCTGTCACAGCACGGGCAGGCGGTGCGCGCGGTCCCAACGTCCATAGGGTGTACACGTTGGGACGAGTACACGGCCCCTCCCTGAACGTGCGCTTTAAGTTTCAACTTATAAATTTTAGAACCAATTTAAGTTAAGCCATATAAACCATAACTACTACTGCGTCGATATTTTTCATAAGAACCTTAGAGCGGAGAATTAGCTGCAGTAAAATTAGAATCCGCGAGATGACAAAGAAAATGAAAAACTGCCAACTCAAAATCAGCGAAATAAACTTAAATAAAAATCATAGAACTTTTTTAGCTATGGCCAACAATGTACGTAAACGGTGTATTCTTCGACCGAAGCTACCCAGTCGAACAAAAGCTATGCGAGACGACCAACTGGTGCTAAAAATGGGATCGCGCTGACAAGCGGGCCTCTAATTTCCTCCTCGGGTTGCCCAAAATATATACAACTTCGATGTATTCCATTTGATCCATATTGACATCACTCATCCCTCCCTCCCAACTTGCCAATATTTGCTCACCAATTTTATGCGCATTTCGTTGCCGATTAATATAAATATGGATATAAATATTTTTTAAATTCACAGCGGGCAAAAATACATTGGTTCCTTTTATATGTATACAGGGTGTCCCAAACCCCCCAGCGGCGCCCAGACGTGTCCGATTCTCGCCGTTTAGGTATCTATCAGCTCTCGAAAAGGCGAAAACATGGAGGGTTGATTTCTTTATTATGTATTTTATTGGCGAATTTTACCTCCAAAATCCATGAAAACGGCTGATTTACGCGAGATCCGCATGCTAATTGCGAAATTCCTATTGAAAAGATACCTGTTTTTTAGAAAAACGCTGAATATCGGACGAATCAGAATAAATCTTAGAAAATGAAGCCCGCTTGTTTTCTCGCCTTTTCGCGGGCGTTCGAATGGTATAAAAATCATCCTGATCTGAGCTTCCCACGGACCGCTGAGGGGGTTGGGACACCCTGTATAGTCATCACTGGCAATTATACAACTATTAAATGCTATTAAATACTAAAACGCTATTTCCATCAAAGTCCGATGACCATGTAGTAATCTAGGCCGACGCTCACTCCTAGATGCCTTTCTAATAGCCCCTAAAAATCCCTTATCCGAAGCTGTTATTGCGATAACACTTTTTTTGGGCAATTTATAGAAAGTATTTATACACCAAGATTCGATTTATTTGTAGGACATAGAAAGATGGTAGGTGTGTACTTTATAAAAACGATGTAACCGGGTTTTTATTACATAAACCAATTTTTGCCACCAGTAAAACAATACAGGGTGTCCCAAAAAAAGCCCTAAACAGCAAATGGCATTTTTCAGCAAATATTATGCAAAATCAGCTCGTAAATGACAAAAATACGCACATTTTTGATGTAAGTGACAGAAGTCCCCATACAAAATAAAAATAAAAAGTATTTTCGCTATAACTTTAAAAACCGGCGACCGATCGTGCTTAAGCCTTTTGTGTTCATGGGAAATTGGCTTCGCTACCTTTGTGCAAAATTTCAAGTCGGTCGGACCCGAAATGAAGAAATGCGGCCGGTGTCTTTTTTTGGGACACCCGGTATATTAAGACGACAAATGGAATTTAAAAGTCCAGGTATCGCTAGCTAAACTATCCGGCCGATCCTAAAGACCAAGGCCATGGCTGTTAACTTTTTTTCAACGCGGAACGCATGGAGTAAACGCCCGAACGGCCGAACAACGACATGGTTTTGTGGGGCGGGTGATGGAATGAATGGCTACTATAGAATGAAAAGGGTGAGGGGATAGGGGTAGAAGTGACGGACTGCCGGCTCGCATCGCCCATTTCATTCAACAAAATACAGATGATCCGCCGCTGTGCGCTACTTACATACAGCCATCATCCCCCAATACACGCCTGTAGCCCACCAGGCAACACTCGCTGTCTAGTAGATGTCTTCCGTGCTTGCTTTCAAATTTTAACTAACTTTAGTGCTAAATTGATTTTTTCGTAGTTTATATTTTTAAACGCTTGGAAAAGGTCATTTCATGCTCAATCCTTTACTCTCCCCGTCCAGATTCCAAGGCTTCCGATATTATCCACTTTCGGTTATCTTCACTCCGCTCGATAGAGCATCCCAATCTGCGTATTAAGCATGTAATTCTGGATCAAAATATTTTAATATAAATAGTCTTAGCGTCAAAATAACCATGGAATATTCTCAGCAAAACAAGGTCAATGCGGAAAACCTATTAAAACCTAATTTAAAGTTGCAATTTTGTAGGCTTTTTCCGCAATTCCCTGATCAATTTGGGCCTTCTGCGCGGTTACTACCATTTTTAATATTCCAAGAATGTTGCTTCCCCCATCGCAACGTCGCAATGCCACGTCGGAAATTCCCCTAAAAAATGTCCAATTTGCCGGGTGTGTGACCTCGAGAGGGCTGTAGTCCCCCCGGTCCGAGAGGCTACTCCGAAACAGCTGTGGTCCCCCGTCACCGTGAAATGACTTGTAAAAAACTGGTTCCCTGCCCATTACTCAACGGTCCCTCTCCGCCCCGCAAAAGCTATTTTTGCTCTCGTTGTATAGGTTCGGGTATGTCCATTTTATCATAAACTTTTTGTGGTGAGCGCTCGCAACAGGCGCTGGAATTGATCTTTCTTCATTAATCGCTGTCTCGGGAGTAGTTTTTGTGATATTAAAGGGACCGGTAAGGCACACTTGTGGATGCTAAGTTATTTCCTTTGCCCCTTTTCAGAGATGATAAGTTCTAAAAATTTTAATAGCCTGTAAAGAAAGCCGTAAAATTGTGTAAATTACACACGGCAGCCCGAATTTCTCGCTCGCTGTATGTTTTTGTACTGGCGATCGGCGATAGCCAGGTGGTCGAATGGTCGGCCCACAGCTCGTTGACAGTTCGGCACTGTTCACAACGGCTCACATTCCCCGTTTTTCATCGAATCTCGCCGAAATGCAACAAACACAGCTGCCTCCCTTCCCTCCGAATGCCCTTCGGTTCTTAGGAGCCTTCCAATCTTATTTCGGTTCCAATGAAGACCAATAGTTCGATTTAGAGATGTTAAAAATAACTGCTTTCCGGAAAGAAAGCATTTTTTGGATTTTAATGAGAGTTACTACATGGTCAGATGTAAATTTCCCGCAACCACCCCTGTACAATTTGCATGGCGAATTTTCACAAAATCAAAAAATGTCCCGGAAAATAAAGTGATTATTCCAACGCAATCAAGCTAAATCAAATCAACTATGCGTATTCAAGCAACCGTGCTAAAAAATTATTGATTGACTTTGATTTTGGATGCAAGTCAAGTTGTTTATGTAAAATTATTTGTTTCCAGGTTCTGGTTTAACTCGCAAAAATTTTGCCAGTCCATGTTTGCGAACGCGCTACGACGAACCTCTTTGCGCTGCCATGTAATAAAACTGGCAGTCAATGTCAAACTATCCCTCATAAAGTCTCTGACACCTTTTCACGAGTTTCGAGGTGTCAATCAGTCAACAAAAAAAAAGCGTCGCGCCTGACCGTTTCGTCCAACTGGCACCAGCCAGTGACCGAACAGACCCCCCACGAAAAAACGAGCACAAACATAGAGGCATTGATTAAAAGCCGGGGCCCCGCCTTTCTTTTCGCTCTTTCCTTTTTGCGCGTTGTTGACGAGATGATTCACGTAGTTGACCAGTCGGCTGCCTCAGTATTCGATATCGATTCAACATTGAAGAAGCGAAATTTCTGGTTTAATATTTGTTTGTGCATCTCGGCTTGCGTTAAAAATCAAGAAAAGCGTGAAAAAGCGTTTGTAGTACTATTATTCTGTTCCTCTAAACTACGCATATTTATGCAAAGGCGAGTCGACTGGATGGATGGACCACTGTTTGCCCACAGTCTCCTCCTTCCTTTCCAGTTGGCTCAACCAAAGCGGTTTTAGTGTTTGGGAGGATCGAGGAAGTGGTAAACTTTCCTAGATCCAACCCCCTGTGCGTTGTTGCTATATGTAGTTTTTGACGGTGCGCTGGCTCTTTGGGAAGGTTTTCGATATTTTATGGTTCTAGAAGAATTTCGAAATATTTTACCCAATGCCTCTGGCCTCCCAGTTGGATTTGGTGCTGAATCGATAACGGGAACTAAAATTTTAGCGGGTGCCACAATGGATTTATATAATTTCACTATAGATGCCTATTAATAAAGTATTGTGCTTTTTTATTGTTAGCATTTTCAAAAGCAAAGCAGTTTTAGAAACATTTTTTTAAAATTTAAAAGTTTTGGAGTTTTTAATGAATTTGCATAGTTGTTCTCTCATTCTGTCAAATAAATACAAAACTATTCAGATTTTGCTTTTCTCTTCCCTATCCCCGGATTTTAAAAAGTCCCGTCAACAACAGTAATAAAAAATCATTACAGCTCCTGAATTCTGCAGTCGAAACCCCAACAGTTAGCCTAATTCGGTGACTCCAAACACCCGAACACCTCGCCCCCCCTTGTTTTTCCACCCCCACAAAACTCTCCTAATTCAGCCAACTGACCTGTCGACACGTTTGCATGCGTTTTGCCCGAAAACACGCCAAAAGTTTGGACACTCTCCCCCTCGAGACGTATCGACGGTATTGAAGGGTTGTTTTTAAGATTGCATGTGGTTGTGTCTGTGCGCCTCCTCCATTGCGGTGATGGTGGTGGGTTGTGGTGGGGCTGAAAACCAGTTGTGGTGTGCCCGCAAGGCAAGAGCCTTCGGGGAGGTGCAGAGTGAGTTGAGCGGATGCCCTTGCTCGGCCCTTCTCGCCCTTGAACGCCCCCGAGTCCCGACCAACCCATTGTTCCACACCATCCCCCTCCACTAAGCCTATTTCACCGTATTCATCTGGTTTCTCTCCCCGTTTGCGTGCTCTATCTTTGATGTTTCTTGCCAATCAGCCAGTTTGATGCCGGGATTCGACCAGGTGCAGTCAATGCCTCCGTTTTTGACGGTCGCTATGCAAACAAGGAAGGGTGGGAGGGCGCATTTGCAGCGATTCTTCGAAAATGACCTCGGTCGACGTTTGGAACCCAATTTTAAGCTTTTCTAACAGAACATCGATTTTGCACAACTGAAAAAATCTTGACTAACCGTCTCGAATAATCAGGTTTGAACAGTCTAGATTCTGTTAGACGAGGTTTTAAGTGTTTTTGTCAGGCGTTTTAAAAAGAATTTTTTTTCGTTACACTACCATCTTCTCGCCGGAACTTTGAAGTTTTGCAAGTGGCTTTACAATTTGGTCAAGGCCTTTAAACTAGCGATAAGTAACGGTAGGGCCCTGAAACCGGTTGTTGTGTGCTATTTTTGAATACCAATTGTGAAACGGCAAAATTACTTCGCAACGGCAAGAGGCATCGCAACATAGGCTTTTGCCAATTTCCCAACGCCTCCAAGTTTCCAAACTGTATTTTTGAGGATGACTGGGTTGACAGAACTTACTTTCTGCCACCACAACGTTTTATGGCTCTTTATCTTTCGTTTTCATTCTCTCTCACGCTTCTCTCTCTCTCTTTCTCTCTCTCACTCGCTCACTCGCTCCCTCCCTGAACTTTAAACCGACCCTCTCCTTATCCTAACAATTGAGATGAAAGCAAGAACTTACTGTATCCCCAAACTTGCCAGATTCCATGTAAAACAAAATTTTCAAACCACTCTCGGCAACCTCCCTGGCTGATATCATTTGTAATTTATGATGTTATCGAAAGGCGGCAAATGGTAGTTGGGTGCAAAAAGTTCGTGGAGCATTGGAAACGAGCTCCAGAGCATGCGCATTCCCTTTTCACCACTTGTAGTGCCGTCCTTGCCTGTGCTACGGGACATTTCGCTGGCCAGGATTTCTGGCAGGCTGCCGTTTTTCTTCGTTTAGCCCGCCCATCCTGGTTCCGATGGCATCGCAGCTGGAATCCAGCCCCCTTTATGGATTGAAAAATAGGATTTCTCAGTTTTTCGCGTTACTCTAATATTCTCTCTGATTTCAAGATATATGTCTTACTCCTGGGGTCAATTCTAATGTTATATCTCTTCTTACAGACAGCATGTGGGATGCTGTTTCGGCACGGGTCGCTGATATCGTAAGCTCCTATCCAAAAACGTGTATATTCCTATCGGTTGCTATTGCAGGTACATAATTGCAGAATTTGCATAAAACCCAGCTCTTTTTTTAGGTATTCTCACATCCGGTCTTGCATTTGCTAAAGTTGAAACGGATATCAGACGCTCTTTTTCACCACACGATTCGGACAGCGCCAAGTGAGCCACACTTTTTTGTATACTTTCTCCCAATATCTCTCACCACCTAATCAAACCCAACTTATAAGGCGAAACCCGTTCTATTACAAGGATGTTCAAGTGTAAGTGGTCACCACTTGCTGCTGCTTTGCGGCCTTTACAAAATGCGCAAAGCTAATTAACAGAATTAAAAGGGCTCGCTACCAAGCTACCAAACACAATTGTTGAATTTTCTTAATAATATAGGTTGTAGCTGTAAGGCCAGGCTTCGGAATTTTTAGGCAAAAGCGTTACTTTAGCTTTTTCTCCCCGGAAGTTGCCTCTAGTAGAAATATTTAACAACGCCGTATGTGAGCTGCTTTTTTTAACTGTGTTGTGTGCCCACTGACCCAGCCCACCCCTTACTTTGCCGAATTCCGAGCAGAACCATGTTCCACGTGTGGGACCTCGGGATAGATGGTGGCAGATGGGTGGTCATAGAAAAACGTCGTAGAGAACAGCCTTTCCGGCCATCCAAAAAACCGGTATTTGATCGTCCACCTCACCGTAGAAAGAAAGCGCGATGTTTTGCACGCCACCGCCGGAAAATGCCTTTTTGCTTGAAAGAATGCGGAAAAAGAGCAAAAATCCGTACTGAACTCTCCAAATTCAAATCCCGCTCGAACTAACCAAGTATAGCATAAACTTGGCTTACATTAATAAATCGGGTTTCGCCAAGCAAATAACACCGCTGGCAGCGTAAAATATTGCTTTAAATTTCGGGTAATACATTTCGAGAATTTTCCATTATAGCGAAGCGCGGCGCTATTTGGATTTCTATGGCCTCAACGTATATCCATCCCGAAGTTTTATTTTATTCCAAACAAAGGATCCAAAAGATGATATCTTGAGGTGAGTAGAAACTGTAAGAATCCCTATAAAAACTTATGACGTTTTCAGAGAGGAAAGTCTACGGTATATCGAAGCAATGGACGCACAGATGACTTCCGTGCTCAATAAAGTGGATCCCGTCGATGGATTGAGATCTTGCGATCCTGTTTGCAACATCAACTATGCTTTCCATATGTTTATGGTATGCTAGGGATAGTAGAATCATCAAAAATTTTAGAGCGAACTGAAAGAGGAGCGAGCCGGCAATAAGACATCGCTGGATTCGCGGCTTTTTGATTATCCAAGGTCACGATTGCGCGGTGCTGAGATTTTTATTGGACTGAATATACATGGGACAACGCTCCGAGGTTAGTTTTAGAGCAGATAATTACTAGCAACTTGTAAAAAACTCCTTTCAGCTCAACCATTTCCTGGAAATAGCTCGAAAATCGTGGCCGCCAACACGATTATCCTCCATTATTTCAGTCGATTCGATACGCCGCAAAGAATCAGCGATTTCAAGTAACTTTATTAAGCACTTTTCAACATAACTGAATTTTAGAAATCGCTCCCTTGGGCTCTTCTTTCGATCTCAAGAGCATAACACATCCTCGCTAGTTGATTTCAGTATTTTCGGCGAGGAAATTGCAAATCACGAAATGGTTCGCGGAGCCTTTGAGGTAATTTGTACCTTCTGCAATTTACACAATTCAGGCAATGAGACTAATGTCTATCGGTTTTGTCCTGCTATTTATTTTTGTTTCCATCGTGATCTTAAGAACAACACCAAAAAGAATGACGGTCCAATTGGTTGCAACCACAAGTAAGTTTTGGAAACTTAATAGTTTGACATTGCAATGATGTTTATAAAATTCTTTTAAGTCCTGACACCAATCCTGGCCACATTCGCTGCGTTTGGATTCCAATGCTTCGTCGGCTTCAGAATCTACTCAATTCAATGCGTCACTCCCCCTTTTTGGTCCTTGGAATTGGTAACTTGCTGCCAATAATACCGTAATTACGCTGTTTTTAGGCGTTGATGATGCCTTCATCCTTGTCCACTGGTGGAACCATTACAAAAATATCAAAAATAGGTAGCACTCTTGAAAAGTTTGGAAACAAAAAATAAGGGATGCTCGGATGAGGAAAGTTTTGGTCGACGTCGGGCCTTCAATTACGATCACATCTTTGACAAATATTGTCGCCTTTGGAGTTGGATTTTTGACGCCGACACCGCAGGTTTGTATTTTGTACTTCTTACTTCTAAAACCAATTATTTAGATGTCGATGTTCTGTCTATGTACTTCTATCGCATTGTTCTTTGACTATATTATTACCTACAGGTTACTAGTACTCGAAAATTCACTTCTTTTACTTACAGTATCCTTGCTCCGGTCGTATATCTTTGCCAGAAGGATAAAACTACCTCAGAAACTGCCATCGCTCCAATCAAGGTCGGAAAATAGAAATTAACTTGAAAATGAGTTTAGGCTCCGACGCCCGCCAAGGAAACTCGGGTCACTCGTGCCGTTCGAGCCTACTCTCGAGTTATCTGCTCAACGAAGGGAAAACTTATTTCGGGAGTTATTTTGCTTGGTGTTTATGCTTTCTGCACGGTCGGGGTTCTGAGCGTCAGGTTGGTTAAACAAATTTCCTAACCTAGTGGTCCTTAACATTTAGATCAACGTTCGATCCATCCAAAGCATTCCCAGCAGATTCCGTCTTGGTTAAGGCTGTCAAGAAGATCCAGTAAGCCTTGTTAGGTACCTTAGAAATTATTTAATTTTAGACCGGTTTTCAACGAGTTCTTCCCACTTCATATTTATGTCTCAAATCCGCCGAATATTACTAACAAACAAGAGGTAAAGAAAATAATTTTTCAAATCACGGAAGATTACAGTACGCGACTTTCCACAACCTTGTTGATGATCTGGAGAGTTTGCCGATGGTGTATTCCGACAATAAAACTGTCATCTTTTTGAATCAATATGAGCAATACGATCATCATGTAAGTCATCGTCCTTTAAGACTCATCTGGAATTTAATGCGTTAATATTAATACCTCTATATGCCGAGTAATTCCTGGAGCCTTTTTAAGATGAGCAATCTTCTCTCATCTCTATTTATGGCGCCACAACAAACCGACTACCCATTGACTCTACACAATTTGGGTTCATTCCTGGATATTATCGGAAATCCACCGACGATCAAATACAAGCGACCGCAAGTAACTGGCGGGTACGGTATTTTGCGAGCTTTTTGGAGTATTTAGCAATAAATTTTTAGTAACCATTTAATTAACAGGTTTGAAAAAAGGCTTGGGTTTTTTCCTCCCCCTCTTCCCCAAAATCCCCCCCAAAAATTTCTCCAAAAAAAAAAAAAAAAAAAAAAAAAACCCCCCAAACCCCTTTTTTTCCTTTTCCCCCCTCCGGGTCCCTCCAAAAAGTTTCCTAAAAAAAATATTTTCCTTCAAAAACAAAAACCCAAAATAAAATTTTTATAAAAAAATTTTTTTATTATTTTTTTATTTTCCCCTCCCCCCCTCCCCATTACGCACCCAAAAACCAAACAAACCCCCCCTACAAACCTCCCCCGGTTTTGGAGGTTTCAAAGAAGCGAGAAGAAAAAAAACAAAAACAAAAAAAAAAAAAAATAAAAAAAAATTGTCCTAATTTTAGAGAAGGTGACTTGGAAGCGTTTGCCTTTACCATCATTGCCAAAGGAATGCACGAATGGGGTGAGCGTGCTAAATACGAGGAAATGGTTCGTCAAATGTTGAAGGTAAAGGCATTGATAACGGATATAATTACTAAATGAACTTAGAAATACTCTCAATTCAATGCCACATTATTTGATGCCGATTCCGCGGTCTTGGCTGTGATTCTAACCACACGTGATGATTTGATCGGGTCGATTTGTTTAACGGTATGGAAAAGCCCAATTAAGTAATGAGTTCTCTTTAGGTGGCTTGTATGGCCTGTGTATGCGTATTATTTATCTCAAATAAATGGGGAGTGGCCATCGTGACAGCAGTTATATCTAGCATTTGTTTCTGTAAGTTTTTTTCTGAAATATCTTGCTTAACTTTATTTTAAAGGTTTGGTTGGAATGCTGTCCTGGTGGGGAGTAGACATGGATCCGGTGATGCAGGTCGATGTATTATTGGCTACTGGGTTTTCGGTAGATTATACAGGTAGGGAGAAAACTTGTCGTGGTAATTCCTAGTGATTTTCAGCTCATATCGCCTACCAATACTATCAAAACCGTGGACGACCTGAAGAACGAGTCTATGCTAGTCTGATTGAGATGGCTTCACCTATGTTGCAGGTATCTTTTGCTATTCAAATTTCACAAAATAATCTTCAGGCGGGAATGTCTACAGTGCTTTGCATGCTGCCGTTAATATTTATCAAAACCTACACTATCGTCTGCTTTGCAAAGACCATTTTTATCGGTAAGTGTATCTTCAAAGATTTTCATACCAAACAATACCCTAACCAAAAATTCTAGTCGTCGGATTTGGCCTCTACCATGGATTGGTCGTTCTCCCCGCCCTTCTATCATTCACAGCCAAGGAAGAGGAGGTATAAAATATATCCGCAACGTTAATACATCATTCTCAGAAACCCACCCCGGCTCTGATCAACGAACCGCTCCTTGAGATGCAGAAAAAGAATGAAGCTCATTAAAACTTTCACCCCTTGCTGGTCCCTTCTCCGTTTTTGCCACGGGTCTATCCGCTAACTTTATATATCTAGCCATCATTTTTTGTTGTATTTTAATTTGTGTGTAAATAAAGTATAGCATAGCTCTGAAAGAAGCTAGAATTTATCGGAAAAAAAGGCAACGAAATGAGGATCTTTTTCTATGGGATAGGGCAAATCAAAGCATACGATCAAATCGAATTGGACTATGTTTATGATGGAAGGCATAGATAGTATAGGCGATTGAGGTCCTTGAGCAGGTGGTGAAGGTTGACTGGGATTGAGCGGGGCAATGTTCTAGACGCCATCAGAAGTTATCGATGTGTCGTGTTCCACATCAGAAGATTCTTGATGGCCTTGTTGAGGGTATCAATCCACTGCGCCAATCCTTCCTTGTGATCAGCTGCCATCAATATCCTACAAGTTTTGGTAATTTCAAGCCCATTGATGCTGAAACACCTCAATTTCTCCATTTCGCGCTCCGACTTTTCCTTTGGCACCCAGACATCAAGATGGAAGGAGTGTGGGTAGTTGCCATGAGGTTCAGCAACCGCACCTTCCGTGCTGCACGTCGTCAAATCGATCATGGCTGCGCAATTCTGAGAATTACATATGCGGATTACGAGTATAATCCTTACCTTGCCAAGCTCGTCCTCTGGGTTACGCCAGAATTTCATCTCACCATTTTCCAGGGTGCACCAATATCTGAAAAGTATAATAGTAATAAAGTAATAATTAATAATAAAGTATTGGTCGAGAAAAGAGCGACGGAAAAGGCTAATAAACTAGTTTTAAATTTACCTGGACCAAGCGGCGAGTCCTTGCGATTTCTGATGGAGGGAGAGGAAAGCACGATGGGAAACGCTGCCCTTCCCAACCGAACATCTAAAAAAAATATATTTGTGAAAGTTGTAATCCATAAAAAAAGTGTTATTAGCGCCACTCACTTTTTCAATCGCAACTGGATTTCGCCTTGCAGTGGATGTTGAGCATCGCCCAACCGGTATTTCGGTTGTTCAGGCGTGTTGATTCGGAGCTCCAGCCCGCCAACTGTAAGGGGTCAATAAGAAATCGTTTTGTACGAATGCGTCTTTAATTAATTGTTAAATTTATATTGGACTTACCGTGCTGGAAGCCGCTCTCAATCTGCTTGGCGTGTCCTCGGCTCGTAGATGGTGCTGGGGATCGGACCTTCGGATAGAGTGCTCCACGGAAAGTTCCTCCCTTGATACGGTACTTCTCCTCATGGGACAGATTCTCCTTACGGGATCGCTGTATAATTTTGTTAAAGAAAGACTAGGACATCCATACCAATGCAAACACCTCGATGATACAGTTGAAATCAGGGCGCAGGTTTTTGAATGTCCAGGTGTTTGGGAATGTGATGCAACCGTTCTGAAAAGGAATAGGGTAATTTGAATACCAATATATGTATACCGAGTAAAGCGCATCCTCGGAGGAGACGATTTCACTCTTCATTACTTCGGAACCGCAGCGGACGATCAGGGTGAAGTAGTACATGATGTCAATTTCTGAATGGATTTTAAGGTAAGCGAACTATAGGATGCTTACCAGCGCTGTAGGCCTGCAGTCCGCTAATGAATTCCCGTGATAGTGGGATTGCAACATTGGCAAGCCGGATTTCACCCCGGATACCTTCGGTTTGACGAACCGAGGCTGGGTCCTCTAGTCGGCGAAGTTCGGCAATACAAGCACGTTTGGTTTCAGTTGCAACCAGCAAAGCGCGCTGTGCGTCTACCTAAAATAAGTTTTTTAATATCCCGATGATGATTTCAAGCTTATCAAACTACGGTAAAATCCGGTATTCCCTACCTCTTCACGACTTCCGGCAAATTCTGGTGTCGTCCTGCAAAACTCCAAAGCCCGAATGGCCTGTTGAATCTGTTCGGTCTGCACGGCAAGTCTCTCCTCGAGCACACGCTAAGCCAAAATATTCGAGTTTGTAGTGGTGACCTACCGTTTCAGCAGCAATTTCCTGGCGGACAGAGTTTGGGACCGACTGGAACGGCTGAAAAGGGTATTATTTAAATTGTATCGGAACTGACGCTGTGTTCAAATTCGTTGTGTTCGGCGCCGGCGAAGATGACCTTTTCGACTTTCTCGTCGCATCGCGGGGCCGCTTTGGTGCGACGATAGAAAGAAACCGAGTGCACCTTAAATACCGTAGTAGGTGCGAGTCATTGGAAAATTGTCTTAGAAAGATTTTTTTAGAAAACTGATTGAGAAAACTTACGAGGCCCGAGTCTGGCGGGTTCTCAGGTGGAAGAGGAGCGTTGAAAATTGGCTCGACAGGCTTCTGCTGGATGAAAGTCCTGATCGGGGAAGGTTTGGCTTCCTCGCGGACTGGTGTCAGTGTCTCGTCAGCAGCCTTTGGTGGAGAAGCTGGCTTCAATGGCGACAGCTAGATTTTTTCCAACACCAATAAGTATATATTTACCTGGCCGAGCTCATCCTTGTAAAGCTCCTCAAGAGCATGCACTCCGGGGGTCTCTTCGTCATCTGATGGCATCGTAGATTCAAGATCGGTCTCTTCAAAGACTTCGCCTTCTTTCTCAGGGATGAAATCGGCTTCCTGCAATTGAAAAGATTGGATTTAAAATTCAGAACGTTTTTACCTTTTCGAGCCCTTCTTCGACTACCATCGAAACCGTCGGCTCACGAGATGTCTTCGGGGAAGAATGTTTCAAAATCGGTTTCACCGGCTGTAGCCCAGGCTGGTTGAATTTCTGGAGATGTGGCAGCTAAAGAAATACTTTTGTTGGTTTTGGTATAACATACCCTAGAGACAAATTTCTTCGCCGGGATGCAAGTTTCGGCCAGGTGCTTGGCAGCCTTCAGCAGATCGTTTTCGCTATTTTCCGGATGCAGAGGGGTTCCGCATTTTGTAGCAAACTGGAAAATATTTTGGTTTGATGATTGTGGTATTTTACATAATAGTTATTTTGGCTGATATTTTTTTTGTAGACCAACCTCCCAGCGCTGTCGTAGATTCTGTAGATTAGCAGAGGGGATGGGCTTTTCAGGAGTACCAGCTTCCTGTCCTTTCGCTACTGGAGTTTCCGCTGCTCCTCTCCATTGGGTATGGTATGTGGCAATGCGAGGCTTGTTCTAAAATGTTTTTGTTGAAGCAAATTTGATTTCACTCATTTAATTTTTTTAATTATGACTTACCGCTTCGAAAACTGCCGTCTTTGCCATAGGCTTTGGCTCAGCCGCTGATTTTAGGCACGAATTCAGGAAGCTTTTCGGAGCCTGAGCCGGCTCACGAATAGGCGAGGAGGTCCGGAGTGGTCTCTTAAATTCCAGAATAAACGATTGTTCCGCAATCTTACAAAATCCGGTGACATTTCTGGCGGGGAATGGGTGGATTGGTTCATTGTTGTTTGGTTTCCAGCCAGAATTGTCATCGTCGATTCTTCATGCAGATGTCTTACAGGAGGTGTGCGTAGGCCACCGATTGACTAAAGGGATGGAATCGAAAATTCGTGAATTAATTGATGAAATAGATATTATATTGTTGTTAATGTTGTCAATGAAAAGCAATCCATTTTGTTAGTAAATTATGCAAAAAAAATACCTTGCGATCGACCAAAAATAGGTGCATGCCAGCCGTGGTCTTATTATTTTCATCGACCGTCGTTTCGGAGTGACCAAACGATTTGCGAGTAGGCTGATTTTTCGCAAAGTCTAGAAATTTGATATATGATGATATGGTAATTTGATCGAACCATAAGATTCCAGTAAATACATACCGACGCTTTTCCTTGGTGATCCGGCCTTCGGAGAGAATAAATCAACATTGGTGAGGTTAGACATGCTCTTTCGAGGAGAAGGAGTGTTCTCTTTAGTAGCTCGCTTTGGCTCGGTATATTCGAAAGCATTATTCTGCTCTTCTAGTGCCGCGAATCGTGCCTTCTAAACGTTAATTAGCATCTGACAATATTCCATACGATGTGGGTGGCAACTGGGCTGCTTGTCGATTTCTCTTCAACTCCCGCTGAAATGAAATAGTTAGTTTAGACCTAATACCTAAATCTTTTAATTCATGTGCTAATTATCAAAAATAGAGTTGTAATTTTTCGATGCAAAATTCGGTACGTTGAGGCCGAGTAGCTATTTTTTTTTGACTGTATATCTTTCAGATCGGGATTCTTTAAAACAAATAAAATTGAAAACGAACTCGTTTCAGATGTTGCGACATAAACGGAGCTGTTTGCCCGGAGCTCTTGCTTTCGAGCATCAGCCCTGGCCAGAATGGCCTGCACGCTTGGATCCAGGGCGTCCATGATCAAGGCAAAACTGAAATCTGTATTTAAAGGCGATTTCAGGGAACGTTTAATGAGATCAAAATGAAAGCATAATTTGTATGCCAAGAAAAAATTTGAATGAGCCGGGGTCAAAGTACCTCAAGTACGTTAAAAAATATTTTGAGGCTACAGTAACCAGGGCAATGCAAACAACCTAGTTTAATAGGACACGCTCAAAATAAAAATTCCAAGAGTAAAACCGATTAGTGAAAGTATTGAGCGAGCAGCTGGCCCGAGGGAAAATGTCCTCGCACTGCCAGGGTATAGATTCAAATGAGGGTGGGCGGGCGTGTGGGGGTGGCATTCAAATGACCGCCCTCCATTCAAATACTGGCACCCAGCCAAGACAGGAAAAGAGCAGCTGAAAGAGAGAGAGAAGGAATGGTCGCGAGAGTAAACGACTCTAAGCGGTCATTTCAGGCAGCCGCTCATTTCCGTCAGCGATAAAGGAAAAAAGGGTCCGGGATTAGCATAGTACGATTCGGCAGAGAGCCACTATTAAAAAAGGTGCCGGAAATTTGTCGGGGTCGTTTTGTCGAAAAGCACCGAATGTTTTCGGCCCATTGATACTAAACATGGGACGCATCGTTTGATAAGATGCGACACTTTTGAAATTCTTCTCGACATTGAAGGACACCGGCAATAGCACTCTAGCCCCCATAATAGCCCAAAACTAAAACTCTAATCGACCCCGCATAACAAGGAGGCCCGACTACCGTGTATGGGCTTTACTGTTCTTTGGGGCAAAAATTCCCGAATTACTATCTCATTTCCGGTGTCCCTTTCTATAGCAGCAAACCGATTCAAGGGCATTCTTTATTCCGATCATCATTAAAACGAGAACAACGGGAAATACACGTAGTTGGGTGATAATTTTTAGAGGCACAAATTACTGGTTTCCTTTTGCTGCCTCCTTGGCGCGCAGTTGTTGCTCCAATTGGGCCCAGGGGTTCTGCGTCATTTCCGGCAACACCCATTGAGCCGCGTTGAACTCCTGAAAGTAATGCTATAAGTAAAAAGTATATAGTATATCTGGCAAGATAGTATTTCTGGTTCAAACCTAGAAGGCAATGGTTTAAGGACTTTACCCCATGATTCTGGTGACCGCCTCCACCATGTCCGAGTCCGCCTCCGCGCCCACCTCCACGGCCACCACCTTGGTTGCTGGACCACGAGTAATTGCCGCGGCCTAAAAAGCCATTTTTTCATTGCAAATAAAACTGTGGGGAGCTGGCTAAATAAACAAACCTCGACCCCGCCAGTTGCTGCCACCGTTATATCCGCCACCGCCGCCTCCACCACGACCGCCTCTGTACATCTGCAAAGCAACGACCACGTATACAATTTGTAAGCAACAGAACAGTATTTTAATCGATAATTACGAGTTTCCAACAAAAGCTTGGGTATAGAACCCGTAATCATTAATAGCTTTGAAAGGCACAGGCAGTCCATGTATTAGTGCAGCTATCTATGTAATGTATCACTATTGCAAACCCAATAAAACTTTATTTGCGAAAGCCGAGCATAAATGTAACAAAGCATCCCGAATCCTAGCATGAAATTAGTATTGATGGTGCAAAATATTTTTTACAGAAAGTAGATACATAGAAGCTGTGGGTGTGCTAGTCTGGGAAAGGCACTTCAGGCCAGGAAGCGATTGTGTGCAAATAGTACAGATAATACCGAAGCATTAACAAATAATGACGAGTTTCTTCTGCTTGCGCAACAATTCACTCGCCAAAATTTCGAAAACGCTCCCTAGTGGGGTGAAAGCGGAAGAAAATCGATCACAAACGCGTTCAAATGACAAAGATAATGTCTGTTACAGCAGACCCCGATTTGACCGGACTAGATAGGGTAGGATAAGGCATCAATGGCTCAAGGGTACTAGCATTGTAAGTTCTGGCGTAAAATAATGGGGTAGAATCTATTTTTAAAAGTTTTTGGAATAGATTGCCAAAGGCAAAAGACCGGTATGCAGGGAAGAATAGGGCGGAATTTCAAAAAATGTCGCGAGAAAAAATCACATTTTTTGTGGATAAGTTGTAATTGGAAGAAGCACTTGTTGAAGTTGTCGACGAGCCGAACGTTTGCGCGCGTCCCCATTGGTTTAGTGGACGCTGGGGCCCTGAAAGAAAAACAGTTACTAAATAGTCGCAATAACGTATGCAGGCGAATGCCGAGACGAAACATCTTCGGAAAAAGGGCTCACCGGGCCTTGATCCTGATCTCCATGCGGGTCCTGTCCGCTAGAACTCGGTTTCTCATCCGGCTGGGGCGCCGTTCGATTCTGTCGGCGAAAGAACCAACCCATCATCAGCAGACCTAGAAAAGAAGGATATAAATCAAGAATCGACGAATCAGCGAGCAAGAAAAGAGCTTATAAAAGGAATTGCGCTTGCTTACCCCACATCAACGACCAAAAGACCAGATACATCTGTGAGCCAGGGTTGACGTTTGGCGTGACGCAGTCCGAATCCGTGCATTCCTGATCTTCCGTGCCGCGTAGCTAGAAAAAATGTATTAATGACATCATCATACTTTATAAACGAGAATGAGTCCCGACAAGCAGGCACCAAACGGTCAATATGAACAAAAAAACCAACCACGGATAACAATCGTCGCATCGCAGCCTCATGGTTGAAACAGGCACACGGATCGTCGCTCATCGTGATTGCTGAAACAAACTATATAATAACTGATCAAAAATTAATAATTTAGAAAGCTAGCTAAAAAAACAGCTTATGAAAATGTTTTACTCGTCCAGAAAAGCCGCTGGGAAAGCGGAAAAGGAATTTTCAAATAAAAACCAACCTGTATTCCGAGGCTTTTAGATGGAAAAGCCGAATCCTTCCCGCAAGTGTGGGTGAATTAAGTAGGGCGATCCGGATCGATTCTAAACAAGCACACGTCGGATAACACTGCTGTTCCCCTATTGGGGCGTGCAAAGGGCACTCTATGGACAGTAGCCGACAGAGCGCGGAATAGGGGACAGACACGCAGAGCAGATCCCACCCTGCAAAGAAACTCACGTTGAAGCTAAACTAAAATGTTCAAAACTTATTTGGAAAAACCTGTAACGCTGAAAAAAACTTTCATTAGAATTGGGGCCTATCCCAACAGCATGGGGACCCCAACTTGGCGTTCTGATACCAACTAGGACTGCCAACCTAAACGCTATGAGGCAGCGTTCGGTTTTCAGAAATGAGGGCGATTTTAAATGTTGACAGGTGCTTTATGACAGCTCCCAAACACAAGGCGTGCGAGTTGGTTTTGCACGAATAAGCTTGATGAAAAGTATTCGATTTTTCCTTGTGTTTTTAAGAAAATTACTTGTGTGCGCGATAAATGCTGATTATTTATTGTAAAAAGGTCATGCCGGTCGCCGTCTAGTAGACGCGGCAGAGGGTGGGGACGCGGAGAGTCTCGGTGAAGGAGACCTTCAGGTTCTCGAGCTTCTCAGAGATGTCCTTGTTGAGCTTGACCATCTCGCGCATCTTCTTGGCCTCACGGTCGTGGCGGGGCAGGCAAGAGAAGCGGATCTACAATAGAAATATAATGTCTTACTCTTAATATTTTAATCTATACCTTCTTCTCCTTCTTCTCGACGGCCTCATCCTCAGCACGGCACTCCTCGACCTTCTCGACGGAGAAGCAGACCTTGGACTCACGCTCGACAATCATGGTCTTGCGCTCGGCCTCTGTAAATTGTTATATTATTTGATTATAGAAACAACTCTATTACCATAAGTCTCCTCATCCTGATCGCGGTACTGGCGCTTCTCGTTGATGTTCTTGACGCGCTGGAAACGCTCGTAGTCCTCCTCAGACGACTCAGTCTCGTAAGACTGCTCCTCCTTGTCCTCAACGGCGTAGTTCTTCTTCTCCTTCAGCAGAGACTCGTCAATCTGGCACTCAGAATCCTGGCGGAGCCACGAGCGGTGGAACTCCTCAAGGTCCTCTGCAAATTGCTCGAATATTTTCGTACTCTTTTAATTAAAGGATATTTTATGAAATGGTAGATGAACTTACCAGTCTCCTCGTTGTCGGCGCGACGGAACTCGTTGTCACGGTGTCCATCAAAGTGTCCGCACATACCGCACTGCTTGTTCTCGGTGCGCTTGTCAGCCTTGATCTCGCACTTGTATCCATCGAAACGGACAGTGATCTTGGGCAGAGTGATCTCGACGGAGCGCTCACCTAAATGCACAAGAATAATCAATATTTTAGCATTAATTCATACCAATCATCTCAATTCCGAACTCGCGGAGCTCTTCCTCATCGCGGACCTGGCGTCCCTCGATCTTGACGATCAGCTCATCCTCCTTCATCTCGACTTCGCAGACCTTGTTGCGGTTGACAACCTTGATCTTCTTCTCCTCAGAGTTCTTGCGAACAGACTTCATGAGAACAGCGTACTCGGGCTCCTCAGAGCAGTCTTTGGCCAAAACGGTGTAGCAGGTGGTCATGGGGGCCTTGTAGTTGACACGGTCAAAGGTGGAAACCTTGTTGGAGCGGACCTCGCAAGTGGCAGTCTTGGTGGCACGACGAACCTTGTTGAAAAGGTTGATCGACGACGACTTGAAGATGGTGGGAAGGGGAAGACGGATCGGGGTCTTCAGAGACTCAACGATGAAACGCTCCTCAGAAGTCTCAAGGGTGAGGTTGACACGACGGCACTCTTCAGGCTCAACAGTCAGCTTGACAAGGATGGATCCCTTGTTGCGGCGGACCTGCTCGATGGAAGACTGAACAAAGTAGTTGGCCTTGATGAGAGAATAGAGCTGCTCGAAGAGCTTCTCGTTCTTCTTCGACAGATCGTGGTTGATCAGGACGGAGAGCTTGTTAAGGCGGGCAGCCTCCTTCAGCATCTCAACCTGCTCAAGTCCTTCCTTCTTCTGCTCCTTCTGGTCACGGACAATAACGTCACGGATCAGCTTCTGCATCTGACGGTCCTGCTCAGCCTGAACGCGGAGCTCAATAGAGTTCTTCTCGTTGGCTCCCCAGCGAAGGTTGATGGTAGCCTGAATCTCGCGGTGCTTCTGCTCACGGAGCTCATTGATGGAAAGAGGAGCCTTGGGCATAACAATCTCGACATCGCAGTTCATCTCCCACTCACGGGTCTCCTCCTCAGTCATGGGAGAGCGCTTGGCAAAGATCTCAGCACGGCAGTGCTTGCCATCACGATCGCATTGTCCCTTCAGCTCAACTTGTCCCTTCAGTTCCTTGGGTCCTCCAACAGTGTAGACCTTGACGACAACGCGGCCCTCCTTGGTCGACTTGCGGGATTGCTTCTCCTCGTAGTACTTGCGCATCTCCTGGTGGCGGGCAGAGCGCTTAGTCTCGGGCTCATACTCGTTCTGCTCCTCAGAGTCCTCCATGCGGAAGTCCTGGGACTCGAACTGTTGATCGTAACGGGGTCCCTCGAAGTTCTTCTCATTGTTCCACTTGGGCTCAATCTCGAAGACGACCTCCTTGATGGCCTCCTCAGTGGGCATCAGGTTGACCTGGACGTGGTTCTCACCATGGAGGAGAGCATTGATCTGCTCCTCACCAGAACGGTGGTGGACGGATCCGAAGACCTCAACGTTGATGCCAGTCATCTCACGGCCGTACTTGCGCTCGTAGTGGACAGCAGAGCGCTGAAGACGAGAGACAGTCATGGTCTTCTCAGACAGAACCGGGGTGTAACGCTGAGTGAAGGTGCGGACAAAGTTGATGGGGCGGGTCTCAACAAGGAGAACACGCTTCTCCTCCTTCGGGGCACGGAAGATGGCCTTCAGCTGCTCACGCTCGTTGTCGTAAGAGATGGACATGTCAACGGGAAGAGTAGCCTGGACGGAGTGGAGAAGACGAGCACCAGTGTGCTTCGACTGGGCAAGAACAGCCATCTCGGTGACGTGGGTAGAGGCGACGGAGGGCTCAGCCTTGAGGACCAGAGTCGGGCGGGGAGACAGCTCGAACTTGATTTGTCCCTTGATGGTGGCAAGGGTGGGCATCTTCTGGGTGATGTGCATCGGCATACCAATGTGGGTGGCAACGGTACGGCTGCGCTCATACAGGTAAGAGGCAACAGAGACGTCGAAACGGATTCCACGGGCCAGATCACGGATCAAATCAGAGATCGAGTTGACTCCATTGCGGGAGATCTCATCAATCAACTTCTCCTCAAGGGGAACGACGGCGTAGTCGAGGTTCTTGTAGCGGATGTACAGCATACCGAAGGGCTCCTCAGAACGCTCAGAACGGCGCTGAACAATCTTCATCTCAGAGGCGAGCTCCTTGAGGATGTTGTTGACCTTGGACGAGCGCATGCCACGGGTGATGGTGGACGACTCCTCGGACTTGTCGTACTTGTTGATGAGAGAGTACAGGACACGGTCGAGGTTCTGCTGGGTAAGACCGATCTGGCCGAGATGCTTGTTCCATTGTCCGGCGAACAGAGAGTCGAAGTTGGCCAGAAGCTCAGCGGGGAGGATGGACTCGTTGGTGAAGATGGAGGCCATATCGACGGAGAGACCGAGGTCAAGCTTCTGCCAGAAAGACGAAGCACGGACATAGCGAGACTCGAGGGTCGGGCGGAAACGGAGGTTGCGGAGAGCAACAACAACATCCTCGGACATCTTCTTCTCGCACGGGTTCTTGGACTCGACGAAGGACGAGAGCAGGGAGTAGCAGAAAGAGCGGAGCTGGTGGTTGTGCTCACGGTTGAGGGTATCAACGATCTGCTGGAGAACGGGCAGAGTAGGGCGAGAGTGGATCATCTGGTAGACAGCCGACATACGAAGAGCAAGAGGCTCACGGCGGGACTTGAAGATGGGCAGAAGGACCGACTGGACCTTGCGGGGCATCTCCTCGCGCAGCTGAAAAACAATTCATACATTACCATATATTCTGATGATACTCTTAGCTATGGCAATTTCATTAGTAAGAACTTACCATGCGGACGGCATCAATGGCGGAGGCACGGATAACGGGCTCCTCAGACTTGTTGTTGATAATCTCCTCGAGGAAGTGGATGGCAACATCCATTCCAGAGTTGGCAATAGTCTTGAGAACGAGAACCTTCTCGTACTTGGAGTCAGCCTCGACGTACAGATTCTTGAGGGTAGCCAGCCATTGAGTCTTCTGTTCACGAGAGCAACGACGCTCACCGTTCAGTTCAATAGCCCACTGCTCATCATTGCGACCGCAAAGGGTGTTCATCAGAGCTCCAGAGGTAAGAAGAGCAGATTGACGGAGAACAGGCTCGTCACGGGCAACCTTCGACTTGGCCAGACGGAGAACCAGCTCAACAATCTTCTCAGAAGAGACGGGAGCGTTGATCAGGGACTTGAGGGAGAGGGAAGCCTTGATCGGAGTGATGTGCTTCTTCTCAATCTTCTCCATCAGATGCTCGATGGTGACCTTGGTTCCGGCAATAGCGAGGCAATCGGCGATGATCTCGTTGACCTTCTTCTGGTTCTTGTCGAACTTCTGGTTGTCGCACACCTTCTCGTAGATCTCCTTGATCTCGGCCTAAATTTTTGTTTTATTGAGACAGAACCGAGGTATTTCTTACGCGGTTGCACATGCGAAGAACGGAGGCAATGCGGGCCATGTAGCGGGTAGACTCGAGCTGGACACCGTCCTTCTCGGACTCCTCGATGGAGCGGAGCAGCTGGGTGATGTACTTCTCGACGAGCTCCTAAAGGGTATGGTAAATTCGATTGCAATTTGAGTGAACTTACAGCCTTGGGCATCTTGTCAAAGTTGGCGAGCTTCCAGCTCTCCTCATCACCGTTCATCCAGAATTGCTCACGGGCGAGCTCCTCCTCGTGGTTGTAGAGAAGAGAAGACTTCTGTCCCCACTTGGGCTCAGAGAAACGCTCGGACTGCTCGACCTTGATGAGGCGAAGGATGGTGTGCATGTAGGTGGCAAGAGCCTCCTCCTCCTTGGCGATCGGGGTGAAGACGTACCTGTAAATTGATTATTTGTTTGAGAGAACTGAACTCGAAGACTTACTCGGACTTGATCTGGACCTCCTTGATCAGGAACTCCTTCTCGTCACCGACAACCTTGTAGTTGTAGATGGTCTGGGATTCGGGGCGGGAGTCCTGGGACTCGCAGGTGGCGCACTCTAAATTTGGGATTAGATTGAAGGTCAAAATAGTACCAGAGGTGAAACGGAATCCGTAACGGAAGTCGGCGCGCTTGGCGCACTTGTCGAAGTTGACGGTCTTGGTGACCTCCTTCTCCTGACGCTTTTGTCCCTCGACAACCGAGTAGGTGACCTCGCACTCTCCCTCGAGCATGCGCTAAAGATTAGAGGGGTTTGGTGGATTATTTGAAGGAAATGATACCTCGGGCAGGGTGAAGAACTTGTTCTCAGACTCGGTCTCCTCCTTGAACTCCTGGGTCTTGGGGTTGAACTTGATCTGGAGCATCTGGACGATACCGCGCTTGATGTTCTCGGACCAGGTATTGTCACGCTCGGAGAAGTGCAGCTACAAGATATAATTCGGGGGAATTCCAGCAAAGTGATACCTCGGAGATGATTCCATTGTGGTAACGGAAGCGGACGGGCATGGCAAGGATCTCACGCTGCTCCTCAGTCAGCTCAGACTCCTCGAGAGAGATAGTCTGTAGGAAGTGAAGTAATTAGAGAAATTATTCGATGGATTGATACCTTGTCGAAGACGCGGGGCTCCTCGATCTTGCGCTGTCCGTGGGAGACACGGATGTCGTCCATGCGGAGGGTCCTAGAGGGGAGCATGAGATACTGTTGTGGAGAAATGGAAACATACCAGTACTTGTCACCAACAGTCACGAACACCTTGGAGTTGCCGTGCTGGATCGATTGGGAAGAGGATCCCTGGACCGGCAGGCCATGGGCGATCTGAATATTTTGAATAAGGAGTTTTCTAGGTTAAATGATCGAAAGTATTTAGGGACCACTAGGTGAGGATTAAAATGACTCTAGGGTCGTGAAGTTACAAGAGATACTCGAATTACTAGTTGAAACTGACTGACAGGTCAGAGTGTATTCAACTGATTGACAGCTTGGAGATAGCTGAGAAAAAGAAAGAAAGAAAGAAACGAACCTGTCCCTGGTAGTTGAAGGTGTAGGTCTGTCCGACACGGAAAGCCTTTTCGGGGCCATCGTAGAGACGGTCAGCTGGCTGCCAGGCAGCGAGGGCCAGGGCCAGAAGCCCAAATGCGGCCAGAAGTTTCATCCCTGGTTTGGATGAAAGACTGGACCGAGTGGTGATTTGTCCCTTACCTTCATCGCTTTTATGCGGCTGGTTATCGCTTGGGATTGACGGGTGAACCCGGGAACCGACCGTTCCCACGCTGAGTGGCAGGCCACTTTCTGAAGGTTTTGACCATTTGGGAGCCGTCAATGAGCACGGCTTTGGACGTGTTGGGAATCAAGTATGGAAATGACAGACGGATGGTGGTGATTGGCTTATTCTTTTGCTCAGCTTCAGTTCTTTGCATCGCCCCACTGGTCTAAAATTTGATTGTTACACATTATTAATGACGCTCTGGGGTATTAGCAAGCCCCACCTGAACCATACGGATACGCAGGCTGGATACACGCTGCAAGATTCAAAAGAGCTATGAGCCAGAAATCTGGGTTTTAGTATGGTAGGTTAGGTCCAAGAATTATTGACGATTTACGAAGGCTTCGGTAAATAGAAAGCGCCCGAGCCAGGAGATTTCTTTTTTTACTGATTTTTGGCGGTTTGAGCTTGAATTTTGGGCTTACGTTTCCAGCCATTGCGCGAAATCTCGGATTTTTTAACTGGCTTTTTTGGTACGAACGTTTTCGCGGACTTGGTTGTCAAAGACCTGCGTGGGCCCGGCGGGGGCAAAAGCTTTTTTCTTTCCTTCGTCAATTATGATGTAAGCTCCTTTTGGTTGCCGCGGAAAATACCATGTTGAACTAAATGTGAGAAGCGTTGGTACGAAAGTTTCTTGCGATGTAGACGGTCGGACCAGAACATTGGGAAAGTCACGGTCAAAGCCGACCGCAATAACCCCTGGAAAAGTTCAATCGGGCATTATTTTCAACAGACACGGAAGTCTCGAACCTGGACCTGAAAGAGCGTGTCGATTGGTGCGGAAAAGGTTTGGTTCGAGACTTGCGTGATCCAGGTGTAGTTGCTAGGATTTTTGAATTGACTTTTGGTTTTTAGGATGTTTTGGTAATTTTTCGAAAAAAATCGAAAGATACGACCGCAGCGAAGTGGGCCGTTCGAAAGCGCATCAAAAATAGTGTCGAGATTCTTGTGGTTCGAGACCTAAAGGTTCGAATCTTTTGAAGTGATGGCGTTTCGTGATTTTCTCGGTGGATGTATTTTTTCAGACCATACAAGGCTAAAAATTTTGGACTTGGGCTTAGGCTCAAGCCTAGGAATAGGCATTCTCCTGGGCTTAGGCTGAAGCTAAGCTTTGAAATCATCACGGCTCCGCGGATTCCTAAGCTGAAAGCGGAATTTCCTCAACCAATCAAAGAAAAATAAGAATAAAGCATAATATAGCATACCAAATTAACATGGTAGAAAATGCATAAATTTAGTGTAAATCAGTGTCAAAAAATTGCCAGTGGATGATCGTACTCTTTGCTAATTACTGGGATATACCAAATTTGCATACACCGCATCCTTTTTGGTCAGCACCGAAAGTCATTCGTCATTCTTCGCCTGACGCCTCCCCCGATCGGTTGGTTCTTTATTGCTGGAATAGTGATGTTTGATAAAATTCAACGTATTATTTATTGGCTATGGCCTCTATGGCTACCCGGCAAACTCGGATTGCCTAGTCCTTTTAGAAATGCAAATTTAGTATTCTAATATGTGATTTTGGACTTAGTATTGCCTAGGGCTTTCGATAGGCAGTTTTGTCTGTTTGCTGAGCCTCGAATTATCAAATCAACAAATTTATAGTTGCGATGGCTTTTTTAGATTATTTTGCTCTGGTTTTTTCCTGCAAATCTAATTACTGTAATCTTGAGGGAAAGTAGTTATCGATTGGGAATTTTTTAGTTGGTCAACGCCGAATACTTTGGCTTTCTATGTTGTACAGATCTTTCTATATAGATATAGCGTTTTCCATTTTTGCTCATGCTCGTTTCATAAAGACTGTTCTAGGTGCTTGCGAAGCCGGGTTTCAAAGACGGCCAGCAGAACAAGAACCCCCACCAGAAGCGCATCGGCTGCTACAAAAGGGCTTCACCGAGGGGCCGCAAGCAAGCGGTACGTGGCTATAGCCTAGGTTGCTTTTTGAATATTTAGCCTAGGTAAATTTATCCTCCGCTATCTCTCCCCCCTAATGTAAAGTATTTATACTAATTAGCCCAAGGCGCAGATTTCGACATGCTTTAATAATCCTATTGTCTTGTAGTTTGACCTTAGAAACAAAATGCCACGATTGGACAGAAGATCCGGACCTTTTTTATAATAATGGAAATATTGAGTAGCGTAATAGAAAGAATTTTATTAGTGTGTTTAGCAAATTATAACTTTATTTAAACTGGAAAAATGAGCGTCAAACTCTTAAAAGATTCTAAAAAGTTGCCGTTTTTGGGCATGTATTTGAAGTTTCGATATTATTTATATTTCGTAACAAAACATTGTATCGTTTTCACGCACGGATAGTAAAACAACTTTCGGAACCCTTCCGCTTCCGTATATTTAAGAAACTGAATCCTGAGAAAAAGAAATTAAAGCACCGAAGACCTAAACTAAATTTATATATTAGATTTCATGGATCATCTCTGGATAATTTTGTAGTTGATGCGAAACGGTGCATTTTTGGCTTTGTCATTGGTACAGATTTTACATCTGATACGGATTGTTCCAGGCCCCGCCCAAGCCCGGCGTCAACGTCGGGGAGCTGCACAAGCACTCTTATCAGCCGCGCATTTGTGTGCTGCGCACAAAGGGCCGCCAGCAAGCGGTATGTTTTTAGCCGAATTTTGATGATAATTTTGCTGATCTAGAATTTTTCGTTTTATTTCGCGTTAACGCCATCCCTAATCGGGGTACTTTCCCTTTATCGGGGGTGGGAGAGGGGGGCGATGGGAGTTAGTTTATTTTTCCTTTGAACGCCTAGGCGTCCATTAAGGCAATAATTCAAAAATTATTATTTAGTTTTAATAAAGCAATTCAAATTAAAAGCACTTATTATCTATTTAGACTTTTTTATAAATGTGCTTTTGAGCCGGAAAACTACTTCAAATAGGATCCCATAAGGTAAGGGAAACGGAGGGCGCCATCCCCCAATTTTTAATTTATTATTTTAATTTTAATTTTTTATCGGGATTCATTAAGAAAATCAACCAATAAATTTATTAATTAAAACCTACAGGGAATCTATTTATAGCTTTGATGTTATCGATCATAGATGGTTTAGCTGCTCAAAAAACCAAGAATTTTTGGCTTGATCATGTAAAGATTTCACGCCTCATTAATATTGTTCCAGGCGCCTTCGCGGCCCGGCGGCACAACGCATCGCCGTGCCGCCCGCCCAGCCGAGGGGCCGCCAGCAAGCGGTATGTTTTGTGGCGTATTTGTGTAAGCTAATCTAGACTTCTTGGTTTTTAGTTGGTTTCAAAAATTGGTCATTTCGGACGGTTTCTGCCAATTTTGACAATAACAGGTGATCAAAAGTCCCAATTTAGACGTAATTTTCGTCAATCAAAAAGTTTTGACGGCTGGAAAAATGCACCCACTTCAGCTTTGCTAAGCAGGTACAAATCCGTCAAAATCTTAGTGAAATCGGCAAATAAACCTTAATTTCGATATAATTTATTTTGCAATATTTTGCTTCGAAAAGTCGGCTGCATATAGTTTTTATGGGTAAAGCTTTGGTCACGATCCGATAGAATACGACCAAATGCCGAGGGGTTTTTTGGACACCCTGTATTTCCTTCTTTAGCCCGGAAAACTACTCCAAATAGGCCCCCATAGGCTTAGGGAAGGGGTGGGAGTGCTCCTCCCCCCCGCTAACGAACCAGAACTCATTTGTTTTTAGGCCGACAAGTTCATGGGCGAGCTGCAGGACCTCAACGGCCCGTGCGCACGCCCGCTCTTTCAGAGGTAACTATCTTAACTTCAATTTAAAATTATTAAGCTTGTATTCAAAACCTTTACTTCTTTGCATCAAAGCTTCTTTTTTTAGCTTTAACTGCCACCCGGCCCCCGCCGCCCCCGGGGAGCCGCAACAACGACAACGACCTCCACGGGCCCTGGACTACACGGAGGCGCCTACCAGCGGTAATAAGCGATTCTAAGTTTTTACATTAAACTTTTATTTTAGCTTAAACTGCCACCCGGCCACTCCTCCCGCCGGACGACCTCCAGCACGAGAACAAGGAGCGGCGCACCCCCGCGCGCCCGCGCCCGCTTGTTAGAGGTAAATATCTTAGCTTGTAGTATTTAAAATCTTAATTTTAACTTTATATTTTTTCGCTGTACAACTTCTATTTTAGCTTTGACTGCCACCGGCGCCCGCCGCCCGCGGCTACAACGACAACCGGTGCCAGGGCTGCTGGACTACGCAGAGGCCCTCCAGAATGACGACCGCGGATCCAGCCCTCCACCCTCCAGAACGGAAGAAAATAAGCCAGAATAAATGTTCCTACCTTCATAAACTTTGTATTATACCCAAGATTGGGGAAAGCACACCTGAAACTTTGGCAAAGAAACAGAGGCTTCATGGTTGGGTGGTGAGGGAAGAGATGCAAATTTTGCAAGGTTTGGAAAGTCTTGGACTTTAGCTTGTGGTCGCCCATCTTGAAATCGGAGAAGCATTCCGATGATGGTTTTCTGCCGGTCGTTACGAAACTGCCTAGGGATAAGTCTCAGGATAATTTTCCCAGACGGGAGAGAGAAAGATATAGATAGAGTGAGAGAGCGGATTGTCAGCTGATTGAATAAAGAGCCGAAATAGCTTTCTCCCTGCCCCTCCTTTGCACACTTGCATGTAAGAAACAGGTGTGTTTTTGCTATGTGTACTTCAGCTCGGGATTAAGGGAATGTCATGCAAATCATTTATTTAGAAAAAATCATTTTAGTAGGTGCCTAATAGACGCGGCAGAGGGTGGGGACACGGAGAGTCTCGGTGAAGGAGACCTTCAGGTTCTCGAGCTTCTCAGAGATGTCCTTGTTGAGCTTGACCATCTCGCGCATCTTCTTGGCCTCACGGTCGTGGCGGGGCAGGCAAGAGAAGCGAATCTGCAATAAGAATATAAGTCCTTGCTTCTCATCTTTTAATCTGTACCTTCTTCTCCTTCTTCTCGACGGCCTCATCCTCAGCACGGCACTCCTCGACCTTCTCGACGGAGAAGCAGACCTTGGACTCACGCTCGACAATCATGGTCTTGCGCTCAGCCTCTTTAATTTGTAGTATTAATTGATTATAGAAAGAAATCGATTACCATAAGTCTCCTCATCCTGATCGCGGTACTGACGCTTCTCGTTGATGTTCTTGACGCGCTGGAAACGCTCGTAGTCCTCCTCAGACGACTCAGTCTCGTAAGACTGCTCCTCCTTGTCCTCAACGGCGTAGTTCTTCTTCTCCTTCAGCAGAGACTCGTCAATCTGGCACTCAGAATCCTGGCGGAGCCACGAGCGGTGGAACTCCTCAAGGTCCTCTGAAAAATTACTCAAATATTTTCGCACTTTTTCATTAAAAAACATTGTATCAAATGGTAGATGAACTAACCAGTCTCCTCGTTGTCGGCGCGACGGAACTCGTTGTCACGGTGTCCATCAAAGTGTCCGCACATACCGCACTGCTTGTTCTCGGTGCGCTTGTCAGCCTTGATCTCGCACTTGTATCCATCGAAACGGACAGTGATCTTGGGCAGAGTGATCTCGACGGAGCGCTCACCTAAATGCACAAGAATAATCAATATTTTAGCATTAATTCATACCAATCATCTCAATTCCGAACTCGCGGAGCTCTTCCTCATCGCGGACCTGGCGTCCCTCGATCTTGACGATCAGCTCATCCTCCTTCATCTCGACTTCGCAGACCTTGTTGCGGTTGACAACCTTGATCTTCTTCTCCTCAGAGTTCTTGCGAACAGACTTCATGAGAACAGCGTACTCGGGCTCCTCAGAGCAGTCCTTGGCCAAAACGGTGTAGCAGGTGGTCATGGGGGCCTTGTAGTTGACACGGTCAAAGGTGGAAACCTTGTTGGAGCGGACCTCGCAAGTGGCAGTCTTGGTGGCACGACGAACCTTGTTGAAAAGGTTGATCGACGACGACTTGAAGATGGTGGGTAGGGGAAGACGGATCGGGGTCTTCAGAGACTCAACGATGAAACGCTCCTCAGAAGTCTCAAGGGTGAGGTTGACACGACGGCACTCCTCAGGCTCAACAGTCAGCTTGACAAGGATGGATCCCTTGTTGCGGCGGACCTGCTCGATGGAAGACTGAACAAAGTAGTTGGCCTTGATGAGAGAATAGAGCTGCTCGAAGAGCTTCTCGTTCTTCTTCGACAGATCGTGGTTGATCAGGACGGAGAGCTTGTTAAGGCGGGCAGCCTCCTTCAGCATCTCAACCTGCTCAAGTCCTTCCTTCTTCTGCTCCTTCTCGTCACGGACAATAACGTCACGGATCAGCTTCTGCATCTGACGGTCCTGCTCAGCCTGAACGCGGAGCTCAATAGAGTTCTTCTCGTTGGCTCCCCAGCGAAGGTTGATGGTAGCCTGAATCTCGCGATGCTTCTGCTCACGGAGCTCATTGATGGAAAGAGGAGCCTTGGGCATAACAATCTCGACATCGCAGTTCATCTCCCACTCACGGGTCTCCTCCTCAGTCATGGGAGAGCGCTTGGCAAAGATCTCAGCACGGCAGTGCTTGCCATCACGATCGCATTGTCCCTTCAGCTCAACTTGTCCCTTCAGTTCCTTGGGTCCTCCAACAGTGTAGACCTTGAAGACAACGCGGCCCTCCTTGGTCGACTTGCGGGATTGCTTCTCCTCGTAGTACTTGCGCATCTCCTGGTGGCGGGCAGAGCGCTTAGTCTCGGGCTCATATTCGTTCTGCTCCTCAGAGTCCTCCATGCGGAAGTCCTGAGACTCGAACTGTTGATCGTAACGGGGTCCCTCGAAGTTCTTCTCATTGTTCCACTTGGGCTCAATCTCGAAGACGACCTCCTTGATGGCCTCCTCAGTGGGGATCAGGTTGACCTGGACGTGGTTCTCACCATGGAGGAGAGCATTGATCTGCTCCTCTCCAGAACGGTGATGGACGGATCCGAAGACCTCGACGTTGATTCCAGTCATCTCACGGCCATACTTGCGCTCGTAGTGGACAGCAGAGCGCTGAAGACGAGCGACAGTCATCGTCTTCTCAGACAGAACCGGGGTGTAACGCTGAGTGAAGGTGCGGACAAAGTTGATGGGGCGGGTCTCAACAAGGAGAACACGCTTCTCCTCCTTCGGGGCACGGAAGATGGCCTTCAGCTGCTCACGCTCGTTGTCGTAAGAGATGGACATGTCAACGGGAAGAGTAGCCTGGACGGAGTGGAGAAGACGAGCACCAGTGTGCTTCGACTGGGCAAGAACAGCCATCTCGGTGACGTGGGTAGAGGCGACGGAGGGCTCAGCCTTGAGGACCAGAGTCGGGCGGGGAGACAGCTCGAACTTGATTTGTCCCTTGATGGTGGCAAGGGTGGGCATCTTCTGGGTGATGTGCATCGGCATACCAATGTGGGTGGCAACGGTACGGGTGCGCTCATACAGGTAAGAGGCAACAGAGACGTCGAAACGGATTCCACGGGCCAGATCACGGATCAGATCAGAGATCGAGTTGACTCCATTGCGGGAGATCTCATCAATCAGCTTCTCCTCAAGGGGAACGACGGCGTAGTCGAGGTTCTTGTAGCGGATGTACAGCATACCGAAGGGCTCCTCAGAACTCTCAGAACGGCGCTGAACAATCTTCATCTCAGAGGCGAGCTCCTTGAGGATGTTGTTGACCTTGGACGAGCGCATGCCACGGGTAATGGTGGAGGACTCCTCAGACTTGTCGTACTTGTTGATGAGAGAGTACAGGACACGGTCGAGGTTCTGCTGGGTAAGACCGATCTGGCCGAGATGCTTGTTCCATTGTCCGGCGAACAGAGAGTCGAAGTTGGCCAGAAGCTCAGCGGGGAGGATGGACTCGTTGGTGAAGATGGAGGCCATATCGACGGAGAGACCAAGGTCAAGCTTCTGCCAGAAAGACGAAGCACGGACGTAGCGAGACTCGAGGGTCGGGCGGAAACGGAGGTTGCGGAGAGCAACAACAACATCCTCGGACATCTTCTTCTCGCACGGGTTCTTGGACTCGACGAAGGACGAGAGGAGGGAGTAGCAGAAAGAGCGGAGCTGGTGGTTGTGCTCACGGTTGAGGGTATCAACGATCTGCTGGAGAACGGGCAGAGTAGGGCGAGAGTGGATCATCTGGTAGACAGCCGACATACGAAGAGCAAGAGGCTCACGGCGGGACTTGAAGATGGGCAGAAGGACCGATTGGACCTTGCGGGGCATCTCCTCGCGCAGCTGAAAAACAATTCATACATTACCATATATTCTGATGATACTCTTAGCTATGGCAATTTCATTAGTAAGAACTTACCATGCGGACGGCATCAATGGCGGAGGCACGGATAACGGGCTCCTCAGACTTGTTGTTGATAATCTCCTCGAGGAAGTGGATGGCAACATCCATTCCAGAGTTGGCAATCGTCTTGAGAACGAGAACCTTCTCGTACTTGGAGTCAGCCTCGACGTACAGATTCTTGAGGGTAGCCAGCCATTGGGTCTTCTGTTCACGAGAGCAACGACGCTCACCGTTCAGTTCAATAGCCCACTGCTCATCATTGCGACCGCAAAGGGTGTTCATCAGAGCTCCAGAGGTAAGAAGAGCAGATTGACGGAGAACAGGCTCGTCACGGGCAACCTTCGACTTGGCCAGACGGAGGACCAGCTCAACAATTTTCTCAGAAGAGACGGGAGCGTTGATCAGAGACTTGAGGGAGAGGGAAGCCTTGATCGGGGTGATGTGCTTCTTCTCAATCTTCTCCATCAGATGCTCGATGGTGACCTTGGTTCCGGCAATAGCGAGGCAATCGGCGATGATCTCGTTGACCTTCTTCTGGTTCTTGTCGAACTTCTGGTTGTCGCACACCTTCTCGTAGATCTCCTTGATCTCGGCCTAAATTTTTGTTTTATTGAGACAGAACCGAGGTATTTCTTACGCGGTTGCACATGCGAAGAACGGAGGCAATGCGGGCCATGTAGCGGGTAGACTCGAGCTGGACACCGTCCTTCTCGGACTCCTCGATGGAGCGGAGCAGCTGGGTGATGTACTTCTCGACGAGCTCCTAAAGGGTATGGTAAATTCGATTGCAATTTGAGTGAACTTACAGCCTTGGGCATCTTGTCAAAGTTGGCGAGCTTCCAGCTCTCCTCATCACCGTTCATCCAGAATTGCTCACGGGCGAGCTCCTCCTCGTGGTTGTAGAGAAGAGAAGACTTCTGTCCCCACTTGGGCTCAGAGAAACGCTCGGACTGCTCGACCTTGATGAGGCGGAGAATGGTGTGCATGTAGGTGGCAAGAGCCTCCTCCTCCTTGGCGATCGGGGTGAAGACGTACCTGTAGATGAATTATTCGTTTTGAGGAATTGAATTCGAAGGCTTACTCGGACTTGATCTGGACCTCCTTGATCAGGAACTCCTTCTCGTCACCGACAACCTTGTAGTTGTAGATGGTCTGGGACTCGGGGCGGGAGTCCTGGGACTCGCAAGTGGCGCACTCTAAATTTGGGATTAGATTGAAGGTCAAAATAGTACCAGAGGTGAAACGGAATCCGTAACGGAAGTCGGCGCGCTTGGCGCACTTGTCGAAGTTGACGGTCTTGGTGACCTCCTTCTCCTCACGCTTCTGTCCCTCGACAACCGAGTAGGTGACCTCGCACTCTCCCTCGAGCATGCGCTAAAGATTAGAGGGGTTTGGTGGATTATTTGAAGGAAATGATACCTCGGGCAGGGTGAAGAACTTGTTCTCAGACTCGGTCTCCTCCTTGAACTCCTGGGTCTTGGGGTTGAACTTGATCTGGAGCATCTGGACGATACCGCGCTTGATGTTCTCGGACCAGGTGTTGTCACGCTCAGAGAAGTGCAGCTAAAAAGTCATAATTAAAGGGATTCTTGCAAAAATGATACCTCGGAGATGATTCCATTGTGGTAACGGAAACGGACGGGCATGGCAAGGATCTCACGCTGCTCCTCAGTCAGCTCAGACTCCTCGAGAGAGATAGTCTGTAGGAAGTGAAGTAATTAGAGAAATTATTCGGTGGATTGATACCTTGTCGAAGACGCGGGGCTCCTCGATCTTGCGCTGTCCGTGGGAGACACGGATGTCGTCCATGCGGAGGGTCCTAGAGAGGGGAGCATGAGATACTGTAGTGGAGAAATGGAAACATACCAGTACTTGTCACCAACAGTCACGAACACCTTGGAGTTGCCGTGCTGGATCGATTGGGAAGAGGATCCCTGGACCGGCAGGCCATGGGCGATCTGAATATTTTGAATAAGGAGTTTTCTAGGTTAAATGATCGAAAGTATTTAGGGACCACTAGGTGAGGATTAAAATGACTCTAGGGTCGTGAAGTTACAAGAGATACTCGAATTACTAGTTGAAACTGACTGACAGGTCAGAGTGTATTCAACTGATTGACAGCTTGGAGATAGCTGAGAAAAAGAAAGAAAGAAAGAAACGAACCTGTCCCTGGTAGTTGAAGGTGTAGGTCTGTCCGACACGGAAAGCCTTTTCGGGGCCATCGTAGAGACGGTCAGCTGGCTGCCAGGCAGCGAGGGCCAGGGCCAGAAGCCCAAATGCGGCCAGAAGTTTCATCCCTGGTTTGGATGAAAGACTGGACCGAGTGGTGATTTGTCCCTTACCTTCATCCCTTTTATGCTGCTGGTTATCGCTGGGGATTGACGGGTGAACCCGGGAACCGACCGTTCCCACGCTGAGTGGCAGGCCACTTTCTGAAGGTTTTGACCAGGCATGGCCATTACAGAGGGGTACTCCTAGGCAGAACTGTCAGATAGTGGAAATGGACAGGTGCAGGGTTTCTAGAATGCTGCTAATCCCTGAAATTCATTTGGGGGATTTTTGGTAGAAAGGCGAAAGACGGGCATTGGAAAACTTTTTGGTGAAGATTTTCTGGTTTTGAAAAACTTCGAAAATTTCCGGTAAGAATCTGTACATTTTTCTATCGCCTCTTCCATAACGTTTGCCCTAATCGATGAAATCCTATTTTCATTCCGCTTCAGCATTGGATTGGACTAATGGAACCATTCGTCGATGCCAGCCGCCGGGAAAATGCTGTCCTGACCAAACAAAACATTCGAAGCATTTATAATGAGCGGTGGGCGCAGAGTTTCGCACCTTTACCCATTTCTTGAGCACTAATTGATTCTGGATTTTCAGGTGATCATGAAGTTGCTCCTGGTTTCGGCCCTCTGCCTTCATGCGGTGACCGCAGCTGGGTAGGTTTACGACTTCCACATTCATTCATGCGTTTTCAGGATTCTCAGCCTGCCGGCGAAAGCGGTTCCTGTAAAGTAAGTTTCTACAATTTATATACTGGTATACAGGGTGTCCCAAAAAAACCCCCCCTACCTAGCGGTCCGCAGTCGATTCCGATTTTTACGATTTAGGTATCTATCGAAAGCTCTCGAAAAGGCGAGAAAACAAGGAGGGTTGAATTTGTTAATTGAGCCTTTTTATTTGCGAATTTTAGGTCCAAAACCCATGAAAACTGCTGATTTATGCGAGATCTGCATCCTAATTGCGAAATTCCTTATGAAAAATTCCCGGCTTTTTAGGAAAACCTGAAATATCGCTAGAATCAGATTAAATCTTAGAAAACGAAACCCGCTTGTTTTCTCGCCTTTCCGAGAGCTTTCGATTGGTATAAAAATCATTCCGATCCGATCCGATTGACGGCCTCTAGAGGGGGGTTTGGGACACCCTGTACTGGTATTTTAGGGTGGAACACATCCAGGATCTCTTCTACTTCAAATGGCTGCGACCCGAGCAACTGCAATTGATCTCCCAGGTCGATAATCTGCCGGAAACCTTCTTTGCGGTGGTGGGTCCTTACTGCAATTAACAGAAATGGGTTAATCCATTTAATAACTCTAGCAATATTGATTGTTTTTCAGATTGGACAGTATTTCAGTCGTTTGCCAATTGAGGGCGGACAGCGTAGGGAAGCCAAGGTCGCCATCGTGACGGCTTGCCAGAAAATGATTTCCTGTAAGTTTGAATATAGTTTGTGTCTTACTAGGTAGCTAATCGCGCCCCTTAGAAATATTGCTAGCTTCAAGGACCGATTCTTTTCATTTTAGCTGTTACCGGCTACGACGACGCGGCGATGATGAACTTGATGAAGATCGGTGAAAAAATGACTGCTGACAACATCCCGGCCGATATCCAGATCAATATGGTTAGTTTTTATATACTTTTTGCATTACACACGCGACCTTTTTGGAACTGAGCGTATTTACGTAGACCAGAAACCCGAATCTTTTTTAGTTCCACGAGCTGATCACGACTGCTCCGGAATCGCCGCTGAAGCCCGTCGGGGTCATCGCCATGCGCGCCTGCTTCAACTATGACCAATTCCCGTTCTAAGATCGAGTTGCTATTGCGGAAATAAATACTGATCGTCGCATACCCGGCGTACGGTTTGAAATATTGTGCAGAGCTCAAAGTACCTTAAAGTCTGCTTTTTTGGGCGGGTAATCCATCCGGTGCTCGTTGACCCAATGCAGCGTCACTCCGATTTAATCTTGAAATTCGGTTTTCTACCCTTGGCATCTCTTCAAGACATATAGTTTTTTGTTACCTTCAACTTTCAAATTAGCTTTTTCTAAGGTTCGCCTCCGGCTTCAACTAACAAGAATAGAAGCATTGCCCTCATAGATTTCCATCTCGATAGGATTGTTCGTTGCTTAGCCTCTACATGCCGGTATGCTTTACTGCTCGTTTGCTTTCACCCAATTTTAGCACATAAATTTTTATTGATTTCGCACACAAAATTTACATAACACCGAGGCACCAAGCCATTGCACCGGGGCTATCTGACACATCGGTCACCGCGAAGGCTGAACCCGGGACAGCATGCACTTTGACACGGCTCCATCACCGTTCGCTCACTGAAAATCAATATTTTAAGGAGCAAAAAGAGGGAGTTTATTGGAGGAGGCGTGGGTGGCATTTTTAGATGGACAGTTGCTGGGGGGGGGTTCGATTCTTATCAACTAGAGGGCCATCTTGGGACCCATCTCGTGAAAGATTTTGAGTGACAGGTTGTGGTACTGTCGGGTAGTCAAATTTTGTGCTGCAACGTTAAGTGCTTGGGGGTAGCAAATAAAATTTAGGCGGTCAGCGAGCACATTAAAAGTGGAGAGGAAGATTTTTGAAATGTGAAATATAGTAACGTAGTTACCTCTTGCACCGGGTGCCGCGTAACAAAGCCAAAAACCCGGCACATTCGCCATCATCGCTTTTCCGTCGTGCACATAGACCGGAACATGGCTGATCGTTGCACACTTGCGTCTCGAATGGGACGCCGCTAAAATTGTATATCTTATATATAAGAATTATATATAATCCATAGAACTGCGTTCAAAAATATAAACTTACGGGCATGCCATCCCGGAAGGACACGTTCGTGTCCTCATCCGAGTACCGCAAGCTCCACAGCTCGCCGTGCATGGACTCCACGCACTCCAAGTCGACCAGTGACCGGCTGGGGCTCGTGCTCTAGCTCGAGCCTATGAATTTCAGATATAAAAGGGCTTTAGCTCGATCTCTCACCTGGAATCCCTTTCCACCCCTGTAAAATGATCGGAATAATATTAGCATATCCTCAGTGGCGGAGTGAATAATCGTCTGTGGGGTACCATAACAACAATATCTAAAATAGAATATGACTCCAGATCACGAAATCTTACCTCATTCCCGTATTCGCAAAATCTGTCGAATTCCTAACCTCTACGTAGTCCATACAGAGTGAGTGCCTAACCTAGAGTGAAAGTTGGTTTTTGAATTCGCGGCTTAACCCACTTTACAATACATTTCGAATTCTCCGTAAAATTGCATTTCAACAATCATTCCAGGAGGGGCTTGGAGAAGCCAACTACATTCCTGGCCTTCTTTGAAATCTCGAGGGTAGCCGGGGCTTGCTATTCTTGTCCATTCTTGAGTACCGATTGGAATCTGAAAATGGATTTTTGGCGATAAAACGACTAAGCAAAATCCAAAACTTGTTTGAACTGATAAACTCACCCTTCCTCCACAAACAGCACCATATCCCGGCATCACTTCCTCACAATATTGCCCCTTAAATCCATCAGGACATCGGCAACGGTCACACCTAATTACAAAATTGAATCTACAAGCAGATTTTGCAACCTTCTCGGGTCTGTATATCCTCCCCGTTGACAAGGCAGATTCTGGGGACAAACATCGTTGCAGTAGATTTTATTCATCAATTGGATGTCATTAAACGATAGTTGGTCTCTAAAATTTTGTGATGTTTAGAAATCTTAACATACCGCTGTCCAATAGTTTTCTGGTAATCGGCGACGAAGGTGTTGATTGTGTAAAGATCTTCAAAGCGTGAGAATGCTTTGCTACTGGAATTTGGGGGAGGTTAGGATGGAAATTTTGAGGTACCGGTAGTGCATGATGCTGCCGTAGTCATATGGCACACCGGCATTATCAACATCATCAGGTTCTTCTTTCAAGAATTGGCCTTTTGATTCCTAAAAAAAGTCATGCAAACGCTGATTATACTGTAGCTATTAAATATCCGGAGTTCTTCATGTTATTAATTATACCTTGTCAATATTTTCCCATCGAACATGCACAAACTGATCACGATCTGGCCGACTCTGCTCATGCCAAAAGCCCAAAGCATGCGCAACTTCGTGGGCGATGACTCCGAGCTAAATAAAGTTTACAATCCCCAAAAATGTCTTGTCGTGTCTTTTTAATATATCTAAACCCCAAAAACTAACTCTAATGCATTCAGGCGCTAGGGAAACTAGCTGCTCCTCCCCAATCGGATGTCGGCCAACATTTGAAGCACAGCCATCAACATCAGTGAAAACAATTCTAGAAAACTTTTTTGTTTTAATAAAATGGCACACCTGTTTCCGCTTCTAACATTATCATTGCGCAGGAAATTCAAGCACGTAATATTATGCCAATGCTCCAGAGCCAACTCGATGATGCGCTGTTCACGTGCGGCTGAAAGCTGTGTGGTTGTGGACAACTTTCCCGTTGTTTCATTGTAAAATATAGATTTTTCGCAGTTTGCATACCAATAGTATGTTTCTTTGACTACTAAACAGCTCTCCATTCTGTTACTGGGTTCTTTTTCTAGCTGTTCAAACTTTACAATTTTTCTCTAATATTGCCCAAAATACACCTTCTGCTCTCCTATTTTCCAACCCTTTTCGATTCAAACCCAATTGTCAATATATTTTCTTGAACTAATCAACATTTCTTTTCTCGAACATGCACTTGAGCCGCGAAATCCCCCATCATAAAAACGTTATCACTAATGGCGAGGGGGCAAATTTTCGTGCGGGCGAAAATGTGGCGAGAGATTGGCAAACAATATGAGATTCGGGGGTGACCGACCCGGATTGCTTACTGTGTGATCCATCAAAACTATAGACAATCGGGCGCTTTGGATCCCAGCGGCGCAGCGTGGAACCGATGAATTTCCTGTGAATGGAGGGTGTTGAGTAAGGTTGTATACACCGAGACACACCTTTTGACGCGTCGCTTGCCGTCTTTCAATGTGCGCTCGTAGAGTTCTTTGGCTTGATCTGGGAACAGCACGATGTCACCTGAAAATTTGAGTCATGAGGTCTTCGTACACTCTTCGGCTAACTTAGGACCTTTTTAACAAGTGGCCCTTTCTTTCTCTTTTGTAAAGTTTTGCAAACTTCATCTTAATCCCAGCTTTTCCCCAAGGTCCCCCAAATCTCTAGATCCACAACAATACATCCTCTCAAACCGGTCCCCCTATCATTCCAAAAATAAAGATAGCCCATTCTATTTTTGGAGCCCAGCGGGGATATCCTTTAAAGGTGACTGACGCTATCATCAATCGTGCTGCTCTTGCCTGGGCTTTTTTAGAAGGCGATCAGAGACGACTGGTGGAAGATAGAAAGAGAAAGATCCTGGGAGATCCCCCGACCTTTGAAAATGACGGAGGATGATTCGTCTAGGCAACTGCCTGGGAAAACAAAACAGATAACAATATTGTAAAATGACGTCAATCCGTCGTAATGGAATATTTTAGTTTTCGCGTATAGCATTTTAGAGTTATCGTTTTTTGTAGTGCTCTCGAAACGGGCTGAAAAGCTACAAACCTTCGAAGAATCTTCCATTTTCTTCAGGAGACGATATATCAGCCTTGAAACGGCGGCTCCAACCTGCCGATGTTTTGTCATCCGGGAGGTCCTGAACGGAAAATGAGTTTATTTTGGTTTTACACAGCTTTTTTCTCAATAATGCACATCTTCCCACGCATTATTTCACAACCCATGGGATCAATGGTGGCTAGGCAACAGAAAACTCTTTGAATTTGGCACGAACGTGTCAAAGACGCTTGGTCTATGACAAGAAGGTGACAGTCGGAGGTATCCTGATAAGGTTTCGGGTGAGTTTTTTGTGGTTGAGTTGTTCTGTGATAGGGTGAAGGGGGAGGGTTTTGTTGGAATGGGGTGGGGTTGTTGGGTGAAGGTTATCGTGGGGTCGAGCTGGGTGCGCCCATTCGATTGGACAGGTTTCCTTCCGAGCTCATTGACATGCACCACCGCCCGTGGAAATATACTCAAAAATTGAAAAGCGTGGATGAATATTGTATTACGGAAATACTGGGTGCACCAGAAACGGGTTGGAAATGCGTCTGAAGTTGACGATTTTGGGTAGGTATTTATTGAAATCTCTTAAAAATCAGCGAAACAAGTATTTTTAGTTTCTAAATTAAGTATTTTATTAGCATATTTTACGTCCGAAATCCATGAAAATTTAAGTTTTGCCTAAAATCCACATGCAAATTGCGTATTTGGCGCTAATTAGGCAGCTTTCAGAATGGGCCTGATTCTATGAAGTTTTACGAACATTTTATGAAGCCAAAAATCACCGACTAGGCGGCAAGGAAAAGAATTGGCTTTTATTATTTATCTTCAAGAGCAAGTTCCTGAAATGTAATACTAGAAAAAATCCTAAGGGTAGTCCTAAGACCGTTGATATTGTTCTTTTAAATTTGAAGGTTTTTAGCTCCTTCCTAAAACGAACACCCCCTACCCTAAAGTGCCAATTTCTCCCCAGGCCTTCGCGCCCGACAAATAGCTCCGAGTCGATAGAGCGGAGAGCTCATTTTGTGGGCTCATCTTGGGGCTACAAGTGAGATCCGAGAGCCTTCGGATCAATCTACTCATCCTCCCTTTTTCCTTCCTCCTTCCCCCCCAACCACCCCTTCATCGATAGCCGATCGGAGTTGATTTACGAGCCGCACTATTGTTTTCCCCGCAATTTTCTCGGCTGGAAAGACAGGGACAGGCAAATGGCTCGCCCATTTACCCGCAGCTCCTGCGCGCTTGTCCTGGCAAGATCCACCGTATCGACCATGTTGTCTTGTTGCTGACACTCAGGGTATTAGCTATGTGGTAGTTAATAGGCAAGAAAAGAGAAAAATTGAAAAGATGGTAAAAGGGTGGGAATGATGGGCCTTCAACACAATATCGACGTTTGAAAATGCATAAATTTTAATGCGCAAACATCCATTTAGACCAAAATCTGACTATGCCGACACTTGAACAGAAATTAACAAATTCCGGAAATTTAACACCTTTCTAGTCCCCGAAATCCCTAGATTTATACACCAACTTGCAAGTGTATCCATATGTTTGGTGAAAGCACACAATCCTCCTCACATGTCCGGATCCATCCTATAGGGGACACACGCGCACAAACAGTATGAACTGGAACCGCGGCAGGGGGTCACGTCGAATCCCATTACATTTGCATACAGCCCCGGGGTCAGAAACCAGCTCCCAGTCCTACAATTTATCTAGCCTCACAGAGAGCACCACCAAAAAGTTCATATAGTTGAAGGTTTCCGCTACAGCCCACTACCCAAAACATCCGATCCCGTGGTGACTCTCAAAAAAATTGAAACGAACAACATCTCCATAGATAAAAAACCCGAAAACCTATCCCTAAGAAAAATATTTTCCTAGTATCCTTTTTGTCTGGACAAAAACGGGAATTGAAGGGGGGGGGGAGTAGGATGAGATGGTGGGATATGTGAGGAAGAGAAGGTTGAGGCAATCCGTACACTTCAATTGTCCTCAACACTGTTGCATAAAGGGACTAGGAAAGTGTGGAATATCGCGAGGAGATAATGCGTCAACGCCGTTCGTTTGCCGTAAATTGGAAAATGGAAAATCAAAGTAGACATAGCAATTGAAGATTTTGTGCAAAATGAAATAAAAAACAAAATGCTTACAGGGGTCGGAGCGAAAAAAATCCAGAGTTTAGATAATTTCTAAAGAACACATTTTAGATTCCCATAGAAAAGTATGCAAAAAGGGATAAGAGAAAATAATGCAAAAATCAAAATAAACTATCCACCCACCTTAGCCGATGGTTGTTGTGGATGCTTCCGGTTTTGTATTTGCTGTATCTTCCCAAGGTAATAATCGACAGTCTTTTTCTCCTCCACTGTGAGCCCCATCCTGGCCCTCCGCTCTTCCAACTCTTTTGGGGTCGGCCGCGGCCGCTGTGTTTGCTAAACAACACTTTTAATCTCTCTTCCCGTTCAACCATACTTCATGGTTGTAGAGCGCAGCGTCAATGTCTTCAGGGAAGTGGTCAGGTCGTATAAGTCGGAAATCTTCGACTGGTCGATGCTCATCTGCAGCTGGTATCAACGGTCGGACACGGTCCTCTGGATAGTCACCCCTGAAAAAGGCGTCATATTGTTTTGATTGGTTTCACTTGTACTACACTGTTTGGACGTGAGGTTATGGTGGTAGCAAAATTCCATGATACACACACGGTCATGGGAAGCGCCTTATCAATTCGGCAAACAGGGATGATCCATTGGAGAAGGGTTTGGGGATCAGTTTGTGTACAAATTTCGAGCGAGAGGATATTATGATCCGATGGTCAAGTCAATTCATTTGGATGACGTTAATGACGTTTTGGAGAGCGAAATCTTTATTTTCTGCTTTTGAGACGCGGTCAAAAACTGGTTATTCTGCTCGGACATGCATACATAATTCTTTTTCGTTCAAAAAAAGTTGTGTTCCAGTCCGGCATTAGTACTGAAAGTGAAGGCAGCCCGAGGGTGCAAAAACAAGTAGATGTAGCTTAGGTGTGGGAGCCCTGCATTTAGTTAGTAAATCGATAGTAACCAGCGTTTACAAAAAAGGGCAGATTCATTGATTTATTTCCGCGAACAAAACTTTCATAAATTTTGTGGGTGCGTCTTGGGACTCCACGCCTGTCTATGGGGTATGTCTAACTGTCGGCATCAAAATCATAGTATGAAATTCAATGGGTCGTCCTCACCGCCCTACCCTCGTGCTCCTAGCCTGTCTTTGTGGTTTGTCTAACTTTTGCGTCAAAAACTCTTAGAATAATTTGAAACGGGTTGTCCGAAACAGACAAACCTCGTGCTCCTATACCTGACAATCTCCTCCGAATCGATCAATAAATGGCCGCGAGCGGTGACAGCTGCAAGGATAAATAGCAGGGATAGATATGGGCGAATCGTCGCCACCCGCCAGCCGCGAGGTCGTGTCGGCAACATATAGAAACGAGTGGATCGGGTGTGCGTGCTTTTCTTCTAATTGGTTGATGCTGTGTGTGTTGTACCCCAGTTTGGAATGGTTAAGATGATGATTTGAGAGACTTGAGTAGTTGGGTGCGAGGGTGGGGATCCTCGTATCCATCCTTCCCCCCATTCCCGTCCATTCCCCTGGACGACCGGGGCGACTCCGCCCCATTCCGCCTTCAACAACCTCCACAACCACCGCCACCTTCCTTCCTTTTGTACTGCACTTTTTCGGGTCGAGCTCCACTCAGAAGCACACACACACGCTCACTCTGCATCTAGGCCGAGAGCATCCACTTTGCCTAGAGGGGCACCAACCATAGACAGACAGACATCGCATGAGCACCACCACGTCGCTTCCATAGAAAACTGCGACTCCTCGACATAACCACCCCCACCCCTTCCCCTTTACACCGAACCTCGTCGACCTGGAGGACACATTTGGACAGACGGGAACGAGTCTGGGCTAGTGTTGGTCAAGTGGCTCGCCTGTCACTGTCCACCTAATCAAACAATGCTACCACACTTTTTGGTGTGCTTTTATATGACGGCTGGAGGCCTTTAGAGGCGCAAAGACTTTTCATTTTCTCTTAAAATTCCGATAAGATATTTGTTTAATGGCGCCGATTTTGGAGATTTAGTCCATTTAAAATCTTTAAATATATATTCAGTTAACAATAGACAATCAATGATAGCCAGAGGTCTTTAAAAGGACAAGAATTTTTATGGCATACGGGAAAATATATTTAAATGGCCAACCAGGGCCGAAAACAAAGCTTCTTCGATATTTTATTAAATTTGTATGAAACTTTATAGAATCTGAAACCACCAGGTTGGTTCTCAGCTTACTGTTGATTTCCTCTTTTATTGTACGGTGTATTGCTATTAACAATACTCAAGTAAATTTTATTCTTCCCGCTTTACGCATCACACATAATTCCCAAGCACTCGAAAAGATAAACATATACTGGATCGGGTATACATGAAAACGATATCTATCTTTAGAGTTTTCTAGAAGGGTACAATCAAAGAAGTATATGGTACTATAAAAACAGAATTGAAGCTATGTGAAAATTGATCTGAAATGTGAAGAAACTAAAAGGCTATAAAGATGTCAAGAAATGTAATGTGCAAAGATAATTCCTGTATCGGAGATCACAACCATATCTACCTAAATCAAAGCACGAGCAACAGTATCACCCGAATCGGGAATGAATTCTAGCACAAAAGTGTGGGGAAATTCGATAAAAGGCTTAATTCCCCCTTGAGGGACCCGGAAAATATGAAAATGACGACAATCGGTAACATTATATCGGTATCTGTCAGATCACAGCGCTTTCATTAGCCATAGCAAAGGTTTAAGAAAATGTACGAAACCGTAATGTAGAGATATCGGGGAGAACCACTTCTTAATTCGCGCTATTAACGCTAATTTTGACCACATCCAGCAAAATTTAGCGTAGCGTTTTGCATATCAGTCCGCGATCCAGATCTCCATTCCCCCCGTTATCAGGACATCAAGCGAGAGACTTTGCGCATTTCGCAAAATTGTTTCACGCTCAGTAGTTTTCTATTTCATTTATACAACAAATAACAAACAAAAATTCGCAAGCGTCAACGAAGCCGAAACATTTTTACGGATCACAGATAGACTACGAGTCACCAGAGAGCAGCACGGAAGAGAAGGTATCCATTGACGGGTATCAGACCGGAACCGAGGGTTTTTCCATTCCTAAAGGAGTTATGAAATATATTTTATAAAATTAATTCATAGAAAAAACTGAATTCGCTTACTTGTTGAATGGAGAGAGTTGAAAAGATCGATTAGTTGCTTTTGTGGTGACACTTTTTCTGCAGGTTTGTTCTTCATTATACCCTCACGCTAAAAAAATACTTTAACGACTCGTTTTAAGCGAGATTTCATCGTTGTTATTCGTTAATTTTAATTAAATTTTATGTTAATCGGTCTATAATATCTTACTGCTATTAATTCCCCATTAATCAATCTATTTTTCAGTTACATGCTAAATTATTTTCACGCAACCGCCTCGTTTTAAAGACGATTCCATGGAAATTCTATTTTTATCCTATTGTCATTTGAAAGGTTTATAAGCTAATAAACTTATTAATGAACCTAGCTAACAATTAATTCAAAAATGCTAATTTTTAAAACTAGAATTTAAAACATCAAACCCCTCAAGGCGATTTTTTCAAGAAGACGTACCACGCAAGAATTCAATGTCTCCCATGCCTCGGTCGTGGATAGTTGCTGTACGCACCGAACAATCGATTCAAGCGAGCGATTTTGGGCAAACATCGACACTAAATTGCAACTCTGTAATGCAATAGGTTCATTTATTTGTGTCTTTCCCTCAACGCCGATAATATGTGAAGCATCACATAATGCAAGGACGGATGGGTGGGGATAAATGTTTGTCAGATAGCTATAATCTAATCATGGGCAATAAACGACAATGACGCGAAATTGGTAAAAAAATTCAAATAGCTTACACAAATATCGGAACATGCCTCAAAACTTACGGATGCTGGGCTTTCCGGCTGGTGGCTTCACCGTTGGCGGAGTTTGAGGTGGCCGTCTCGAAGTTGTCGGCGGGAATTGCTGAGCAGTCTGAGTCCGAGAGGATCCTTGACCGGATTGCGGCTGTTGCTGTTGTTGCTCGCGAAGTGCTTGCTCTCGAGCCCTCCTAAAACAAATAACTAAGTAATTGAAATTTATTAGGAAATGAGAAAGGAAACGGAAAGAAAACGCACTTCTCCTTTCTGGCCTTCTTCGTCGATAGTTCATAACAGCTTTCCTTAGGCAAGTCCAGGGGCAACACCTGTTAAATAACGCAAATTAAAGCATACTTATATTAAAAACATACCTTTTCCAAATCAATCTTTGCCAGGAAGGGATGCCGCAACGCTTCGACACAGCTCGGGCGTTTCTTTGGATTCATGACAAGCATGCGATCGATCAAGTCCAGGGGATCCTTCGGGATGCTAAAAAATTCAGATATTTTGGTTAATTATTAATAAAACAGGATTCTAATAAATTCGAAAGAACTTACAAGCTAAGCTCACGCCGCAAAGTACGAGGGAAGGTATGCCTCGGGGTGTGCACTTTATAATTGGGTAGATCAACGAATTCGGGCCAGGTACTGATCGTGGGGGTGCCGCATGTCTAAAAATTTTAGGTATGACCTAGTTTTAAATGGTTACCTTTTTGGATTAGTTCTATTTGTGCTCCCTCAGCTTGTGCAGCAAAAAGCGGGCGGCGGAGGAAGAGTTCGGCAAGGATACATCTGTAATCACAAAATTCTTTAATTTTGAATTTTTTATAGAATTTTACAAAAAGTAGTTGTCACGAATGCTCTAAAAAAATGATAACCGCTTACCCAGCGCTCCACACATCAATATTTGGACCATAACGCTCTTCCCCATACAAAAGCTCTGGAGGGCGGTACCAAAGGGTGATCACCTTAAAGAGATATTCTAAATATCATAAAATTCTTTCATACCCGGTTTGTGTAGGGGCGATCTTGATCGTTATAATATCGGGCCAACCCAAGATCGGCGAGCTTCAATACCCCCCTGAAGATTCCTGGTTTTTTTCCATAAAAACGAGTATTACGTGTTGGTCAGTAGAATGTTTGAGCATTTCACATCTCTATGCATGATCTTGTTGTCGTGTGCGTAGACGAGGGCCTAATTTGCATGATTAAACTAAATTAAGGGAATCCTCTCACCTCAATAAGCTGCTTGAAGACGGCGCCAGCTTGGATTTCATTGAAATTCACCAATCCCGACTCTAGCAATCCGTGAAGATCGTGATGGACATATTCAAATACCAGATAGTGAGCAACTAAATTTAAATTGTTGTAATGAGAATCGTAAAAATGACGATACCTTTCTTGGAGAAAAGCTCTCGCTTATCCTTAGCTTCAGTAATAATATCTTCTAGACGCACGATATTACAATGATTAATTTGGCGTAGGATCTAGAATTTCAGAATCAAACTATAAATTTAGTCCAGCTCACCTTAGCTTCCCGCATGGCCGTAATAGGGAATCCTTCTTTCTCATTTTCGAGTCGAATCCGCTTCAACGCAACCGTTTGGCCTAAAAAACATAATTATAAAATTAATGCAATGTACAAACACTAGTAAATATTTGTTGTAATTTTTTGTTACTTACCAGACTTTTTGTGTATCGCTTTGTAGACCTGTCCATAGGTTCCTTCGCCGACTTGCATCTGTTGAACATAATCGTCAAGGGAACCGCGACCCCATGGGGTGTCCGTCATAATGCGTCGCAGATTGTCAGATGAAGCCAGTACACTGAAAAAGTATTATTTTGCTATTTATTTATCTACTATTAGAGGTGCTTTTCGAGTGCTCTAACGTGCTAATCACTACAACTTACGTTGGTCGATTCCTTCGAACCACTTGAGTACGAGCTGGAGGTGGCGGGGGTATAAACCGAGCCTGACCGGGTGGTGGTGGTGGGATGGTCGGATGAGTGGGAGCTGGAGGCGCTCCCATTTGGTGGTGAAGCTGTACTCCCGCAGGTGGGGGCGGAGGCACCATACACGAGACGGACGCCATTACTGCCGCCGGTGGGCGCATTCCGTAATCCTTGGAGCATGATTGTTGCGCCAACGGATAGGGTTGCATCGGCTTAAAATCGAAATTTACTATAATGTTTTTCAATTATTAAAATCAAAAGTTTTGGGTTTTTATTAGAAAAAATACGGTATTTTAATGCGAAAACTCACGATGTAACCGGGTGGTGGAGGCGGGATTTGATGCATCGGCATCTGCGGATTATCCGGCGCCTGGAAGGTGTTCAATAAAAAATTCAATAATAAACTATAGAATTATCAAACTAAAAATAAAATTAAGCACCTGATACGCGGGATGCATCATTGCAGGGACCATTTGAGGAGCGATGACGGGTGGTGGCGGCATTGTCATCATACTTGGGGGCGGAACATTTGGTGTAAACACGGCCGGTGTTGGCAAGACTAAATAATTCTTAATTAGTTTTTTTTTGTTTTAGTACCTATAGGTTGTACCGCAGGAGCCGATGTCGAAGCCGCATTTGGCTTAGAGGCTTGCATAAACTGGAAAAAAACGGTTTAAAATTATTGAAGTAACTCAAACCCCAAAGCCATTTGATGGTGCCTCCATGCCTTCAAGTGTTGATGGTTTTACCGGCTGAAATGAAGTTAGTGGAATTGTTGTAATTAAACATAGAATATAGAAAAATTAGTAGGTATCCTTACCGTTTCATCATCGCTGCTCGAGCTGGACACGGATCCAGAAGACTCCTTCTTCTTATTCTTTTTCTTTTCCTCCAGAATCATACCACCAAGCGTGGTAGCCACGTATCGTCTAAACCAATTTTGTTACCAATATTGAAACACTTACTTCGACAGGTCTTCCGAAGAATCTCGTCTGCTACGCTTCCTATGCTTGGCATTATGACTGCTTCTGCAAAAGAATGTATCGTGGTTTGCTCTGTAGTTATTTTTATTACAATTCAAATAAGACCTACCGCTTATGATCTCTTTTGTGTGAACGAGATCGACCCCTAGAACGAGACCTAGATCGTCGTCGATCCCGATCATATCGATCTGAGCGTCGTGTATCCGAGGGGGACCGGCTTCTTGAGCGTCTCCTTTTTCGGGAGCTGTGATCACCCGATCCACCGTATTCAACGCTACGGGAATGGGAGCTAAAATCAATATTTATTTTATAGTTATAAGATAATCGAAGAAAAAGGCGAGTTTCGAAAGTTTTTGCAATAACAGCTTACCGCCTCCGATCGTCTTTGTGTCCCTTCGAATGTTTGCTACGATGCCGAGACATCGCTGGAAAATAGTATATAATAAAAATTGAAAATATTAGAGACAGGACTTGATGAAAAGGAAGAGGGTTCCTGGGCTATGAAAAAGGTTAACCATTGTTTTTGTGGAATTACGTGGTGGATTATAACTCAGAATAAGCTAATAAACGCTTACAAACATTTTCGAAAAGACTTCTGGGGTCCATAAGACAAGTACAAAGCTTAAAAAAGCAAAAATAAGAATTAGAATTTAACGTAGCCCTTATGTAATGTAATGGGTGGCCTTTCACAGGTAAGCATCCGCCGGCTGCATTTCTTGTTTCATCGGCGCACGAAAAATGGGTCAATTTCGAGTTTGCCTTGCGTGTATGGGGTGCGCCATGAAAGATCGGGGATTGAGGGAGGGGCGAGAGAAATGGGCACCGGTATCTCATGGTGTTTCTCTATAGCCGGGCTGTAGAGAAGACAACATTTATACGAAATTGGTGGAAAAGGTCTATGAAAGCAAATTACTAAAATTCTAAGCACTTTTTTAAGGTGGTGCGTCCACCCAATAAATTAAAACCGCGCTTTACAGCATGAAATTTCGAACTAAAAAGCACTGGACCACCAAGCAGCACTACAAATATTTCCGAAACAAATAGAGGTGAAAATATTAAAAACAAATTGCGACAGTGAGATCGAACTTTGACTGGCGGCTAAAATAATTTGAATATTTCGAGGACAGCCGGTAGAGCAGATAGCGCGTACTGACACTACTCTCATCGATTGATAAGCTGAGATAACACTACTCTATTAATGCTAGCCAACCTTGAATATTGCGCAGGCAGCCAGATAGCCGGGTGATAATATTTTCCGTTCGAAATTACAGATAGCCATCTGCCCGATGTACGTCCCAGAATCTAGGTCATTATATAGCGAGGTTCTAAAACAAGGTTATTAACATTTCGAAGAGAAACAATTAATAAGATGATTACAAAGTTGATTTAAATTATAGAAATTTATTTAAAAAAAAGAAAAAGTATGTCACAACCAATAAGGACAACAACGGAATGGCTTACCAGGAGATCACAACCCGGTTTTTATGACCTGTTAGGGTATATGTAAAAATAATAGTGTTGTTTTGGACATAATTGGATTGCATATAAATTAAAGCAAAGCGTAGAGAGCAAAGATAACAAACAACAGGCTTTTAATTAACTAGATGCGTTTGCTGCGTAGGTTCCTGAAGGCGGCCGGAGTGATTTGGGGAGAAAATGCATCTGAAAAATTCTACTGTAATTTATGAAGTTTTGATTAGTTTGAATCTATAGGTACCCACCTGGAAGGGGCTGAAAGCATACGCTTTCTTTCCAATGTTCTTTCGACAATTCTCACGTCGCACCCCGTCTTTTCGTAGGCATGTAACAATTTCCATCACTTGGTTCTGATCGAGTCCATGTGTCTCACGAAGTCTTCGACCTTGCTCTAGGGTCAACCCCATGGAGGTGCGATCCTAGGAAAGCTACTTAAAATACTACTAAAATATACCTTTCCACTCTTACATCCAATGACCACTTGTGCTCCCAAACATTCGGAGACAGCCATTAACCGCTCGAAGATTTCAACGTTTTTCCGAGATGGCTCTAGCTTGACCTGAAACGGGACTCTACTACCCCTTCATTTCTGATGAACTACCGTATTCGAGAATTCAGCCAAAGCCTCCTTAGCACTTGGATCAAGTTGCAGTCGATATGCGTAAGTTTCGATATTCTAAAATTTCATTTACCCTAAAACCTCGTGTATAGTTCCTCCCCGTGTATAGGTCCGGGTGAAAATACGAATCTTTCGTAATTCCGTATGACCGTAAACTGGTTTGTTTCGTTTTTTCGGGTCTTTGCAAATATCTCGCTTGGCGACTGGTATTTTTGCGATTTCGTTTGAATTATTGATCGCATTTCGACTATTTCGAATATTTTAAGTGATTTAATGAAAGAAATTGATGGTGGGGATCCTGAGAATCATCTCTTTAGCCTAATATAGCTTTTGGCGGCGAATTGCCCCCTACGCACATTATTTGGTGTCAGTTGTATTGGTATGTAACCAAATTGTACCGGACTTATACACGAGGTTTTAGGGTATATTTAGCCTTCTTCCAGCTTACCAATAAAGCAGTGTGATTGATGTGGGCTTCAAGAGCAGGACCTCCCCATTGCTGGGCTAAGCTAGCTTCATGGTTGATTCCTAGGAGAATTAGAGTACGTTGGAATCATTACCTAGATTAAAATAAGCTGTCTGCATCCTCCACCCTTCCGGTCTCTTCACGGCTTCCGGCAGCTTATTGAAAACATCGTGAGGAAGCGGCAGGCAGACCTGTCCAGAATTATAGCAATTTGTTAAAGCCTTACCAGAATGTGATTTCTCTTCCCAGACACAATTGGAACGCAAGACCGGCTGACGCTTGAAGGAGCTTGTACAAACCTGAAAAATCGGGGATTAACTTTAGATTTTACAACAAACTTGAATGCGACTAGCGAGCTGAGGGTTGACCAGGCTTCGGTTGCATCTTCAAGCATTCCCCATTCATCTCCATACGCAGATAGCCAAGAAAATATAATCAGAAGAGGTGGTAGTGGCTGTCCTAAATATTTGCAAGTGAAAACAACCCGTGATTTTTTCTACCGTCTAACATAGGCCAGCCTTGCTCAACCCTGGTCAGCATAGCAGTTGCCGCAATAGTAATAGTTTGAGAGAGCACGAAATCGAGTCTATATAAAGCAATGTTATGAGGAATAGTATAGCTTACCGTAGTTGAATATGGAAAAATTGAGGTCCAGCTTTTGCGTGGTGAACAGCACGGATAAAGCCAAGCAAGAGGCATTCTGCGAGCGATTCTGCCAACAGAAGCTCTGCGTCCAGGCAACTGGCTACTGCCGAGCGAGTATTGTCAGCGACGGATTCCTGAAAGTGATAATAACGTTAATCTACGATATCCTATACTTTATCGTCGGCCATCACATCCATCGTCGCCAATTTCGTATCTAATGAGATGACTTGAGCATTCAGCGCATCAAATTGATTCGTAATTGCATCGGGCACAAGTTTTTCTTTCTGAAATTATGACCCATCTATCCTCATTTTACCACCTACCCGTTGTCTGGATTTCGCTGCGAAAAGCAAAGAGTTCGATAGCGCATCAGCATCCGGGATTCGCTTAGTCAGGTCATTGAGCCTTTCACGAATCTACAAGAAGAATTGACGTTTTATTTTAAAATACCTGTTTGATTCCAGTGGTCAGCTCAATTAGATTTCCATAAAATGCTCCCTCGTCGATTGTTGATCTGCTTCCTTCGAGCCGATGGCTCATTTCGCCGATCTCTTTCTGAAAAAATAAGACTACAGCCGATAAGATTTGAATACACCTTTATTTCCGAGATTTCGCTTTGCTTTGATTCATATGATCTCCCTGTCCATTGTACACCGATCTTGAGATTGCCAGTCAACTTTTCCAGACCTCCATGCTTAAAAATTAACATTGACACTGTGAGAACGATTTACATACAGCAAATCTTAGCGGTAGACATGAAGCCGTCCCAGCTGTGATTATACATTTTGGAGCTTCTCCAGCAACATTGAAATATTGGATATGCAAATTTGTTGGTACGGGAGCAAAGGCCACCCTTGTCTTTTCGACTGAAGGCCGGAAGTTGGGGCCTAAAATCGTGATTTTAACTTGTCAGCTTGTGCTCTCCGTACCGCTATGACTTGTCAGGAATTCGATGCACTGTTCATATATCTCGAGGTTGTCCCTAGCATGCCGCAGCACATCTTGCAGAGCAGGAATATCGTCCAGTGGGTATTGTGACTGCTTGGCTTCCAGTAAATGTGTGAAATCTTTACCAAACCTGAAAACAAGAGGTTGATTTACGTTTGCAAAAAACTTACTTTCTAAATAGCTTTAGCAGCTCAAGCGGAAGGGCGATGGAGAGTTTTGTTTCCCACATCACCTCTTTGTAAGCGATATGACGCGCGACAAAATTGAGCTTCTAAAAATTTGGTTATATAAAAACAGGAAAGTACGTTACATTTGCGATCGAAAAATTGTGGGTAATGGCGAATGGATTGGATAAGTAATAATTTTGGAAGGCACTTCCATGTGAAGCTTGTTCATCTGGGACTTCCGGAATCTGAAAAGTAGTTCAGATTTTAGCTAAAGTCCGGGACCAGAAACTACCTGCATTGTAAACAATTTATATGCTAATTCATCCATAGTTGCGGCGGCCATTGAGTGGGAGCATGTGGCAAGCTGATAAAGCTATTTGTTGATAGGAGAAACCAGTACCCTAAGCATTAATTTCTCTCGCTGTTCAGATGTTGTCGGGTAGAGTTGCAACAATTCATCCGCAAAATTGATGGAGAATGGAAAAGAGCAACTTGATTGTTCGGCAGAATCTTTTCTGGAAATTTTACTTTTTTGAGGGTAGCTTGGAACCTTTGGTTCTCACCTCATCGTAAATCGCTCCATCACAAAAATCAATGGCTCCATCGGACGCGATACAGAATTTAACAGCAGTAAATTACCATATATTGTGACCTAAATAGCATTTTAGACTTCGCAAATAGCCTTCCGACCTTTGCAGTAAATTCCATTAGCACCAAAGCAAACATGCATCGGATCATCCCCCAGCTCCAACCCATTCAGAAATTTTGATACATCCCCTGCATTATCTTCTTCCATCTGTAAATGCTTTACAATAAAAAAATCTCACTTTAAAATGTATTAATAACTATTCCAGCTTTATGGAAAACAGTTGAATGTTCCCTTATAGGCAATTCAAAGTTTATTCAAATACAGGTACAAAAACAAACAAAACAATGAAATCGCAACAACAATTGGCGGCTAAGTTCCTAGATACTTTTAAATAAATTCTATGTATATTGCATATGCCCGTAGTCGATTATTGAGATCATATTTAATATGCTCCTCCACCAATCCGCGTCTCTGCTGGTTGTGCTTTGCGCACTTTCCTTGCCAAATCCTCGGACTCGGCCTAAACGTAACATTTTAGAAATTCAAGCAGAAATTGACATACCTGTACTCCTTTCACTCGATTTGAAACTCCAAGGCTAAATTCGGCTAATTCTCCATGAGTCGCGAAAAGCTTGAAATCTGGAGAGGTCAATTTCCGGAAGTCATATATCACATCTGGGGTAGGGGCCCCAAATTCACTAAAATAACTTATCAACAGTCCATTTTTTACCTACCGTAATACAATAATGTAACCAGCTATCAACACAAAACTTCCGCCCGCCGTTTTTAACAGATCTCGAACCGCTTCGGATCGATTTCCAAATAGGATGCGTTGTCGGTTTTTGAGAAACCGATATCCCTGCCGTAATTCGTGGCCTAAGCGCATTCTAAAAGGGTGTGTTGTGTCGTCGTTTATCAATGTATAAAACCGACATGTCTTTTTTACAAGTTGATGCTAGGATGGTTATTTGATAGAATGTTTATTGAAGAAGAGAACCCCGTAAAGAAATGCGAAAGTGCGAAAATATAAGTTAGGTTTTGGGATTGGCGGGAAGTGGAGGAGGGCAGGGATTGAATTAGGGTACCGAATTTGAGTGACTTAATAAATTAAGGGGAAGGGTACAGTTGGGATAGAAATTTCTTTTTATTGGCCTCCTTCACCTTATGACTAGGAGGTGGAGCAGGAAGAGGGTTGAACAGGGTGTGACCCAGTAAGCTGCCAATTATCACAGAGCATCCGGGTGAGGAGGAGGACGAGGAGGACGAGGCCTTTGTACAACCACAGATTATGCTGTTGGGAGGAAAATAAAGGTGGAAAGAAAGGGGGAAAATGGAAAGGAAGAGGTGTATTTCTTCAGAGCCACAAAAATGAAGCGATCGCTAAATGTGCGAAAATCTTGGAGCAATTGGGTGTCAAGGGAAGGCAATTGTTTGTGGGTATAAGCGGAACCGGAAAAGACACTAGAATAAGGTTATCTATACTGCAAGGCAACGGGAAATTGAGGCTTATAAATTTGGAATCAGAAAGTTGGGTCTGAATTTGATTTAATTTCGACGGCAACATCCGTTGATTTGCGTCTGGGCTCGATTGAGGAGATTTATTGCCCCATTGTCGGAACGCTCGGTCTTGTAGGCGTTGTATCTACAAGGTTCGTTTTATGCGCAAATAGTAATCGATCGGCAAGCAATTATGCAACGCGCAGCTGGCCTATGCGAAGTTCTATGATCTACTGGACAGACGTTTAATTTTGTAGTAATAGTTTCTATTCTGCGCTAACTATTTTGAGATGCAATGCAGGGTTTTTCTAATATCCCTTACCGACGAATAAGCGGCGCTAATATCCTGGGTCTAAAATTGGCCTTATGTCTGTATTTAAAAAAAATGGTAATTAGGTAATTAGTAATTTTTAGATGCTCTTTATCGTTTGCATACCTTTGATCAACAGCCTTCATATCATTTGTCAACCTCTCTGCAACGTGTTCGAATAGAGCATCAACATTTGTCGCATCGAGCGCTGACGTCTCCAAGAAGTAGTCGAAATTGTTGACGTCACTAAAATCTTTTCCTATGCGCTCCGGCACTTCACGCTCGTCTCCCTTGTCGAGTTTGTTTCCTGAAATATTTCAATAAAGTTGGGAATCGTAAAAGGCGAAAAGACGGAAACGAATGCTTACCAACTAAAATCTTGAGGACCCGTCGATTTGCATACGACTCAATTTCGGATAGCCATTCCGGCAGGCAATCAAAGCTTGGCTGGCATGCAACATCATACACCTAGGAAGTTAAAAATAGCTGCATTAAATTGCTAAAAATTGGAGAATTAAGTCAAAACGTACTAGAACGATAGCATGAGCTGATCGGTAATAGCTCTGTGTTATTGATCGAAACCGTTCTTGACCAGCGGTATCCCATATTTGTAGCTAAATAACTGAATTTAAATATTTAGTCTAAGGGCTCACCTTAATCTTATCATCATTAATCTTCACAGTCTTGATCATAAAATCAACCCCAATTGTGGCGCTTTGGCCTGGTGGGAAGATACCCTGAAATTGTTATAGTTATTCGTTAAATTGTTGTTAACCTTAATTTTAGATTCTCTACCGGATAGCCAAATTTCTGATCCTACAAGACCTGACAAAACACATAATTTTGCATAATAGCTAACTATGCTTTTAACCAACCTGTGTAAATTTCCGGACCAAACACGTCTTCCCAACCCCAGCATTTCCGACGAGTACAACTTTAAATAAATATTTATAATCTTCCATCTGTTGTATAGGGGTAGTAGTTGAACCCTTGGCCGGATAGTTCCGGTGGGGGGTTCGACCACGGGTGGGACAACGGGTACCCTTGCTGTCTGTCTATCTCTGTCCATCTCTGTACTCTCCCAACTATCCATATCTCTGCTTTCTATTGGAGGCTCGCGTACTGCGCCAAGACGCGTGTCGAATACCACACACCAATCCAACAGCTAAAAACACCTTTGAAAAAAGAAGTTTATCGAAACACCGAAAATTCATGAATGGTGATAGCCGTAAGATAAGTGGATATGGCCGATTTTGAAAAAGTCAGCGGAATCGAAATAAATAAATGGATAAAATAAGTGATTGTGGCCATGGGTTATAGACTTTTGGCTGCATGTAGGCTATAGTTTATGGCTAGGCATTAAGAACTAGATTTTATACCTTCAGCGGAATGGCATCATTCACCAGTGACCGGATTTTCAATCCATTTTTTCACCCGATCGTCTACGCTTTTAGAAGGCATTGCATGAAGCGTTGATTAAATATAAAATTTCGATTACAATTCAACCTTCAACGCCTCCAAAACTTTGCACCGTTTTGCGCGAAGCAGAGAAAATGCGCTTTCTTTTGAAATTTGGTAGGACCCGAAATGGAAAATAGGCATAAGAGATTAGAATGAGCATGGGTGGTGAAGCGCTTAGAGTTTTTGAATCTTTTCAATGGTGAACTTGGGCATGGCTTTGCGCAGCTTTTCCCGTTCCAGGGTTTGGTAGTCGACTTTGCAGTCGTGGGCGGAATCGTAGCGATGAGAGACGCAGTATTGGCCACCACACAGACAGATGAAGCCTGAAATATGTAGAATTAAAGGGGAATTGAAGAAAAGACCTCGTAGATCTCAGATACTAAATTAATGGCATTAAAATTTTTACAGCTTACCTAGCAGTCCAACACGCTTTTTACACACCCCACATCGATTAACGACCTTCGTGGTGATAGCTTCCGGAATTGGCTGATAGTTCGTCTCTGTCGAAGTGCCGACCACATTTTCGAAAGCCCCTTCAATCTCTCCGGTGAACGGGTTGATGACGCGCTCCTCATCCGTCTCCAGATCCAAATATTTCTGCACCGGGGCCATCAATGTGTTGTAGCAATTCTTGCAGTGACCATCACACTCTTCATCGGCCTGCTTCCCGCAACCATTCCTGCACGGTGCCGAACCACGGGATACTTTTTGCATCCTGGAATCGAGCATGTTAAAAAATTCCTCAAGTTACTCAAAGAAAAACAGAAACATAAAGTATCGTCTACCGATCAACATCAACTTCAAAATTCAGGCGCGAAAACTAATCTTATAAATCCTATTTTGATCAGAAAATAAAAATTTGCGAAACTCTAGGCTCGGAAGTGATGACGTTAAATGGGTTCATAGGCACAAGTAACCAAAAAATGACCGAAATCCAGAGTTATTTTAATCCAAATCTCCGGGCCCCGTCCTCGCCCCGATGATGACAGGTGCTAAATCGACCGGGCAGCTGTCCAGGTCTTCATTAAGTCGATGTTTTCCAAATTCAGCGAATAATAGAAATGCGGGGGCCCATGAATGAAATGAGAGTGCTAGAGACGTGGTGGGTCCACTTTTGAAAATGTCGGTATGGCAATCGGTGTGAGCCCCGGAAAAGAGCAATCTTATTGGCTAAGCTGTTCCCTTTTTCAGGGCGGCTCAATGTATCCAAGATTCCTTTCGTTAAAACAGAAGACAAGGAATGGTATTTTCGAGTAGTGCAATGAAAGGATTGAGGGCTGGTTTTGAAATAATGACGAGGAAACGGGTGACCCGTGGATAATCCGAACGTTAAAATTTGTGACGCGGTGCCGCCCTAATCGCCATATTCCCCGAGTATGGTTTTGTAAGCCCAGCTTTGACGAGAAGTTGCCGACCAAATTAAAGAACGCTTTTCTTAAGCGAAAGTGCCGGTTTCTTTGGGGGATGTTGACCGGGTCGAACTGGCACCCGCCACTTCACACGATCAAAATTGGCTTCGATCTGGTAAGGCGGCAACAAATCCCTCACCCCCATAAGCCGGTAGGCCTAGAGAAAAAGAGAGGAAGAACGAGCAAATCGAGTTTATGGGTGATGATGAGGTATGAATTAGATGTGAAGCCTTGAATATGCTGGGATGAAATGGAGTTGAGGGCTTCAGCCCCCCAAACCCGGGGGCTCCCCTAATGAGAAGTTGGGAGGCGCCAGGTGCAGATCAGAAGACGGAGAAGACGAGGAGGGGCCCTGACACGGCGGTCAGGTTCATCTAGGTGGGCGGGGCATCCAAATGGGCTTATTTTTCTCGGCTCACAACCCCCTTCCTCGTACATGGCAAACCGACGCTTTATACATCAGTCCATCGTAATTAGGATCTTTAAGGAGGGGATAGGAACTCAAATTCGCTGTCTTAGGCCCGTTAAGGCGATAAGGAAGCCCCCAAGTAGCTGATTATCTATAATTGGCAAGTTACCAACCGGAAATGCTAATGCAACAGACGGGCGAGAGAGTGGGCGCAGGCGACATGGAGCAGAGACGATTTAGGCCAATTTTGAAGTTAAAACAAGCTTTACGCTTAATTTATCCAGGTCTTCCTGTCCCCTTTAGGGAATTGGATTGAAATGAGGGTTAAGCGGAATTAGATTTAGAATTCTGGGTCGTTTGAACTTCATCCAGCGCTCTCTCCAGGGATTTTTAGGTGTTTTTTAGAATTTTTAAAGCAACGAACGCATCAATCAAATCAAAAAAATTCCCACCCATTAATGCTCCCATGAGTCCAAACCCATCAGCCAATAATTCACCAAAAGTACAATAAATAATACAAATCATCCGCCATATTCCCCGGTAAACCAGCTGGGGCCCCCGGAAGCCGACGGGGAGGAATGAAAAGGAGCGAGCGCTGCATGTTCGAGAGATTCTCGCCACCCAAAAATAACGCAACTAGCTGAGCGTGTCCCATCCAGGCACCGCTCCCTTCGCCTAGGGGAGCACGATGGATCCCTGGCAGCGGAAGGCGAGGACGGCCCGAGGGAAATGAACAGAAAAAGAGCATCGCCCACCAGAACCCGACCAGCGTTCAACCTTGTCATGTAAATTCCGAAAAAAGGTAACTTTGATACGTTAGGCACGGAATGGCAGAGCGATGATTGCCATTTTCTCGGACTCTTGAGGATCGCAATTTTCTATGTAAAATTAATCTCCTTTTTTTGGAAAATAGAGTCAATCCCTCTCCCGTCCTCTCTCTCTCTCTCTCTCTCTCTCTCTCTCCTTTCTCTCTTTCTCTCTCTCTCTTTCTCTCTTTCTCTATCGTTCTCTCTGGCTATCGCTCTCTCTGACTCCCTCTCTCCCAATCTCTTTCTCGCTTGCTCGTTCTCTCTCTCTCTCTCTCTCTGGCTCTCTCTCTCTCTCTCTCTCGAAATATCGGCATCTAACGGAATGGAGCGCGTTAAATAAAGGCCTGCTCCGCTGTTTTTCAGGGAGGTTTTTATCTTGAAAAGTAGCGAAAAGCCTTTTCATCCTGGTTTATTTATAGAAAATAAACATTAAAAATGCAAGAGAATGCTATTCGGGGGCCCATTAAGGCCAGGCTGAACGGTGAATCATTTTGTTATGGTGTCGGCGGCTTGATTGCAGCGTGGTTGGGGGTAGTGTGAGAAATCGAAACAAAGTGAAATAACCACCGCCACAACCATCGAATTTCAGAATTGAGCGCATAAAAATGATGAATCCTTGTGATCGGAAAGGGCGGGAAGTTAGGGTAGTTAACGATGGTCAAAACGATAAGCTGAGGTCAAGCTAGCACGGTTCCACATGAAAAATTTTCATGAGTTTACCAAGCTTTATCAGGCTAGTTATAGAACTTGCAATTTACAACCTAGTGCTTCTTGCTGCGGCTAGGAAAGGGCAGGCGAACTGAGTGAGGCGGTCGCTGCCGTTAATTATTTTTGTCGTTGGCCGTTATTTTTCGGGGTGCCATATGGTTTATGGTTATGGTGCTTTTTGAGTTGACTATAGAAAAATGGAATGACTAGGGAAAGTCCGCGAAAAAAATAATGAAAGTCTTGACACGATTTAAATATACCATCTAGCTGACCCTGCGAACTCTTCAGACCCAACGGTCCGCCAAAATAGAACGAAACAGGAAACAGGTGGGCCGATTCTTTTCTGATGGCGAAAGCCGGAGGAAACACAAATGGCCATCGATTTGTTTCTGGCCGGAATCGTGCTTGGCAATGGGAGGAAGGTGGGATGGAGGGAAAAGCCAAAGGGCAAGCGAGTCATGGCCGGAATGGATCGGAGATGGGCAAAAAGATCCGGACGTTCGATGGGCCGCGGGCCGGGTTGCGTTGTCGGCATGAATGTGTTTCTGTCCACGACACCGCTTTGGGGAATATTGGAATCATCATATTTTGTTGGACCCATAAGCAATATCTGCACTAACCTGAAAAATTGACCAACTTTGGAAGCATGGGATCGTCGACAAGATTCTGATTTACACCCCCAAGACTCACGTGGACATTTGACTCCGATACCATCCTATTAACATTCACGACGCCCAAGGCAACCCCAAAACACAGAGCGCATCAAAAATTACATACAACATCAGATTCCAATATTACCCGTGGGCACATTGGTACCCACAAAAATGGGCTCTCACAATACATAATGTGTCTGTTATTTATCGACATCAGCGTCATCGAGCGAAATTAGGGTTTGAAGGGTTGGTGGAAACGGTAGTTGATAGATGTGTATGGATGCAAATAGCCTCACCGCGCAGCGTTTTAAATCTTAAGAGAATAAAAATAGCATGAACATTTTTGGCAAAATTTTGGGAAATACAAAAGTACGAAAAAATCTAAAATCCCCGTCTGGTTAAATGTAAGTTCTAATTTAGCATAGTATAGCCCCTTAATCACAGGCTGCCTAGTCAATTATTCCACCTAATTGGCGCCAAAGGTCTCAATCGGCAATATGTGTAATGCTCAGCCCCGAATATCCCCCTTTCAAGACACCCGGGGTTTTTTTCAATTTATTCACGAGCCGTCTGCAGTGAAATAACAGGAAAATACATGACGACAGTTAAATACAGGAAATGGACGGAAATTCAAAGCCACAGGTTGCAAATATATGGATGAGGGGGGAAAAGGAATCACAGCAGAAAGAATGGGGGGGGAGAATGGCCACAATTGAGGGGAAGGGTACAACCAATTTCGTTCCTTTCCATAAAGTCCGAAATAGTTAAGGGTACCAAGTTGGACAATCAATCACTAACCTTAGAAATGATCTGAAACATGCACCAAATTAAGCCGGAACAGAAAGTGGCGGTGTGATAATGGGAGGCGTTTCTTGTACAAATAATTTCTTCAGTTTTCAGTTTCTGGGACTTTCTATATCGTAAGCACAGTACAATAGCAAAGTTTTAGTTATGAAGCTGCTCATTTTTTCCAGTTTTGCGCACCATTGTAAAATTTCGTTCAGTACCAATATGAATTGCCCTGCCTTCCCGAAAAGAAGATACAGTAAAGATAGAACCACCGTTGGGCGGCTGTAAGATTCTGTAGATTTTGACAGTGATGGGGAGAGCTAGAAGATACTACAGATACTAATAATCAACATGTGGAATTTTAGTAGAAATGAACCTTTCAGCAACAGCTGAATAGAACGGCAAGTAATAATTAATTATGAAAGATTGTCTCGAATGTTGGTGAAAATCGGTTTGAGGGAATTAAGCCATAAAAATCAAATTTAGACGTAATTGCAGCACTTGTTCATCTTTCGCGCGCTTGTGTAGAACATTTTGCTCTGAAAATGATTGTTATGTTTTTTTTGTATGTTGTAACCTGATCCGAAAGTGTCTCGCTCTTCTTGACCAAATCGTCGAGCTTCTCCCCGCGGTCCAATACAGCTTGGATCGTTTCGTGCATCACAATCTTTGTTTCTTCGACTTGTTCCTATAAATGGGATTGTTTTTAGGGGTTTTGAGACGGATATGCAATTAGTATGAATGTGTATCTGCGCAGAAAAAGCCAGCATTTCCATTTGATTTAATTTTATGGCTTATTGCCTACAGAGTAAAGCAGAAAATTTAGGCGCGACTATTGGTTTCAACCAAAATCATCTCACACCTGTACACGCGTCATCGGATCCGCTTCACTTGGTGTCTGCCATTTAGCCAACAGAGCCGGAAGACCATCATAAAGACAGTCCTTCTCAGTCTTGATCTTCGGCTGCAATAAATTTATTTTAAATCGTCCCAAATCTTCGTACCCATTGGCTGGAGTGAACCCTGGTCGCGAATTCATCTAGGACACGGGAGAGCATGGTGAACGCCACCTAAACGTTGCTTGTTTGATCAAACCAGTCTCCATTTGAATCTTCTGGTATTTCAAAACGAACCCTCTGTTGGTATTCATTGTCAGTGACGCAGACGCCAGAAAGTCCATCAGCTCGTACGTAGGTGTGAAGCCAGTATTCTTGTTCTAGAAAATTATGGTTTTCTTAGTTGTGGAGAATCGAAAGAGTGCAGAACCGCTTATGTCGTTGATTATAGTACTCACCTGTAACTGAAGCCCTGGTTCCAACAGCCGAGCGTTCCACCAGCAACTTTCCGGTAAAGTTCATAAAATCTTGGACGGAGCTCCGCTTGAAGAAGGTGAATGAAGACAGCTCGTAAGCAGCTTTCAACAGAGTTGCCTGAGATTTGATGTTTTATATTGTAGGTTTGGATGGAAACTTACCTCAGTTGCGTTGGGATCTTTGTAAAAGACCAAGATGCTGAAGAGCTTCATTTTCTAACTAAAAATTAAGGGTTAGCGACTGTAAAGGTTCTAAAAGCAGGGTTCACAGAAAGATAGTTTTGTGACAATACTAATCGTGCGTAACGGGCTGCAACGATATGCAAAATTCTAGAATTCCAATGCACGAAAAACGAGCATCGCTTGAACTTCAGGATTATGGATATCTACAATAAAAACAAAAACCAATATTTAACAACCGATAAAGTTATGAAGGCAATGTTAAAAGGGAAATAGTTTTGCGCAATGCAAATTGCGCATAACCGATTGCCACTATTTGCAAAATCACACAATTTATATGAACCCAAAACCGAGCAGCGTTTGAACTTCAACATTATGGATTTCCACAACAAAAACAAAAGCCCCCAAGACCCTGACCCGAGCGGCTGTTAATGAAGTAAACAGGATGGAAAAGAGGGAAGAGAGACCGGGATGGCCGCCATTTGGTGGCGTGTCGACGCTACGCGCCAGTCCCCTGTACGCATAATTAGATGACGAAAGACCGGATGGGATGAAAAGGGTTGACCAAAACCCCCCACCAATGGAAAGAATGACCCTAAAAATGACGCCTTCTCGCCACCCCGAAATGGGCAAGTGTTCTGGTTGCTAAAAATATCGTTTGGGGATTATGGGCGGTTCTGGAGATGTCCATTCGGGGGGTCATTTCGGTTTTTGGATTTTGAATGAGGATGTAAATTGGGTTCAGCGTAACATCCATTTATGCAAAATCGCCGGTAGTAAAATTATGTTGGAATTTCTTGAGTTTTTTTTCAGCAACCGGTTAAATCGAATATACATATAGTTTACATTTGATAGAAAAATGTGTTCTAATCTGCCGACCCAAAAACCTTTCTTCTAATTTATCACATTTTGGTTGAACAAGTAGGTTGACCGTTATTGAATGAATTCTTTAAATATTGCTACCAATCTAACAAAATAATTGGTGCTAATGCACTTGGGGGGGGGGCAGTCCCGATTTTGACTACAAGACGCTCCAAATGCCGTTTTTTAAACTCGAAGCCTCTGGAAAAGCTAAGTCAAGCCTAAGCCTAGGCTTAGCTTCATAAAAACGAAGTCTAAGCTTAGCTGGAGCCAAGCTAAGCTTAGCTCTAAGCTTAGTCCTAAATGACCCCATTTTGACCACCTAAGGCAATTTAAAGCTCAAGTTAAGCTTAGCTTGGGCTTCAGCTTAAGCCTAAGCCTAAGCTAAGCTTAGTTAAAGCTAAGTTAAGCCTAGGCTTAAGCAGAAAACCAAGTAGCTTAAGCGGAGCGTCTCGTAACCCCTTACTACCAATTTCGGACTGCCCCCCCCTAACTGCATTAGCACCAAATAATTGCTACCAAATTTCAGAAGATTAAAATAGGTATAATACTGCTAGATATCAAATTTAACATTATTTTGTACGTAAAACTACGAAAACTAATAAAGGCATCGAATATTTCCAAGATTATAGGCCAAATCACAACCGTTCCATCATTTTACTTCCTAGGCTCTTTAAATAGCCTTGGGAAGATTCTAAAATAAAGTATCGAATGCTATACAAGCCAACTATAAGAACTCCTCAACCCCGAATACCCATTATTGGACCCGGCATCCATGCCATGGGTATCTACGATTGGGCCAATTAGTCTATGGCGGCAAAGAACACCGAACGCGGCACTCATGCCTTTTCCCGGCTAAAATAATGGGATGACCTTCTGGGATGAGCTGCCTCCCCTTCCCTTCGGCACCGTGGATAAATTACCGACTCTTCGTTTTGGCCCTCTGAGGACCAAATGGAAGTGTCGACAAAAAGCGGCCGAAGATGAGATAATGGGGGCAGAAACAATGGGATCGAATGGCTAGGAAAGGCTTATACTGGCTACGAGATCAAGAAATTTGGGGATAATGAGAAAATGTTGTCTGGAATATTTCGTACTTTTGAATGGGTGTTCGAATCAAGTGTTCAAAAATAAATGAAGGTATTTCCGAAGGATCGTAAGGTTATGCTCTTTAAAAGTCTAGTTATAAAGCGTAGTCGTAGTATGCAACGGTACACATAGGGTAACGGGGGGAATAAAATAACGGGGGGCACTCATTATTATGAATTTTGCAATCACTGAAAGATTTTGCGAGTGCCATTCGATAGAGCGGCGAAAAATATACGAAGAGAATTAATTTGAGCCCAAAATAATGTAATGGAAATTTTTTATTGAATAAACAAAAATTGAGGAAAATCTATGGGCATCACATAGGATAACGGTGGGGGAGAAAGTCAAATTTTCGAAATTTTCGAAATTTTCGGTATTTTGAAAAGGTCATTCGGTAAAGCGTCGAAAACTGCCCTAGGAAAATTAATTTCGGCCCGAAATAATGTAAATTAAATTTTTTATCGAATAAACAAAAATTGATCAAAATCTATGGGCAGCACATAGGATAACGGGGGGGAAAGCCAAATTTTTGAGATTTTCGATATTTTGAAAGCGGGAATCGATAGAACATCAAAAAATATTTACAACGCGAAAAAATGTATTATCAAAGTTTTATAGCCTAAAAACTATTTTTGAAAACTATGGGCAGCACATAGGATAACAGGGGGGGGGGGATTTTTCGGCGTTTTGAATATTTTCGAGATTTTGAAAATGCCATTCGATAGAGGAGCGAAAAATATACTAAGAGTTTTTTTTACAGCCCGAAAAAAGCATATTTAAAAATACTTTTATCATATAAAAAGTTTGAGTGCCCCCCGTTATCCTATGTGTACCGTATGCAACCCCTAGCGTTAGATTTTATCATTAAACCAGGGCTTATTTTTAATTTTAAAATTATTTTGTAGGGATAATTTTGCATAAACCCTGACTACTTCCAGAAGTAAGGTAAAGTCAGGATGGAGCAGCCGCCCCAAAATAGCCGGTGCAACAATACTAAATTGGCAAGATTAGGATTCGGCGGAAGGATTAGAAGAAGGATGAGGTATGTTTGAGGATTAGCGAAGAAGAGAGCATTTGCGTAGGAAAGGATTTTGGCTCCAGACATCGGAAATTAGAGGTGTAGCAGGGGTAGGCCTGCATAGCTTTCCAAAAAAGTGCATTCAATGTTCCTGAGGTTACCATAAAATTAATATTAAATAAGCAATGAATATAGCTAGGTGATTTTTATAGGAGCGATATAATTTCTAACGATATAAAATGTTTATTAACTACATAGCAAGGTAGTTTTATTGCAGCTGGTTTGTGGCGGACATCTCGAACAAGCTTTCCCCTCCAAATAGGTTGGCCGTTTCAGGAATGGACCCCTGCATGACTCATTATTTAATATTCAAATTTACTTACTGTGCTTTGTAGTGGCAGAAAATCAGGGCCATCGTCCCATGCTTACACAGTGCCGTCCCACAACCCACCTTCGACGTCCTCGCCCAGATCATCTACATCATATCTACATCAAAAAGTTTGACCCACCTGGTAAGCATGCAAAGTCCCAGAATCTAACAAATCCTTGTCAAAATGATTTCCCGGAAACCCCCATAAATTGAATTCATCGCTCCACATCTTCATCGCCAGATTTTCAAGCCCCTAAACCACCAAATAACAAAATACAAAAATTAACCTTCAATTTGACCCCATCTGAGTGAGATAAATACATGATATTTTCCCCGGTTCCGGTTGGGATCGCGTTGGTGTGTCTACGCTCTTGATATATAAAAATTAGAGCTTAATACTTGTAGACGCATAAATCAGCAGCTTTTTGTGCAGTGTCTTCGAGATGGCAATCGTATTTCTAAACGAAAAATTCACATTCAAATTCATTTCAAACAATTTCCATCATATTGGCAGCACTGGGTAATGAGCGTCGTCTGACACGGTAGATACCACGCGCCAGTTCAGAACGGATTCTAAAAAAATACGCCATGAAATTAGCGTATACCACCTGTTATGGTAAGTAACAATTGCATGGCGATCAATTGACGTGTGTCGGGGGCAATTAACGGCAACTGTATAAACTTAATAAAGCCCAAATAAAGTTTGTTTTGAAATATTACCTACCAAATAACCCAGCAAAAATCAATTGTGCTAAAATCATCCTAGCACAAAAATTGCCCATAGAACAATGGTGTCAAATTTATATAGCCACTCGGCAGACAGTCAGTGAGACCATCAACTTTTCCGGGAGAGCGCGCAGCAAACAAAAAATTTTACGAAATTTTTTTGTGTAATAATGTGAAAATTAGCGGATTTCCATGAATTTTTGGGTGTGGAAATGACAAAAGAAAAATATGTGCATGATCTTTGATCAGATTCCTGAAAAGTAGTGGGTACAGTAACTTCCGGTCTGCTACAGGATCGTCAGTTCCATTTTCGGATCAGGATACTACTTACACTAATCGCCATGAATTTTCTTGGAGAATCAGAAAACCGGCAGGGAATAAACCAATAGATCAGTCAAAATCTTGAAATCAAGATCAATCAGGCAAAATGATCATCAAAGTACAGTTGGTGATCTCTAAAATCCCCCAATTTACAGCTTGACCGCAGGTGTTCGTGTACTCCCTCCACCCGTCCCACCAATATTTTTCTTTACCCTCCGCTTTCCCCCTTTCGGAAATGAAGTGAAAGAGAGATGAAATATTCCCTATCTCGCATTCTCTATAGCCGGCTGATCATTTCGATCCAACCCTCAAAAAGGAGGACAGTCTACACGGGGCAAATGGAAAGATAGATACAACGGTTTGGTGTATCCCCTCAAGTCATTCGGACTACTCCACTCACTACTCATTGTCTATTATACTCCAGTCATACTGTACTACTGCTCACGATGTTAATTCATATTATTCTAATTTTAATCGGTGTTTCGGGGCTCCAGGTAGGGGATTTCCACTTGATGATGAAATGGTAGTACCAGCTTCTTATTGCCTTTTAGGCAGCTGAAAAAACAAAATCGGAAGGCTGTGAGCTTTGCAGCTTCGTCATTGGCTCTGCTTTGGCCAAAATTGACCGTACCAAAGAGAGCAGACCGGAAGGGTTCCTAAAAATTAAATCTATCGTCGTACAAATGTATATTACAGTACACGAGCCATCCTCGAATTCATCGCACTTTTCCTGAATAACTTCAATTCCGATATTTCGCATAAGGATCTTGGTAAAGGGACGGCACAGTGGATTGTGTTTTGGGATCGGCTTCAGGTAATCTATTTCCTACAAAATTAATGTCAAAAAATTAGACCACTTGGGAGGAGCGTATCGATAAATTTACACAAGATGATAGGCAACGAACGATGATGCATACAGTTTGGAATGAGGTAAGACTCTTCGTCTATTCAGTAAAGCCTAGCCTGCGCAACCTAAGTAAGTCCAACCAAATAAATTTAATAAATACCTAGCGACTGACGCGTCTTTAGGTCGGCGACTGGATGGAAGAAGCCGTTGCTGAAGCGGCCCGTGTCGTACCCGCAAAGGATCTCCGCCAATAATCGCGGAAACCCTTTATAACTATTTTTGGTGGTCTCTGGTAACCATAAAAACATCTAGTTTGATTCAGGGTTTATTTATATGCACTTTTCTTACAAACGAAACGCGAAAATCGTGTATTCATTGCGTACATTCCAGTCATCCATTGTCCTGGAAGACACTCGCCACAACTTGAGTCGTGTGTAGACACCTTCAGTACTCATTCACAGGTCAAAAATTTTTAATTCCTACCGCAATCACCCCAGATTGTAAAGAGCATAACTTTCCGTAGTATCCTGATGCCGAATTGTCCAGCCAGCTCACCGTTTTGCCTATAAATTCGATCATAAGGTTCCCTTGTGTTGCGTACTCTCCACATCGAAGGTTCCACCTAACAAAATTTCATTTGATTGTGCATTTGAGGTGTTGCTGCAGGGACTCCATGCCAAATCTAAAGCCCCGAAAGTTCATTCAACTATCCTAGGCCCCCTACTTCGTATAAAATCATCCTCGCTTTGGGAGTGAACAGAGGCTGCATGTGCTCCCTGGGTTCGGCAGAATAACTCGGCCTCGATCAGGGTAGCGTTATTGAATACCTTAAATTTTCAAAAAATGCTGATTTGTATTCTAAAAACCAACCTTATAACAAAGACCAAGTTCCCGAGACAGTTCCCATCCATTGCTACATGCTAGATCAATCCTCGTTTTTTAAACTTTCTAACGTACCCGGTTTCGATTGGCAGGCATATTGATGCTTGTCGGTACAAGTATTTGCCATCCACCCGTTTTTCATTGTTGCGACACAAGTCCCAAGACCTCAACTCCAAAAATAGCTAGGTAAAAAGGTCACATGCCAGAGATAAAAGCCCAGTTCATATAATCGTAAGTAGTGTTGTCGGACCAGCCCCAATCCGAATGCCCGTTACCACGCGTCAGACCCATACGGACGTAATAAGAAGAATTGAACCCTGAAAAGTACACCGTTCCACCGAGACAGCGATTTCCAAAGCATCGATATTGCATTTCTTTTCAGAAACTACACTCACTTTCGGTAGCATACGTCACCAGTAAATCATTTTGGAACTTGTTGTGTAACGAGACGAGATGACCGGATTTCGTAACGCAATCTTTTCTGCGTCGTCGTAGCCGAGTGCTAATCAGTGGGAAATAAATTTTTATACATTCCTATTTACGCTCTATAAACTCAGTTTCCACAACATCTCCTATGGCCGACTCAAAAACTGAAACATACGCGTTTCTGATATCCATAAACAAACATCCCAGTCGGGCAAATAGTAAAAATCTTTAGGACATTGCTCGTGTGCGACCAGGGGGGTAAGATAAATAAAATTAGCCCAAATACCTTCATTGAATGCGAATTTGTTGACCAAGTAGGCCGCCAATCAACAATGGGTCTCGAAATGCAGCCCAATTTTCTAATCCCGTAACCCGATAACAGGATTGTCTTTTGGAATTTGAAACTACATTAAACTTTCCTGTACTTTCATTCCAGAAACCCTGCATTTTCTATTGTTCAGTTGCAACAGAAAAAAGGAAAAACATCTTTATTACATGCTTATCGAGTAAAGGTTTTTAGGCACATTTGGGTGTAAGTGGCACAGGTTAAGGTCGACTGCAGCAATATTTGGACAGCGTTTTGATTTTGAGGTTACAATCGGCAAGAAAGAACTTATGTACAGGGCGTAAAACCGGGAAACAATGCGGTGCAAAGAACCTTTACATGGCGAAATATTGATGAAGGCTGGTGGGCGCCTAGCATCCACAGAATCCAGGATCTCCTCTCGATGTATCTTGGCCCAAACGGAAGGCTGGTCGATCGTTGTCCCAGAGACCCGGAGTTTGGATAATCTGGAAAAAAATATTATTAGGAGCATTATATGGAGCGAGCTGATACAGTATTCCAAGCCCGATAGCCACCCTAATCATTAGTAATCCCATGAGACACCCAAAAAGAGACTAATGAAGCATCTGCCAAGTTTTTAGCCAAAATGCTCACTGCCCCCGGAGAATGGAGCCTTCAATTAATGAAGAATATCTTCCGCGTAACTTTTATTTCTACGATTCCGTACGATTCCCAACGTCTACCCTCTAGCATTTTTTTCCACCCCGCTTCCTGACCACAATTCCGTGATACTGACCTTCTCAATTAATTCCTCGAACGCGCACTGTACACCTTCCTTCGTCTTGGCCGATGCCTCAATGAACAGCGCTCGGTGCTTCTTCGCGAATTTCAGGCCCTCCTCGCGGGTCACTTCACGGCCGGCCTGGAAAGATTTTATGAGAATAGCTACTACGATTCTAGCTCCCATAAAACCATAAACCGCCCAATAAAACTCACAATATCAATCTTGTTCGCTACAATCATCTTCACAGCATCCGATTTTGTCGTGTACGTGTCCACCTCATGGAACCAGTGATCCAATTTTTCGAAAGACTGGCGGGACGTGACGTCGTAAACTAAAAAAAGCATATTGTTGCGGTAGACTAGCTTCTATGAATATAAAATTCATGCAATATCTAAAGACCAGATTTAAAACGCCAATCCACAAAATTTACCACAAATCACTCCTTGAGCACCCCGATAATACGAAGGTGTTAGCGTCCGAAATCGCTCTTGGCCGGCCGTGTCCCAGATTGCCAATTTTACGCGATTGCCGTCAAGTGTCATTGACGTAACGCGAAAATCCACACCTAAAAATCAATATTTCTCAATCAAATTGGAAAATTTACCGATCGTAGCAGCTTGTTCCGGGTCGAAGGTGTCATCAACGAAACGAAGCATCAAACTAAACAAATCATTTGACCTCTGAAGCATAATTGAACGCCTAGACTTTCCAAAAACTTATTTAAAAACCTGTGAAACATCTCAAAACAACAAAGACCTCGACTTTCCAACGCCACTTTCTCCAATGATTAAAATCTTCAGCGTAGTAATGGGCTTCTCGCCCTCATCATCGTGGGTCAATGACATTCTAAAAAAGTGGAGATAATATTGGAAAAAAGGATTGAAGGTATTTTGCGAAGGGCAGCCGCGTGCCTCGTGTACAAACAACATTTCATCAGTCGGCTGGGAAGAGCTACGCTACGGCAAGCTGCTCTGAACGCTGATTCCCGTCTTGAGAGGTAAAAGGGCCCATTCTCTAATTCCTCTTCGAGTTACACGATCTCTCGATCCCCATGGCCCCCGATTTTTACAATGGCTAATCACTCACCCACTCACCCGTACGTTCCTCACAGATCTGGTTTCAATATCTTTTCGATTAAATGATATTCTCGATATGATTTTATTGTAGCTTATAATATTTTCCCACCGTCCAGGTACTACCCGAGTTTTTCTTCAGTTTCTCCGAAAAATATGGGCAAAATTTACTGTAAAAACTACGTAGCGATGGAAGTTCATCTTTTCATCCCCTCTGTCAAATCCTCGCACCTTCGAGCGTGATTGTCCTTATTTTTTTACGAATTATTTTACATTCTTTCTTTAGGATGGGGGGAAATGGGAAGAAGAAATCGGCGCCCATGGACCAGTCCGAACGAGCGGAAATTATCAAACAACTGGTGGCCAAGGCGCAGGAACTCGACCGAATTGTTACCCGGTAAACCATTTTATTGTACGAAATTATTGTTGACTCTTCTGACGGCTTTTAACGAATTATCCTTATTTTCATTTTAGTCCGCCACCTGGCTACAACGCCTTGTTTGCGGAGCACGAGCAGATTCGGACGTTACTAGACCAAATGAAAGAAGAGCATGTCAAGATTTCATCGACCGACTCGATTATTTTTGGAGAAAGGCAAAGGTAATAATTATTAAATTCATTTTTAATTTCTCACTAGGTCAAAGGCTTCGATCGACAAGTTCCTCGTCTGGTGTAAAGAACAGAATATAGTTCTCAACAACTGCCGCCTAGCAAAACTAAAGGATGGGACCGGTCTTGGGCTCTTAGTCACAAAGAAGATTCAGGCTGGTGAGGTAAGCCACGCATTTTGATTTAGGTTTCTGTACGAAGCAATCATCCTTTAAGAATTGGCTAAGGAAACGTAACTTTTAGCTCGTCATCTCCGTACCTCGGAATGCTGGCCTGAACGTCGATCAAGCGCGGCGGTCTCCGATGCTAAAGTAAAAATGTTCATAAATCGTTTTGAACGCTTATTCTAGGCGTGCCTTTGAGCGTGATCTTGTTATGGCGAAAATGGATAACGTCGGGATGACGCTTTGGGTACGTTTCACATCAATATAAACTTATTTTTGTAGTTATGTTGCCAGCGAATGCTTCCTGACAGTCCATGGGAGCCATACTTGAATGTTTTGCCGTCCAGCTTCAGCTTACCACTCTACTACTCACTGGAGGAGCTGAAGGTCCGGTTTTTTGAACAGAAAGAGGGCATTCCGTAGCGTTATAGGCTGAAATCCAGATATTTACCTTTTTTGTTTAGGCTATCCGGCCGTCACCACTTTTCGAAGAAACTTTGTTGCTCTACCGGAACATCTCTCGTCAATTCGCTTATTATTTTCTTCACCTGGCCAAGAATGAAGAATACGATAGGAATCGAAAGGTTATTTTTAAAAAAAATATATTAAGAATTTCATCTCGTGATCGGCACTGGTTCTGACTAATCGGACTGTTTTAGGGACAAGAGACTCCAATTCTCTACAACTCGCCACTAAGTGTCGAAAACTTCACTTTCAATCTCTACTTGTGGGCTATGAGCATGGTAGCCACTCGCCTCAACATGATTCCCTCCGAGATGCAAACCGACCAAGACGGGAAGCCATTGATGGTGTGTGCAGCTCTTTTCCTACCCGCTTTTTTTATTTCCATTTGAATCGTACGATTAATCTTTTAATTTAGATTCCCGCCCTTATGCCGATGTTCGACATGGCAAACCACAGCCTGAGCGCCCACGTCAATGACGCTTCGCCAGTTTACTACGAAGGAAACTCCGCACAGGTATCCTATCTTTAAGACAACATGAATTGCTTTAATCGCAAGCAAATCTTTCGTTTAGATTGTCGCTCCCGCCTCCGCAAATCCAACCGAGCAGTTTTTCATTTATTATGGAGATCGGCCATCGTCCCATTTCCTTTTGTACAGCGGATTTGTTCCTGCCGATGACAATAAGAAAGACTGCTATAAGCTTCGTCTAGGTTTGTTGTCCGATTATCGATGTTTTGGTCAAGGCCTATAATGTAACCGCAACTTCCTATGTCGCAGGGAAGACGCAATGCTAATATAACCATTTCAGCACTTCCACGAACTGACCGGTATTTTGCTGAACGAACGGAATTTTTCCTGCGTCACGACCTAACTCCAACCGCCGGCTCCTACATCATTGAGCTCTTTGTGAGTTCACTTTAAAAAAATATTAATTGCATGTTTTAGAATGATGCCGATAACATCTGGGGCGGGAAGCCGGTTCTCCAAATGATCAAGGTGTTGGTATCCGAGGGGCCGGAACGGGAGCAAGTGGATAGTCCGGCTAATGTTGAAAAGGTATGAAAAAGTGTTTAGATTCGTAAGCGTTTGATTAATCCAATTAATGCGTTGTGGATGTGTTGAACTCTTTCTGGAACGAAAATTTAGGCAAAGAAGTGGCTGGAGGTGCGCCTAGCATGTCTCCGACGCGCCTATGAGCAAGTGAATGTCGACTCATTGGATATCGGTAAATATATACAAAATTTCCATATAACGTTTCTAGGCGCTGAAGAAAAGAAGAACATCAAGCTGTTACACGCGGCCGAAAAAGCCATTTTGGACAAGGCCTTGTTAGCTGCAAAATCCTTGTGAATGGTCCCTTATCATTTCCCTAATCACCCATTTTTAAACCTTAATATTTTTGCATTGTTGCCTGGTCATAAGCCCCTAGGTGGCGCGAACGAAGTCAAAAGAATACGTGCCTTATTCGCTTTATCCCCGTATTCATTAGTTTGCCATAGCTTTTCCCTGAATCGTGCTTTCTCTGTGAATAGTGTTTTTATCAAGTTGCCTTAATCTCCCTTGTGAATTTGTTTATTTCCTGACTTTGTTAATTTCCAAGACTTTTGATTGTTAATAGTTAGTAGTCAACCCTTTACGATTTTCATTGTTGATTTGCTCAAATGTTTATTGCTGATCCCATTGGTCCTAGCTTTCAACAAGGAGATCTGGAGATCCGCTCGCAATAATTTACCACTTTTTGCTCACTTTGACGCTGCAGCAGCTCATCTCCGCTAGAATCTTATCTTCTCTTTGCTCTGCGCCACCATATTCAAGATATTGATATCATTGCGTCATAATTTGCATTGCACTGCATGAATAATAAACGGTTTTATTCCAGGAGCGAAAGAGCAATCTCACAGCTTACACGTCTCGTGATTTGGCAATAAATAACGTATATACACGTATCATACCCGATTGAATACCCAGCGAAATGCGAGAATATGTGCATTAGAGCTACTAAGGTTATAATTAATAATATTCCTCCCAGTTGGAATCGTCTGCCGGCATCAAATTACCGGTTATCAACAGGCAAATGTCGATTATCCACCTAAAACAGTGCAAGATTTTACTGGATATATCCTAGTTACCAGACACCTAATCCACCTAACGTCATCAGCTTCCCTACAGCAATCGCAGCGTAGCCCAAACAAAATCTAAATGGTTTAAAATTTTTAGCTACTCAAAAACCATTCACCGATCAACAGCGATAATTCCCAAAAATATACTGTACAGAAGTGTAGACAGGAAATAATGCCCGGTGTACCTAAAACATTAAAGATAGCTTTTTACCTTGTGCTTACTTTATACATGGCACCTCCTTCGTCCACATTCTCGGCCCATAGCATTCGGTACAGCCAAGAACATAACAAGTAACGTTCGTGAACATCACATCACCATGCCTATTCCCACCAAACCGCAGACATGTCCCATTTTGAGAAGGCTACAAGATCATATAGAAAAAGGCAATAAAATAAAACCTTTGTGAGATTGAGACTAGGGTTCGCCAACACTGGTAGCTGGCAATCAACAAATTCGTCTGGTAGAAAGTTGCATGGAATCCAAGGACCATCTGCAGGGCCTTCACTCTCCATTTCGTCACATGCTTTTATCAATATAGCTTTTTCGGCCAAGCGTAGCTCTTCCTACAGTTTAATGGTTATTTCATTAAACTCGTGATTGGTATGGCGCCACCTAATATTTTTATAAAAAGACCTCCGCTTTCGAGATATTCCTCGCACCCTCCAATCTGCTATCAGGTGTCGTTGGCGCCATCTGGGGCCCAGGTGTAGTTGAAAGCAATGCTTCTGTCACCGCTTCGGAATCAGCTCTTACTCCGGAATAAAGCAAAAGGCAGATCATAATATAACGGTTAAACATTTCTGAAAAGGCCGGTTTACAGACTATTCTCGGCAAAACAATGAGTATGTAAGTTGGGCATAACAACTGTATTTGATTCCATTCATGTCTGGTGGAACAAATTTATTGTGCGTTCGATTGAAGTAACCGAATCATAGATAAGATCATTGTATAAGTTAGAAACCGTGGACCTTGCAGTTTTCTTCCTTCACGATTCCGACCTAAAACATTTGCTATCTCTTCGAGCTAGTGATTATTCGTCGCCCATAGAGCGCTAACGCTACATCTCACCCACTTTGCACAAAAATTCCTTGATCTGTTGGCGCTGGTCTCCTGTCAACTGCATAACCTCTCCATATTCGGGGTGCTCGACGATTGTTCCGTTACAGTTATACACTTTCTTCAGGTGACTACAATGCGTCTGTTATTTCTATTCTTTCCATTAAAAGCTTTAGAATGAGCCAGTAAGCGTGACTGAGACCTACCGAACAATTTTCTTGAGATCGTATTCGGGGGCGATTCCTTGGACAGTCGTGATGGTTTTTCGTCCAGTACGTTGCTGGATACGGATATGACAGAAACCCTAAATACAATCGTTTGACCTGTAGGAAATTTTGCCCTAGCAATATCACTATCATTTGGATTTAACATTGCTATATGCGCGGATCAAGCTAAAAAACTCGCCATTTTTCATCATCATCATCATTTTTGATCCATAGGCTTATTAGATATGAAAGGGGACGGTTACTCACCTGCCGAGAACCTTCATCGTCATCTAGCTGCTCAAAAGCGTCCCTGGGACGGTTCAAATTCTGGATATTTGCCATTCCTGAATATTTTTTATATGATGCAACTCCAAACAAATGGAGGGTAAATGGAGGCAGAGGCGTGAGTTCAAGACAAATCTGCTAATAGTTATATGTCAAAAGATCCTAATTTGGGGACAAAGTTAGGTTTATTTCTTTTGATTGGAAATTATCTGCCGGCGGTTGGGTCACGCATAGACTAATATTGGGTAACGCATTCGGATCCCGCCGCGGCGGGCTTTCGCCAGCATTTACTACCGTACCCCCGGCATTTAGATAGTGGCTACGTGTGGAACGTCGGAACTACCGCGGTTTGAACTGTTTGTCGATGTTTACGTGTATTTCCCTCTTCGATTCTTTCCGCTTTTCCTTATTGTACCACTGCGATACCTTAAACTTCATTAAATTCACCATTTTTCAGCATGGCCGCCCCTAAGGGCCTGCTCCGTGGGAATTCCATGGCAACGACGAGTCTGCTCACGTTCGCCATCCTGGGATTAGCCTGGTAAGGTTTTTTGTGATGATTTTTTATGAGATTGTTCTTCCATTGATGCTTTTATCCTTGTCTTTCAGGTTTGTAGGATTCGCCAGCCGTTTGTTTGCCATCGTCCGCTTCGAGTCCATCATCCATGAATTTGATCCATGGTAAATTTTTCCACTTGACTGTTACATTTACATGTTTTAGGTTCAACTACCGCGCCACCCACCAAATGGTCGCCACGAATTTCTACGACTTCTTGAACTGGTTCGATGAGCGGGCTTGGTACCCGCTTGGGCGGATTGTCGGAGGAACTGTGTATCCTGGACTTATGGTGACTTCCGGAGCTATCCATTGGGCTCTTGAGGCTATCAACTTCCCGGTGCATATCAGGTAAGAGTTTTCAGTGAAGAATTTACCTGATTTCTTAGGGATATTTGCGTCTTCCTGGCACCGACCTTCTCGGGACTGACGGCCATTGCTACTTATCTGTTGACAAAGGTTTGTTATAGTTAAATTTTTTAAAATCCGTTTTTAGGAGCTCTGGTCCGCTGGTGCTGGTTTGTTTGCCGCCGCCTTCATCGCCATTTCTCCTGGTTATACATCTCGCTCCGTGGCAGGCTCATACGACAACGAAGGAATTGCTATCTTTGCTCTGCAGGTACAATTTTCGATGCCCAACCCGTTCAAGCGTTGCTAATCGCCTTCCATGTACGAAATCTATCAACGTTATACTTTTGCAGTTCACCTACTTCCTCTGGGTCAAGTCACTGAAGGAGGGCAGCGTACTTTGGGCGTCATTCTGTGCCCTTTCGTACTTCTACATGGTCTCTGCTTGGGGCGGTTACGTCTTCATCATCAACCTGATCCCGCTGCACGCCTTGGTAATTTTTTCTACGACTTTTAAGCGCTCCAGAAGTGGCCCAGATGCCTTCTTTTTCGCACAACTGCGCATCTGATTTACCATTCTTAATCTAGGTTTTCAATTTCAGATTCTGATCATTGTCGGCCGTTACTCTTCTCGGCTCTATATCTCTTACAATGCCTTCTACATTCTTGGCACGTTGCTTTCCATGCAGGTATGTGTTTTGTTTGATATTGAACTAATTTTTTTTCAGATCCCCTTCGTCGGTTTCCAGCCGGTTAGGACCTCTGAGCACATGCCCGCTTTTGGAGTGTTTGGATTGCTTCAGGTACCTCCAGAAATTTCGTTCAATTTTTCTCTGTTTCTAGATTGTTGGAGCGATGCAATACCTTCGCACCCGCCTGTCGCGCAGCCAGTTCATGACCCTATTTGTCGGAGGGTTGACTGTGACCGGAATCCTTGGCACCGTTTTCTACTTTGCTCTTGTCGCCTTCGGATATGTTGCTCCGCTTTCGGGTCGATTCTACTCGCTCTGGGACACCGGATACGCCAAGATCCACATTCCGATCATCGCTTCCGTCTCTGAGCATCAGCCAACAACGTGAGTGATATTTGAGCAATTGGAATTGTGGAGCTGTAAGGACCAGCGCCGCACGGTTACGCGAAATAATGGCCTCGCGGCTGATAACAGCGCTGCTGCCTTATTTTCGTGTTCCCGGTTCCCAAAATTTGCGCTCACCGAAGTTCTAGTTTCCGTGTTTGTAAATGTACGGCCGCCGGGCACGAGCGAGAGTAATGTTTATTTTTTTTCAGCTGGGTCTCGTTCTTCTTCGATCTCCACATCACGGCCGCGATTTTCCCCGTTGGACTCTGGTATTGTGTGAAGAATGTCAACGATGAACGCATTTTCAGTAAGTACTTTATTGATAGTGTTGCAGTTCTGAATTATTCCCGTGCAATGCGGGAAACGCCTGTCATTTGCTTTGCCAATATTCATTGATTCTACTTTAGTCATCATCTACGCCTGCACTGCCGTCTATTTCGCTGGTGTGATGGTGCGTTTGATGCTGACGTTGACCCCGGTGGTCTGCGTCCTCTCGGGCATTGCTTTCTCCTACATCTTCGAAAAGTGTGGTTTTATTGAATTCGGCAACCGAAGTTTTAAGGTACCTCAAGGATGATCCTTCATCCAGCAACTCTAAAGACGGGGCGGAAAAGGCTACACTTTATGACAAGCCAAAGGCGAAGAAGGTGCGTATCGTAAACTTTGGTTTAATTTTTCGCATAGACTCTCACCGTCAACGAGCCCGCTTCTCAACAGGAGGAATCCGTGGGCATGAACACAAAGTCGATCGTATCTGTTGTTTTGATGCTCCTCCTCTTGATGTGAGTTTTTGTTAGGAGATGGCGACGTGAACAATTTTTAGCTAACTAGTGCTTTTTCAGGTTTGTCGTCCATTGCACATACGTTACCTCCAATGCCTACTCTCATCCGTCCGTTGTGCTCCAATCCAGCACCCAATCTGGGTAAATTTTTCGATTCTTATAGGCTGTTTTCACGAATGATCCGTGGCGTCATACCGAGGGTGCAACCCGATTGGCCATGTAATTATTTACTTTTTTCCAGAGGACGTGTCATCATGGATGATTTCCGTGAAGCTTACCACTGGCTTCGCGAGAACACTGCTGATGATGCCCGTATCATGAGCTGGTGGGATTATGGTTACCAGATCGCTGGTATGGCGAATCGTACCACGCTTGTCGACAACAACACCTGGAATAACTCGCATATTGCCTTGGTTCGTGCTCCAATTCCTTCCTGCAATTTTTTTTTATCTTAAGGTAGGAAAGGCCATGTCGTCGAACGAATCTGCGGCCTACGAGATCATGAAGGAGCTGGATGTTGACTACGTTCTGATCATCTTTGGAGGTGTGTTATTTAGAAATTCCCAACTGCCCCTTTCTCTAGCTATTTACGGCTATATATTGCTAAAATGATGGCCGAGCATTTCTTTGCAAAAGGCTCCTCCGAGCAGAATACTCTTGCCCCACTGGCGTACGACTTTAAAAAAATTATTTTTAGGAATGCTCGGCTACTCTGGTGACGACATCAACAAGTTCTTGTGGATGGTTCGCATCGCTGAGGGTGAACATCCGAAGGAGATCAAGGAATCGAACTATTTCACCGAGGCCGGCGAGTATTCGGTTGGGCCACAAGCTTCGGAAACGATGCTGAACTGTCTGATGTACAAGGTTGGTTTTTGAAATAATTGCTGAGGACCGCTGGTTCTAGATGAGCTACTACCGCTTTGGCGAGACACGACTCGGCTACCAGCAGGCCGGCGGCTTTGATCGTACAAGGAACTATGTGATTGGCAAGAAGGTAATAATATTTTTGGTTCACTGATTCATTGTCCTCAGGACATCACCTTGGAACATATTGAAGAGGCGTACACGACTGAGAATTGGCTCGTCCGCATCTACCGTGTGAAGAAACAAGTAAGATTAACTGGGTCAATTCATCCTTGTGCTTAGGAGAACCGCCCGACCATCAAATATACCGAACGGCAACTGCGTTCGAAGAAGGCTCCCGCAAAGGGCTCAAACAAGAAGGGCACCTTCCGCACTGCTACCAAAGTCTAAGCCATCTCATGCCGTACGATATCCCATCGTAGTTGTTGTTCGTGGTTGTTTTGCTATTTGTTTTTGTAAATTTCGGGTTATAATCAATATCTGTTAGGGGACTTCTTTTCGTCGACCGGAACATCAGTTAAACGGCAAAAATTTCGTTGCAACTAGCCAAATTCTGCTCCTTCTAAATGAAATTCTTCTGTGATCCTAAGCTGATTTTTCTGATTTCCGGGCCGGTCTGTTTCTACTACTAAGGGATTGCAAGCTTCACCGCAACGCCAAATAGCTAAACGTCGATACCAACGAGGTAAATGTTAGGTGAGGCCCTTGAAAACGAAGAAATCTTGCGTATTTTTCATGTGCCTCATCTTCCATTCCTTCAAGACTTACAGTATCTCTTGAGTTCGAGTCGAATATTCAAGAAACGGTATGTCCCACAAAAATTGTGATATCTTGTGTCCTTGACAATTCATTCCCACCACGGATCCCCCCACATACATTTATTCACTCAGTCCCACCTGTACGGCGTCTTGCTTAGCTTTGTGTATTTTATCTCGCCACCTTTCTCCTTTTTTCTGCTTATTTAATGGGTTCTGCCGACGGCTGCAATTGATAAATTATTTTTTCGGTTTCAACTGTAGCTACATAAAACCTCTGCCGAGCACGGCCTAATTGCGCTAAACCAATCCCTACAAACAACTCCATTGTCCTGCCCTTGGTTGAGCTCTAAAAACATAATTGAGAGTTTGGGGACGATGGGCGAGTGTTGATTATTATGAGGCTATGGGATGCGGGGGGGGGACAGCTTCCCCCATTCTCTGCACCGTTCACATAATTTACCACTTATTGGCTGGCAATTTGGGGTAAAGAGGGGAGCAACAGTGGGGGATGGCTCATCCATCTACCACAATGGATCTCACTCTCGAGGGGTTAATTCCCGGGTGTTGGGGACACTTACCGGGAATGGGCTACAATTGGCACGATCAGCGGAACTGCTTATTACCGGTAGCTGGTGATCCTTGTGGCCAGCAAAGTTTTTAGCTTACTAACAAAGGAACGTCTTTTTTTGTATATTGAGAAACTGTTATGAGCATACCTTATTTGATAGTAATAGAACATACCTAGATACCTTGTTGGGACACAATTGCTGTTCTAAATATTAAAAAATTGTTGTGAAGTGCTATCCGCCTGCGCGAAATTGCCATTCTTTCAACGAGACAGACTTTTCTAAAGCTACTCTCCGCACCATAAATCCGGCCTTCCTCCAGGATAGCGGCGGGACTCTTCCCTTAGACATTATGCAAATAAGGCCGATTGTGTGAGGATCGTATCTGGGACTGAGGATCAAAGACCCCAGCCTCCGTATTGAACGGATCCCGGCCGTATTGTCGGGCCACTCCTTGACTCACACCGGCTGCCGCCTCAATTCTCAGCGGTTTGTCACCGAGATTTTTCGCGCATTACAAAGTGGTTTTCCGGTTATATGAGTGTTGTGGTGTCAGCTTTGCTGGACCACATTAGATCCCTCCCGGCTGTCCCCCTATCCAGTGGGTGCCACCGGCGCGCCCCCTGCGGTCGCGTCGCGTGCGCCACTTCCCGCCTAAGACTAGATTGTATTATCTCGTTGCGGGTCCACTTATCGGCACAGACTAGCTCTGTTGCCGATCCTCCTGCCACCATTTATGTAGATAAACAGTGTTCGATAACTGTACGTCCAAGCGCATCTACATCGTTCGACTACTCTTTCGAGGATCACAACAACTGGCGAGCAGGATCAAGAACCACGCAAGACAAGGGATGCCCCAGCCAAGAAGCCACCGAGCCCGAAAACGTGATCAAGGATGAAGAAAGAAGGTGGAGAAGCGCGAGAAGTCAAGTCAAGCCGACGAGACAAGGACCAAGAAAGCGACAAGGTCAAGGAGAGCGACAAGGTCGAGGTCAGGGACGTCTACATGGTTGGCAAGCGACAAGAAAGAAGGCATGGCGAGAAGATCAAGGAGCAGAGCGTGCTGATGCCGGCGGGCCCATCGATGGATGATGCCGGTGCCGCTCGTGCAGGATCAATGGAAAGGGAGGTGTTTTCCCCTTTTGCCCCCACATTTCCGGGTGGAGGCGCGCTGCCGTTGTCGAAGAAGGAGGAGGGTGCAAGTGCCGAAGTGCCCGGACCGGCCGCCGTTTGCCCCAAGGACCGCCACAAGCCGCGAAGGTAGCAGAAGATGAGGAAGTTGGTTAGTCCCATCCACGAAAGGACCGAAGGAGGGCGTGTCAAGCCCAAGGCCGCGTCTACAGGAAGCCGAAGAAGGAAAGAAGGAAAAGAAGGTCGACAAGAAGGAGGACGTGATGTGAAGGCGATGAAGGTGAAGGATGGACGTGTCGGGATCGCCTCGCTGCGCGTCACAAGGAGTGAAGGAATAAGCAGATAATTTTTCTTGAACTTATTGTGCTTTCACTGATTCCTATCCCGGTCCCTCCAATCTACACTTGTTTTTGTGTAAGGGAGGTGTTGTGGGCCAGCCGCTGGACCACATTAGACCCGCCTACTCATGTTCCACCTGTCCCAATTTCTCCTAGGAATTGTACTTGTTTTGTACAAGGGAGGTGTTGTGGTGTCAGCTTGCTGGACCACATTAGATCCCTTCCCGGCTGTCCCTCCTATCCAGTGGGTAAGCCACCGGCGCGCGCCCCCTGCGGTCGCGTCGGCGCCACTCCCCGCCTAAGACTAGATTGTATTATCTCGTTGCGGGTCCACTTATCGGCACAGACTAGCTCTGTTGCCGATCCTCCTGCCACCATTTATGTAGATAAACAGTTGTTCGATAACTGTACGTCCAAGCGCATTCTACATCGTTCGACTACTCTTTTCGAGGATCACAACAATGAGGTACAGGAATTTGGGAGAAACTATCAAAAACCCCATTACCTCTCATCAACTTTTCAATGAACCGGAGGGGGGGGTTGAAGATTACCATATATTTTTACAATTCACAAAATATCGTTTCTATTAGAGAAACTACGCTATTAAAACCACGATCTCGCGCATTATCAAGATTGATGGAGTACATACTTTGGGATTTGCTCAAATTATTGACCCGACGGAAGTAGAGGGGATGTGCTTGATAACAAGTGTGACAGGAGGGGGTGCTTTTGTATTTTTGGGATGGATAGAGTGGGGGATCAGGGGCCCTGAAGTGTCCTCATCCGTTCACCAGTCCATTGTGGGCCACAAGTGGAGGCTGACCACTGGGCCACCATGACCTCGACGTAACATAGCATTATAACAATAAAGGATCGTGTAATGCAGTTGTTCCCATTGCATGGTTGTGCTTCAAAAAAATAATCCTGCTCCAAGTGGAATGACGGTTTGTTAGATTTAAGAAGGTAGAAGGTTGTGAGGCCCAAAGTTATTAGTGTGCCTCGGTTTAGTCTTAAAAAATAAATTTTCCCCAAAAAACCTAGTGAACCAGGGCTAGGGATTGTAGGGGGAATCAAGGAATTGTCAGTCTCTATTATTGATTACCTAACAATCCGTTAGTTTACCTAGGAAAGATATCCAGTCCCCCATGAATCCGTAGCTTGGATGTACAGTAGCTTGGATGCTTGGATGCACACTAGTCCTACTATAATTGTCCGACCCCTTTAATAAGGTGCCCGTAGCAACATTATAATCTTACATCTTTTTAGCCTGGATAAAGTCCCACGGCTACCGTAATCGCGCGCTTGTGGAGGACACCGGTGGGCGGAGCCGGGGGTGAGGCCTGGCCCCCGCTGGGCCCATGGCCCGGAGGGATGTGACAGTCGAGAATCCAGGACCGCATCCGCTCCATACCCTCCCCTAAAACCCAGCCTACCTCCCTTGATCATACAACTATGTCCCGTACTACCAGGGATACTGCTTCTGCTGAACCTACCCCCAAGCAACGGGTACGACGCGTGAAGGTGAGACAATTTTAGATTGTTGTGCTAACTAAATCAATTCATGGCATTTTCTATGACGAGTTTTTAGGCTAATGGCCGTGAGCGTCAACGAATGCATGGATTGAACAATGCTTTGGATCTCTTGCGACAATGTGTTCCGATTACCACGCAACACCAGAAGCTCAGCAAGATCGAGACGTTGCGTTGTGCGAGGTTGGTTTTACCCCAAAGTTTCACAATTAGTTTTCAAAACAGTTTGGAACCTCCATATACGGTAGGGGCTGGAAACTGATTGTGGTGGTTTGTGGGACAATTCATTCCACCTGTCCCCTCAGCCGTCCTCTAATTACCGTAAGCGATCCGTCCTGGGGACAAGACGTCCTATTCGAGGTCCACCGGGGGAGGGGGAAATTAATGGCTTTCTTATACCCCCATATACGCTGTGTTTATGACGCGCCACGATCTGGCTCATTGCCCGGGGCCAACCACAATTGCCAGCGTACGCAGTGTTCAATTTTCGTTTTATGGTCATTAGACACGCGGGATGGGATAGGGATAGGTTCTTGTTATAATCTTACGTGAAAAACGCGGGATTCCGTAAAGAATTAATGCAAACATTTTTAGGAATTACATCGGCGTCCTGCAACGGATGGCAAATACCAATTGGAAACCGACTCCTTTGGAATACGCTCGAATTTTGAGCGCTGGGATGAGCCAAACGACGACGAATTTGATTGCGAATATGCTTCAGGTAAGGATCTTGGGCTGTAGCATTAGGGTATATCTTAAGACCAAATGTCACCTCGTATAATAATCCTAACGAATCGCAGCACATTTTTTAAAGTGACTGTCCTGAAAGTCACCCTACCTAAAATTTAAAAGCTACGGATTTTCCTAAATTTTCTTTAGTATTTTAATTCTTCGATAAAAATTGTAGGAATAATTACACCAGTTAGTTGACATATTACAATCTATAATTTTGCAGGTCCCACCTCGTCTCGTTATGGGTACCCCACAAGTATGCCAACAAATGCCTCTACCTCCAATGTCTGCCCCACCATACTACCCACCTCAAACCCCCCATTCCGGTTCCGATTCAAGCTTCGAAATGCCATCCCCACCAAACCAGCACTTTTTCCATCCACTGTTCTAGATACACTCTGCATCAACCCGGTTATTTTGGATACCGTACCCCTTTCCCATCACTAGTGCTTGGACACATCCCTCTAGGGGGTTAGAATTGGACACTTGTTGTCCCATTGTATCCTCCAGGGCATCCGACACAGCATGTAGCTGCTCCTCCCCTCCTCTCCCTCCACTCACAACTCTCATCCCAGGCTTAAGTGAGCCAATCTTGTTCTTCCGGCTCTTGTTGTAATTTTGGGCCCATTGCGCAACCATGATTCCCTAAAAATTGCTCCGTCTGTTACTGTACGTCAACTTGAATACGGGTTTTTTTGAATTGTGAATAAATAGTACGAAAAATCTAATGGTTTTTACACAGGCATTCTTTTCCTAAAAATCCGATACTACATCTTGTCTTAGAGTTTTATGAAATAGCAAATTGAGGTTAGGGTGCACCTATTTTTCGTCTAAATTCAGCCATTAATTCACCAGTTCAACTTCTCTCAAATTATCGGAACTAAAATAGATATTAAGCAGATGCTCAGGAAGTTTTTTCCACTCTACACTTATTAGCGGAAAATGGCAACGTAAGGTTACTGTAAACCTGCTTTTTTTGAAAATTCGGTGATTAACGGCCCTCACTATTCACCTAGAAAAACGCGCTGTCAGATTGGGATCGAGTGGCCGGGACAAAGCAATTGAAACAACCATTGTCTCATCCATATCGCCGAGCAATCGCCTTCGCATTCAGGGGCAATTATCGCAATTTCCTGGTGGGGCACCACTAGCCTTCCCTTCCACTCAGGACCCCCCTTCCACCTGCCAATCTGGTTGGAAACAGGGTACGAATGGTAGATGAGGTTTGCATTTTGGATATTGTTGGAAATTGTTGCGGTATGGGATGATTGGTGGGGGGTTCATTTGGTTATTAACTATTAACCTTTCTGATATCTTTAACATGTATTTTAATAACGTGTTTTAGTTGGTTAGTGCTCCCGATGCCTGTTTTTAATATCTCGCCTGCAAGCTTTACCCTCTTGGTAGACTCAAAAGCCAGCCGCCATTATTGACGTTGGATAAGTGTGTCCGGTGACCCGATAAGGGGAGACGCGCGAAATGCCGGGGTGTCAGGGGCTAGAGTTGCGCAATTTGGCCCTTCCAGCCTATCCGTGAGAGAGAGCGAGAGAGAGAGATCCATGACACAGCCACCATATACCCCTTCATCAACTCACACCTTTCATCGGGACCGCCTGGGTAAACCTTATTTTGGATAATCCTTGAGGCTTACGGTAGCTTTTTGTTAACGTCGAAGAAAGAAGGTAATTGGTTTTCTATAAGCGTAATTCGTATGTAATAACAGAGGACAATAAGTGCTTCAACTAACCTTTTGCACGCTATACTACTACACTGGAACCCACTATAATTCTCCATAGCTTTTTACCAAGCCATTCCCGAAATCCAAGCCGTTTCCGGTCCACATACCTACCTAAAAACTAAGGTTCCCGCACCGACACAACCCAAAAAGACAGCCGCTAATGGTCTTCATGGGGTGCTACTAAAAACTGGCATAATTAGGCGCGATTGTGTCTGCGGTGGGGGGCCCACCAAATGCAAATCGCGGCGGGCCCGTTTGTTTTCGGAGCCCCGGGAGCGTTATTGCCCGTTGGCCGTCAGGGCCATCCATAAACGGGAGGGGAGGGCGAGCAGCCGTTCGACCCATTCTACCGTAAGCGGCGCCTTTTCGGCGGCTCAATCTGGTTGAACGATGGGTCTCGACGATGTGTCGAGGCGATGGGGGAAGAGCGGTGAGAATCTTGGACATTTTCTTGTGAAACTAAAAAGTTGTGAAGGCATTTTAGGTACGGATTTGGGGCTAATTTTTTGTTTATTTTGGATTAGAGCTGGTCTTAACCCAATCGAAACCATCCTCAAATCTGAAAATCTAATCAGATTTGTCTCACTAAAATCTCCAAATTTTTGCATGACCATGACGTACGAAACGTCAAGCATCGTTGTCAACACCGGAAGAATAACAAAAATGCAATTTTGAAGCGATTAAGAAATCAGGGAATCCGCTTAATTTGAAAATTCACTATATTCCGTAAGTATTTATAAAAGCCCATTTGAATCCAAAAAAACCCAATTAGCTCATCTGCCCGTGCCGGAATTCCGTTCATTGCACATTTTCAGTTCGGTAATGGGGGACCCGATTCGGTCGTAAATCGGATGGGCAGATGCTTGACCAAACGAGGGGTCCGATCCATTGACTCCCGAGGATCTGTCAACCATTGCCCATGATGAGCAGCGGGGAGCCGGAGATATGCGCTCTTTGAGCTCCCCCGCCAAAATTTATATGCAAAATCACGAGAGAATCTTTGGCGTACGGTGGACGTACCATTCTACCAAAAACTCCAGGGTTCGTGCTCGGGAGCTTTTCTGGAGGATATCAGTTCATCGATATCGGTTAGGGCAGGCATTTCCAGAAACGTATTGCACGTCACTAACTGCGTCGAGGGCCACGTAAGGTAGGTTTTTGTGTAGTTCTAGGGAGATATGTATTTTAATCGGCAGGAATACGCAAAAAAATTTGTCTTCTCTGATAGGCCGCATACCGGAAAAGGGTTTTGAATCGAATTTGGTCAACCACTAGCGACTGAGCTAGTGCTCGAAGATGGAAGAATTGTCAAGTGAATTAAAACAAAAAAAATTTAATAGAAAGTAATTACCCGGAAAGCCCGCAGTGTAAGAACTATAGTTGTAATTCCGAAGTATATATGGACCTAGCTACAAACACAAATGGACTCGTCATCCCAGCTCAGCTTCCCGTCGACATCTCTGGAATTACTGTCATAGACCCGTCTCCCCCTACCCATTCTCCTGTGGCTCATCACCTTCTAATTAGATACGGTAAATCCGAAGAAATGGACGGTCTTGCCCTAGAGGCCATGAAAGGATACCGCAGCACCCCCCGCGGCGACTGGCAATATTGGACGGGTGCTTGGGATTAGCCGATTGGATTAAGAAGAGAGGAGAAGGGGACGCTTCCCTTCTGCTATTCTTTCATGTCATAGCCCCCCAAAATACGGTTATGTGACCGAGTTAGAAAAAGGAATAACAAAAGGATAATAGGGTGTGGTTTTGGGGTTGATCCCGAATTTTCAGCATTCCGTTGGGCTCCATTCTTCGCAATCGACGACGTTGAAGGTATTTCCAATAAAATGTCAAACAATGCTTTATTTACCTACTGCCGATCTTGAAAAGCGCTTAATCGGTTGTATACCTTTCCGCGAAAATTACGAAATGCATTCCTTGTGCCTCATTATATAAGCTGTCCCCACTTCCCGTGTGTGCCAAGTGCTTTCTAACTAAGAGCGTGACCGAGATGTTCACAAAGACATAATTTAAATAACGAAAATTGCATTTTTTGTATTTCCTCGTATTTAGGTCTCATTCCTAGCCAAAAGAGCTTTCCTGAAGCGCAACAAATTTACGAAACTGTGGATGCAAATGTAAGCAGAAACTTTTTATAGATTTTTTACAAAATTGTTGAAACAATACCATCCATAACTTGCTATTATTTACCCTCTGAAGTATCATGTCTCGATGCCACCACCCAATGCATACAGGCTATTGTTTGGCATTGTACTTGAAGCTGACCCATCGATGTCTCGTATATCCGCATGTGGCCATGCTCAAATTTGCCTTGTCGCTTCAACACACCAAGGGCCTCTCCCCCCTCATCCCCGGCTGCCAGCAGCACTTGTGTCCGCCACAACGTAATAGCTTCCCTCGTAGTCGATAATCACTGTGGGATACGGTGGCAGAAGTTGCCCTTGGTACAGACTGAGACCAAATAAAATTTAGAAATTTTTATGGTAATGATTCAAGCGTCAGGTTCAGTTTTTGTTCGTTGTCTCTATAAAAATTTCTTGATTGCCGGTTTTTCAAGAAATATCGGAAGTCCGTAAATATACACCAAGGCTAAGAAATGTCACACTATTTGGAGATTTTCTTTTTTAGCTGAATCCATGGCCATATGTTGATGATTTTTAGGTTTATCATTTTTAAGAGACCCCGATTACTTCAAGGATAATGAGACAATTTGAAAGGACAAGCTTCTATTAACGGGAACCCGGGCACGTCTCATTTCCTGTCACTTTTCCATGCCAATTTGGCCACATTCCCAACAAATTACCCACAAAAACCCTAGGATATGTCAGGGAGCGAGATGTTCGGCAGCCCGTTCATCGCATTCCCGAAAGTATTTCCAAAAAACCCTTTGTTAATTTTGTAATTTAGCATCGTTAAGTCGTAGATTTTTATAGGATTTTACTAGCACGATAATTTCTTAAGAATTTTATTCAAAGAATTTGATTCGGCGCCTCGTGAAACCCCCAATTTTATGAACGCATCCGACTCATGCAAGCGTCAAATTGCGAGGGTGGTCACGGAAAATTACATTTCAAAATCTCCGTCAATCCCTGCTATAGGCATATTTCATTAATCTCAAAGTTCAGGCAATCTGACCATCCCTCCGATGTTTAGCCAGGGCAAAGAAGCACTAATGCGGAAGGTGAGTGGCTAAAGTTTTAAATAAATACAAAATTTAGCGCGACTCTCAAGCCGGTATACGCTTGGAGCCGTTGACAAAGAAGTTGAGCGACGGTATCAAGACTGGAGAAAACGAGAAGAAGGAAAAACGTAGATTTATTCATGCTAACATTTAATGTAAAATGTAAACAAAATAAATATATTTTTCTAGGAAATAAATCAGCTGATACTAGACGGAAAGAACGCCGAGTAAGTAGACATCTTCGGTACATCAATATTTTATTACCTTAGGAAATCTTCGCAAACGACTCTGGCAAATCATCAAAAGAGGCGGATCAAGAAGTGAAGGTAACACCAAAGCCTTAATCACCATATTTTTAGAAAATCATCTCGCGACCGTTTGCAGATCAAATAGAGGGCCGAGGCGTAAGTCTTTAATTTAGATTAGTATCTTTTTTTGATAGCGTGCAATGAGCTATGGCAACACCGCGTTCCGTCGTAGTTCACCGAGTTTCGGTAATTTTTAATAAAATAGATTTTATCATAATTAATACTTTAGACTCGAGAGCCCCACCACTACGACGTAGCAATGCCCTCTATGGAGCGATGGCTGCGAAAAAACTGACCCGCCAACGGACGGCCAGTCACGCCGAGCGGAGAAGTATGTAATTCGTATTGCTTTTATCTTATTAATTTTTTATTAACTTCTCTTAAATCAACATTTAGATCCAAATCTTGGGCCATATGCAGCGATCGCGGATGCAGAATATAAAAGACAAGTAGCGTTGCAACGGTCACACGTGGATTCGGATGATGATTGTCCTTGTCCATCGCCATTATAATAACAAGCAGATTGGAAATCAATTGTCTATTTCTTAGCTGTTAATTATTTCGATGCGATATTGCAAGTTTTTTAAGTCTCGTGTTTTTTTTAATTTTTAACGTTCCAGGATGCATAGCGTAAACCACTATGATTAATATAAAATAAAGCTGTGCGTTGGAATTACCATGTGATTAATGTGTTATTATCTATTCCTTGACAGTAAACGATATTTATGTCTTGGTCGCAGAAAAGGGTATCACTGTCATAACCGGGGGGATGAATGTCACATACAATGTATGGGTCCATAGGGGCATTCACAATTTTTGAATGTACACGCAAAAGTAATAATGACATTTTTGGTTTTTGACTGGCCATTGGGGGTTTTTTAGTCAAAGCCAGGATCACAAGGCACAACTCAATTTCAGAGAACGGCCCGTCGGGTTGGGTCGGAATTTCGCACGGAATTGATTTAATTTTTGTAGATGTTTGAGGCGCTTGATGAGGTGGATTTTCGGCGGATTGGTGTTTTGGGTTTTTCGAGGTTGCTTGATGAGTTGTCAGCTAGGGGAGTACTAAAAAAGATAGTTGCTTAATTTTTATGGGTAAACCTCTTATTTTTTGGTAAGCTTTTGTACACAAAACTGAAAAAAGTAGCCCAAGGAAAGAATATGATGCTAATGATTTAATATTCTGAATAAAATGACTCCACTTCCCAAATAACAAAACCAAAGACTCACTCCATCGCATTTTGCCTCTGCTTTGCCGCATTACCGGGATACGTCACGGACACAGAAGCCGAGGCAAGCTAAAAAGCCGTTTTGAAAAATTAACCGACGACACAATAACCCGGCAAACTGAAAAAAACTGTGCGTGTGCCATGCTTTGCGACAGCACCAATGACAGTCCAGACGGTGGGAAAGTGGAGAGAAAATTGAAAGAATAAAAGAAAAGATGTTTTGACGAAATATGGTCCCGGTGAACTCACGTCATCATCAACGAAGCACATTTGCTGCAGGGGAATAATTAGAGTCAAGTGATAATTCAAGATAGGGGGGAATTTTAAGGTGATATCTGACTTGAAATAAAGATACGCTTTTAGGTTGAGGTTGAGAAATGGGATTAATTATAGCAGAGCATCCATGTTGGTGCCAAACTTTTTATGATAAAATACCAACCATGGATCGTTGCGGCGGGAAAATGCGATGAGGGCTGCTGGGCGAGATCAACGGAGAGCTGCCTCCCGAATTTTGAGCGCTTGCACGACGTCTTTGTTGAGCTGTTGCCATTGCTTCTCGTAGTCGATATTGTCGTAGCTAAAATTAAACAATAAAACGAAATAAGAATTATTATATATTAGCCATTTAAATAGACTCTTTTGTTACCTGTCCACTCAACTGTGTCACCGTCAACGTTCGATCTTGTAGCTCCCCGGAAAGCTGTCGGATCCGGTCACTCTAGAAGACCGTGCGGAAAAAAAATTAAATCCCAAACCTGTATTTTAATAGTTTCTCCCATTTTCTCAATCGTCGCGTTCACCTTTCGTTCGATATCTTTTAAACTAGCCTCCTTGGCCTCGAGTTGAGCCTCGAGAATGGCAATTCGTTCCTCTTTTTCCTGAAAAGGTTATGGTAATTTGAATGTGTTATTGTTTCAAAATATAGGATTTACAGGATTTCACGAAACTCTTGTACCTTGATTTGAACATGCAAAAGTTCTGCTTCCTCAGCATCTTCGACCCCAACGTCGAGCTTTCTTCTGGCATCTGCAAGCAGAAAAATAGTAAATTTATGATTATTATGCTCCCAGCAACCATTTATTTTTCCAAATTTTAAAAAGCGCTAACCCATTTCCCTCACCACAGCTGCTCATAATTGCTGGCCATCGATAAGGGCCAAATTGCCGGCCGGGGGTGGATCGAACCAACTGAACACTCCAACTCTCGACGATCACTTACAGCAAAAACACAACGCCTTCAGTGGAGCACAATTCATTACGAGGTGTATTAGAGAGGGGGCTAGGGGAGGATGAAGTATGTGAGTCGAGGGTTTTTTAGGTTTTGTTGAGCCTAGGGGGGTGTATGGAACAGGTGCTCTTTGAAGGACAACAGCCTCCGGACACATGTGAGATTTTATGAAAGCAAAGTGGAAAGGTTTAGAGGGAGAGAAAGAGAGTAGACTGGATAGTTTTCCAGGAATTTTCGGGCCAGAAAAAGGATGCGAAAATTAGCCACTAGTTTTTTTGCCTTGCAAGTGCTTTCAGATGCATGGAATTTGTTAGTTCGTCAGACTAAAGTTTTCCCCTCAACGTTAACGATAATGTAATGTAAAAAATGTACAAAGTTACTAGCAAAACCAGTCAAAACGAACAACCCAGTCCCGACGTAAAACGGCGTCTTTTTGCGCCCAACCACTGCTTACTGCTTTTCGATTCTTATAACCACCCAACAGAAGGCCCTAGCGAGTTCGGCATAGCAAGAACGCGGGGGGTTTTGAAGACGGGAATGGGTCTCAAACGCCCCACAAAAGCAGATTCGAAAATTGTGGCCAAGCCAAAAAGCGAGGCCCAATTTCTGGGAGAATCGAATGGACGCCCGGCATGCACGCATCCGGCTCCAATTTCTGGAATCTGGTTAGGAGACCGGAGGGGGATAATTGTTGGGATTGGATTGGTGTGGATTGTTGCTCTAATTACAAAAATAGAGCGGCAAATTAAAACAAAACATTTTGCGGAGTTTCCAATTTTTGTTATATTCAGCTTATTACGCTTGAATACCTTCGAAAAATGTCATAATATAATAGAAAAATACCCAACCCCTTAGCATAGTTGTCAGCCGATGCAATTCTCCATGTAGTGCCTTTAGCATTTCGGACCCTTCCGACTGCAGGAATGAAATTTGGTCCTTTTCGTGCTTCATCCACTCATCGTCTCGCTTCTAAGAATCAACTTTACATTTCAACACAAGCATTGCTTACCTGCAGCGCGTCTTCTAGCCGTTTTTCTAGATCATCCTTCGTAAACATCTAGAAGAGGTCAAAATAAATCATGAATTTGCGTTCAACCTCAATTGGGCTCATCTTCATTGACACGGATTTGACAAGGCGGCTGCTGGCTCCTGTGGCTGCGGAATTAATGGATGCGCATGGGTCGCTCTGGTGCATAAAGCGCTCTAAATCTTTGATATCCAAAAGGTTCAATAAATTTTGGGCGGTCCCCTATATTGCGCAGTAGCGAACCTGGTGGCGGTCGTTTGACAGCTATCATCGAAGACATCTTCCGCCCTTGGCGCTCAAATCTGAAACTCGAATATTGGACATTTTAGGGTGAAAAAAGAGAGGCAGCGTGGGGTTGCAGAGAGTGAGGCGGAAAAGGCACGAAATTTGATATGCCCATGAATTCTGCGGGGCCGCAAAGCTCAGTGGGTGGCGGTGAGAGAACAAATTGGATTTGAGGGAGAGAGATATAGGAGAGAGAGAGAGAGAGAGAGCGAGAAATGGAAATGCCTAGAAAAGGGAAAGGGATAGGGAACATGAGTTGGTTGGATAAGCATGGGGGTCATCAGTTGACATCTCGCCCCACGAGTGGATCAGCTGGCCTTTTTCCAAGCCGAACACCATGATCTTTTCTCGGGCAAACAAGTTTAGGGAAAAACAGGCAATGTATTTTCTGCGACGTAAAAATCCCCGACTTTTTCATATGCAAAAAAACTAAAAATAGAAAGGAAAATTGTTAGAATCCCTTCGCAAAACCAAAAAAAATGAGAAACAAAGGCACATTTCTTGAACGCTAATCCTTAAATACTCTCTTTTCGAGACTGAGGTCCTCTTTGAAGACACTCAACAGCTGATCCCCCAAAAAACAAGAGCAATCCCGACCGCCGAACCACCCCCCGAAAACATGCCCTAAAAGTGGGAACGGACTCGGGTGGGTGCGAGTACGATAGGGCATCGGAAGTCGTTGATGACTATAGAAGGGAACGTTTTCGGGGAGACTGAGCGAACGTTTTTCTGAGGTCATACTTCCGTGCGAAAGGTCTGTTGTAAGACTCTGGGGGAGACGGGGTAAAGGTGACGGGTATTGAATTACTTATTAGGTGAAGGGGGTACTCCCTTTCAGACACAACGGCCGGGTAGAAACCGGATTTTAGTCAAAGTAGAGATGGTGGACTAGATGGGGGAAGCACATGGGTTTGGAGTTATTTTTAGAGAGTTCGATACATTGAATTTATTGGCGAAAATACATTGAATTTTTGAAAAAATGATAGGGCAAATAAATCAACACAACACCGTAGCCACGTAAATGGGAAAAGCATCAGCTTTCGCTCTTTATATAGGCTACCCGCACTTCCGGTGATTACGAAACGGAGGTAATTAAAGTTTGCACAAAAACCTAAAGCTAATGTCGGAATAAGCAAGTAGCATAGAATAGAGTACGTTGTTTTTATGCAAATTCATTCTAATTTCTTAAATAAAAGATTTAGTCAAAAATAGCTTGATGCAAACTTTTACATTACATCAAAACACCACAAACTTATTGAAAATTTGGTGGCTGTGACTCGTCGTGGAATGGAGTGTGTGTTGTGTGTGGATGAAAGGAGAGCAGTCAGTGGTGAGCAGCAGTGAAATAGAGGCTGGCTGCTGTGGCCGGAATGGACAAAACGTTCCTCTTCCTCCCCTCCCCTCTTCTACCCATTCCCACTTTACCCTCTACCCCACTCCGAACGACCACAATCCCAAACCCATTTTTTGCGTAGTTTTCCGGTTACAGGAAAAACCGACGAGCACGGAGGTCAATTGTGGGGTAAAAAGACGGGGGTCTGGGAAAGTGGTAATGGAAGTGTTATCAATCGGTTTCCAGCTGTGCTAGAGTCTTTTGAGGAAATGGATAGACCGCCAGGTTTCAATTTCCGGGCCGGAAATTCGGTATTAGAGATGACAAGCGACACGGGTGGGCATCAAACGGTCCCGAAGGTCATAAATTTGCCGTTTTTCTGGGTGTATGGGGAGCAATATTTAAGGAAGAAAGCGATGCGCAAGAAGGCTGGATTGAGCATGACAAATATCTGAATTGATATATTGACAAATATTGAACAACTCATGATCCATTTTTTTGAATCACCCGGAGATGGAGCGGTCGTATTAGAGGGAGGCAGATTTTTTGTATTTTGACGATTTAAATCGAAGCGCAAGGTTTAGGACAAAGCCTGAACACCGGGATTTTGCGAATTTTTAAAACAGGAGAATCATCTGATCCGGTCATCAGAATTCTGATAAACAAATGGGAAAGGCGCATTAAAGGGGATTTTGAAGAAATACGGTACGCGAGAAATATTCGATTGCTAAACAGCGTATTCAAAAATTCAAGGTGCTCTTTCGACGACTCCGGCCGTGCCATGCAAGAACCAACGACGTCTGTTGACCCCTGCCCCGGACCACACAGCTGATTTTCAATAGAACTGAAATAGCCCCACGGGGGGTTGTTTTTTTCAGTGTGGCCTGGCATCCTAGTGGTCATAGCAACCTGGGCATTGGCGATAGGGTTGGGTGTGTGGGTGCGCGGGCGGCTCGAACCGGATTTCTGGGGTCTGGGGGGAGGGCTCATTCCCGGACGGCGAGTAGTATTCTCGGAAATTACATTTTTCTGGGCTGCTGTTGGCAGGTGGTGGTTCAAGTGGAAAGGGCATTGAAGATAGGTAGGTTCAGAGAGTTCGAAGGATGTGGTGTTTAGAATTGTATTGCCCGAATATGACTGTAGGATCATCCTCACGGATGCCACGCAAATCTACACACACACAAACACTATTTTTTATAAAGTAGGATATTATTGCAACGTAAAAAATAATTTGTACAGCATAAACCCCAATTTCTAACACCTCAACCCTAACCATAAAGAAATTAAATCCAAAATCTCTTGTAACCGGAAGCCCGAAACGTAGGGAGAATGAATGAGGCTGAAGAGGATTTGCACAAGGATCCTCCGCAGGAAGGAAAGATGAATAGATGAGGGGGCCCCCCGCAACGAAGGACGGAAAAGAGATGAGCAGAACCAGGAGAGGCATAGCGATCGAGGGGTGTGGTGGTGGACACTTCTTCTCTTCGTCCTCCCCTACCTCATCCTCCTCCTCCACCTCGTCACGCTCGACATCGATTTGTGGTGTGTCTTTGGTGGTCTGGGGTCTCTGCCTCTTTCGTGTACCACCCCCTCTCATCACGAATCCGCTTTTGGCCAATGACACCCCTTTCCTATGGCCAACCAGGGCCCACTCCGCAAATGGGTCCAATGGGATGGGTGGGTATCGGGCTCAAGGAAATTCAAATCAATCTGTCAACAAGATGTGGCGGGTTTGGGTGGGGAGTGAGGGAAAGTGTGGGTTCGATTGGAGTAAAAAAATGTCGAAGGCGTATTAGGACATATATTTTTTTAAGGTTTAGATACGGTGACATGGCTTCAATTGAATCCTTCGTCCTCCTCGAAACATTCGGCTTTGCATGATAATTATTCTATTGAGTGTCAGCGTTGCGTAATTCAAAGATGGGCTTCGTTTAGAAAAAAAACAAAGAAGTAATATCGAAAGGAGAAACGGCACCTTAAAGGTGCAATTTAAACAAAGTATTGCTTTTAAATCCGCGATTCACGAAAAGATGCCACAAAATGAACCCGAAGGAACCGTTACTCCAAAAATACACTCCATAGTATGACTATGAATAGCCGAATGACTATACCCTTCCCCCCACTCAGCGTCGTCTTGTTTACTCAAAAAGACACCAACCAGGGTGTGACAAGTCAAAACCGAGACTCCTTTTTTGCAAGTGTAATGGCCCCTCGAGCGGTTGGGGCCAAAGACCGGAGACGAAAAAGAATTGGGTTGGTTCGGAAGAGGGGAAGGAGGATGGATGAGTGATGGTGGTTGGGGTAGGAAGATGCTCAGTATCAATGTCTTCCAACCACAACAACTTTTGGTTTAAGGCATGTTATTTTAATGGGATTTAATAAATATGAAAGAGCTCAAAAAAAGAAAACTACCTAAGAACGCTAGTTGAGCGATAGATCTGTTATTTCCAAGGAACGTAGGCATTGCGTTTTTTAATTTTTTGAAGATCGAGAGTCATAATTAATACCCTAAAAATAATACTGCCAATTTATAATCTTACGCATTAAAAAGCGTCTAATTCTTGCCTCCAAGAATAGTAAACGTTTTTGGTAACCATAAATTAAGTGTTTTAGAAGCTGCCTTCTAAATATCTTTAAATCCACGATGCAACAATCTAACCCAATAAAAATAATTCAATTTACCACTTATCCATTCATATATATTTTATATTGATTTACTACTACCTCGACATCTTGCTACAATCACACACATGTTAATTTGACACCTTGTCCACGACAACCCCGCTGCTAGCTTTCTACTATGGTTGTAGTGGTGTAAGACGAGATCGTGGGACAAGACTTGCTTCTCCCTCACCCCCACCCCCCTTGACGATGCACACAACTCTATTTTCAGACGTTTTCCGGTCTTCCAGCGCCTCACCCCACCATTATCGCAAAATTTGACTGGTGCCTCGATAGACGACTATTTGCGCCAATTATTCTGTGGGTCCTAATGGCATTTGCGGTAAATATTGCCCCCTGGGGGGTGTGGAGGCTTTTGCTTCCCTCTCGCACACATGCCCCCACAAACAGTTGATCGGAAATCTGCGGAAATTCTGGCTGGCGTGCGTGGCTCGTTTTGGGCTTTGGATTCGTCATGTTTGGGATTGAATTTGGGGGGTTATATTTGGCGGACGGTGTCTGGAATTAATTTTGGCTGATGAATAAACGTTATGATCGCGTTTTGGCCGTTTTTGCATTACGCCTTTTTGTGTCTAAAATTATACGTTTAAATTTTCGTTAAGATTTAATTAGGCCACCATCCCTCCAGCAAAACCCCGTTTTTTAATTGTCAATTAATAGGTTCTTCAGAACTATTTTTTTATTAAGTATTTTGAAGCAATATTACAAAATAAGTTATCTGCAGTTTTTTAACTTAAACTCTTGCTCAATCTTCAAAAAATACACTCAACGTTCACCAAAAGCTCACAACCCATTCAAAATTAGTATGCACTTTTGCATTTCCACTTTTCCCCCATATTTTGACGCACAAGTCTATTAGTAGCCTAAGGCTATTGAACAGACTTCCTCCCGGCTAGGGGCAGCTCCAGCTCAACTTCTCCCCCCATTTTCCGCTTCGTTGCCCGTTGCCCCCAAATTTCATCCGGATTTCCTTCACACGG